TGTGTGTGTGTGTGTGTGTGTGTGTGTGTGTGTGTGTGTGTGTGAAACCTATCGCTTTCACGGTCGCCGTCCGACCTGATCGCTTAGGGATTGATGATGCATGGCGGCGAGGGGTTTTCAAAGCCTGAAGATGCCCTGAAGATGCTAGTGGCTGCTTGTTGCTGACGATGTTGGAAAACAGGAGATAGACTGCGAAGCGGTGTCTCATTGCACTACGACAAATTTACAAAAGCGGTACAATACACGCGTCGCGATTTGGCTCATCGAAAATACGCACGTGTCCTGTCCCTAATGGTCTTCGTCGTCTTCGTCGTCATCATCACCTTGGACGTCCAGCACTCGTTCACCTGCCTTTTCGAGCGTACGACGACTCAGGTTTCTCACCCCCTTCCAAACTGCCTGTACACAGATGAGCGCGGGCCATATCGTGGAGGGCCGTGTAGCGGAGATTGGGCAACTCACATATAGGAACGTGGCAACGCCCACAAGGATCATTACCCAGGTTATCGTGTTCAGCCTGTCTCTCCCGGTTTGTCTGCCGCCCACCCCCCCTTGACGAAAGAAGAAGTTGATGGGGCTTGAAAGCATGAATTTGAGGAAGCTCATGAGTCCAAGCCCCGCAAATCCCTTGATGAAATGCTCGATCCATCCCGTTGGCTCCGGTGGAGCACTGGGCGGTATCACCGGGTGAGTTGGAACGTCGTAGAACAAACCAGGGTCTCCGAATGAGAAAATCTGGAAGGAGAAGCCCGGGAAGAAGCTTGGAAAAATGGTTCCGTATGGGTCCAGGGCAAAGTTGATGATCGGGTCGGCAATGAAGCCGAGGATGAAGACGACCGTGAGCATGATCACAACGGTCAAGACGATTTGCGTGGCTGAAGATGAACCGGTCAGCACTCTGTAAAGTTGGACTATTTTTTGACGTATAGAGACGTAGTTGATATGCTTACCGACACTTGTGACGAATCGACCCCAGCCTAGTCTCTGCAGTCGATACTTGTAGCCACACGTCGGGCATTGGAAGAAGTTGCGCTTCCCGTACGAAGGATCCGCGTGTCTCCAGGCCTGCAAGCAGCCTTCGTGCACATACTTCGAGGTGCCTTTGCACTTGCAGGGCCGAAGCAATCGCCCGCCATCCTCGGACTCGTAGACGACTTTTGGACCTGACTGGAAATACCCTTCCTCTGACGGCTGCGTGAAAGTGGGCTGCACAGTTTCCAGACATATACGACACGTCCGTGGCCTCCAGTGTCGCTGTCGTCGCTGCGCGTTCTCACTCTCGTTGCGCGCACCAGCGCTTGTGGATGCGCTGTCCCCATGTGTCGTCTCCTGTGGAACAGACTTCACTTCGTGCGCTTCCTCCGAGGCTGCGGTGCGGCTACGAGGCTGCGGTATGTCATCAGGCCACTGCCAGCTCCCTGGCGCGGCGGCCTGAAAACCGGAAGTGCTCATGTTGTCGAGACTATTTTGACAATCCGAACTACTGGAGATGGATAATCGCTTAATGTACGTAGGTAAAGAGTCTCCTGACTGAAGGAGAAAAAAAAAGGCCGAAATAAAGGGCACGAAATGGTCAAACAGACGTGGACAGCACGCTAAAGGTGCAATGCTTGATCTCTGAAGTTCATCTGCGGAAAGAGCAGGATAGATCAAGACCGTGGCCTGAGCCTAAAAAGTCATTATTTACGGACGAACTGCCATGGCCTCCGAATTTCAGTGACGAGACGCCGGAATGGGTCGATTATGCAGAAAGGACAGAGTAGCATAACAGTTCTGAAGACAATGTCATCTCGAATCATCTACGACCACGTGATGATGCGGGCTCCTTTTCGGCGGAGTCGCGGACTTGTTGCCAGCCTTGCAGCCTTAGGTGTTAAGCTTGAGAACGCGCAACGAAGTTACCTAGAGCTTCGGAAGTAAGTACAGCTTCACCGCGAGTTTGAATTGAAATCCCATCTTCGTGTCCTTACATACCCCTTACTCCAGTTCCTGCTATCCGTCTGGCTTCTGGCCTCTTGATTCTAGGCTGCGGACATGGCTGATCGATATTCATTCTCGCTCACGACCTTCTCTCCCAGGTAAATACCGCCTGCACATCTCCCCAAGGGTTGAAGCTAATACTCACAAAAAGCGGGAAGCTTGTACAGATTGGTATGTGAAGTTATAGCGAGCGATCAGGGCTCACGTTGCTAATATGAGTACAAGAATATGCTTTGAACGCGGTAAATCAAGGCGTAACTTCGCTGGGCATAAAAGGTAGTGCATTCGTGAGGCCTTAGCGTGAACAAAGTAGCTTATAAACGAGGCAGCCACAAATGGAATTGTCCTTGCTACAGAGAAGAAGTCCTCGTCCCCGCTTATAGATGCCTCGTCATCATCTAAGATTAGCCTTATCACACCAAACATCGGCATGGTATATTCCGGCATGGGCCCGGACTACAGGGTGCTGGTGGACAGAGCACGAAAGGTGACACACACAAATTACAAGCGAATCTACAATGAGTATCCGCCCACGAGGATACTGGTCCAGGACGTTGCCAAGGTCATGCAGGAGGCTACGCAGCAAGGTGGCACACGGCCGTACGGCGTAAGCTTGCTGATCGCAGGCTGGGACGATGGCATTGAGCCGGAAGATGATTCATCGGATGAGGAGAAGGCCGACACAAAGAAGAAGGCGGCAGGTAAGACTGGGGGCATTCTGAAGGGTGGTCCGAGTTTGTACCAGGTCGACCCCAGCGGGAGCTATTTCCCGTGGAAGGCGACAGCGATTGGCAAAAGCGCGACGAGCGCGAAGACGTTCTTGGAGAAACGGTATACCGAAGGTTTGGAGCTGGAGGATGCCATACACATTGCTCTTCTGACGCTGAAGGAGACGATTGAGGGTGAGATGAACGGCGACACGGTGGAGATTGGTACGTGAATGGCATGTCGATCGAATTCTTTGGAGCTACTAACCAGCGCTTAGGTATTGTCGGTCCACCAGAAGATCGTTTGCTCGGCTTTGAAGGTGTGGAGGGTGCGGTCGGTCCAAGATTCAGGAAGCTGAGCCCTCAGGAGGTTGAAGATTACCTTACGAACCTGTAAAAAGCGCATTTCCATTCTAGTGGAGTTTGAATGATGAACGGCACGGAGCACAGGGTGTTACATCTGTAGACATTAGTTTCGGAATACCAGCATGCTCACAGAAGAGAGCACTCAAGGTCAACCCAAATCAATAGATCAGAAGTCCAAGCTTAAGCTTAAGCTTCAACGTCGAGCAGAGCTGCATCAAGTTTTTTTTACGCTTCTTGCATTATCAGCGTTGTCTTACTGGCCAAAGCCCCACTACATTCATCCTCGTGCTTCTGCAGCTTCGTGGCTGAAAACGCCCACGTCAAAAATAAAAAAAATCAAAACTCCAGATCACGCACACATCACATAGTACAAGTGATGGCAGAAAGTCAGTCTGAAGATGATTTCGAAATCAAGCTGCGCCCCTATCAGGAGGAGATGCTTCAAATGTCGCTCTGTGAAAACGTAATTGTGAAAGTGAGTGCGTCGATCTGACCGTTCCAACTTTCCACTAACATCGTTCTGTAGATGGACACGGGCTCAGGAAAGACGTTCATGTCAGCGCCTCGTCACGCTTCAAGAACACCAGTCATGGCTTGCTGATGCGTTGCATAGAGCTATCGACCGTGCGGAAGCTGCGCTGAAAAGCTCCGGTCCGGACAAGGTGTGAGCGCCTCCTCTGACTTCAGAACCTCTTACGGACTGACACTCATAGCTCGTCTGGCTTTTGGCTCCCACCATTCCTCTCTGTACACAACATGCTGAGACCGTGAAACAAAGATTGCCCGGCTATCAGGTCCGCCAGCTCATCGGAAGCGATGGCGTTGACCGATGGAGCGACCAAAGGACTTGGGACGCCGCTCTCAAAAACATCCGGATCGTCATCTCCGTCGCCGCGATTTTGAGAGATGCATTGTATCATGCCTTTGTGAAGATGGAGAACATAGCCCTGCTAATCTTCGACGAAGCTCACCATTGCGTCAAACAAAACCCATCAGCGGTCTTGATGAGGAACTGGTATTTTCAAATGGCTAAGGAGAAGAGGCCGAAAGTGCTTGGGCTGAGCGCCAGCATCGTTCAGCATCAGAGCTTGGAGGCCGTGTTAGACTCCAGAGTAGTGACACCGGTTCGTTCAAGATCTGAGCTTATGCAGCATGTCAACCGCCCAGTCTTGCAATGCTTGTGGTACAGCAACAACGGCTGTCCTTACGTGGAGAGGCTTGTCCTGCTTGGCACCATGATAGGTAGCTACGAACTTAGCAAAGATCCGTTTTTCCTCGGATTGAGCGCAGAGGAACAACAAGAGTTTCTGGCCAAAGATGAATCCCCATTTTGCCTCCAGGAGCTAAAGGCACTGTTCACAAGGGCCAAACATATCTTTGATCAGCTTGGCCCGCACATGGCAGATTGGTATCTTGAAAACAGTATCACCTCAATGCTCGCGCGTATCGAGAGTATAGGGCCGCTTAGCGAAGAGATTGCTATCACAGCAGCCGAAGCAGTGCACCTGTCAATCTTTCTTCGATCTTTACAAGTCGCAACAAAGAAACGAAAGCGCGACGAGGAGCCAGAAATCAGTAAAGATTATGGGCCGCACACGCTGTCGCCCAAGCTGAGAACCTTGATCGAATTCTTAGAAACTGAATGGACGGAGAAGTTCACCGGTTTGATCTTTGTCCAACAACGCGCGCTCGCGCATGCACTTGCATATCTGCTTTCAGGATACAGATTCCAACGAGCCAAGCTGCGAGTCCAGTCATTCATCGGCATGTCGAACGTACAAACCGTGGTGAAACGGCTCGTTGAACAGATCATGCCGCACAACCAGAAAGGAGTGTTGGAGAACTTTAGATCAGCAGAACGTGAAATCAATCTTCTAGTGGCTACCGATGTCCTTGCAGAGGGTGTGGATGTGCCTGACTGTCATCTTGTCATATGTTTCGACGCGCCCACACAGATCACTTCGTATATACAGAAGCGCGGAAGAGCTAGGATGAAAAATTCGAAGTACATACTGATGTTAGAGGAGGGAATGGATGATGGAAAAATAAAGAGATGGCAAAAATTAGAAGAAGATTTAGAACGGCTGTATCAGGATGAGAAGAGGGCTCGGGCGATCTCAGAGCAATTGGAAAACCGGGATGACAAATGCTCGGCAACCATCCAGTTTCGCGTGCCATCAACTGGTGCCCTTCTAGACTTCGATAACGCTTTGCCAAAGTTACATCACGTATGTCAATGCGCTCTGTCAGAATCCTTGGTGGACTCGAGGCCACGGTTCGCATTCAAGGAACATCCAGACAGAACAGTCACCGCTACTGTAATCTTGCCTGTTGTTTTCGAGCCAAATATTAGAGTTACGAGTAGCTCCGTGGCGTGGCTAACAGAGAAGGCAGCTAAGAGAGATGCTGCATTTAACGCGCTCCGAAAGCTCTACGAACATGGCTTACTGGACGAACATCTACTGCCGCCAAGGCCACGGAGCCACGAGCCAGATGAGTTGGATGTAGATGAAAAGTCAGGCTCTTTTTGTGCTGTATTGCCCCGGATGAATCCATGGGTGGATATCGCCCTAGCCTTGCAGTCGGGATTCTTGGATTGGCATTGCCTCGACGTGATGATCGAGGAACTTGGCGGTGACCAGATGAAGATGGATATGGTTATATTTGCACCAATATCACTTCCTGCGCTCCCTGAATATACAGTTTTTTGGGATCACCATGCAAAATACGTAGTGCGCGGTGTGTCATCCCAAGTCCGTCGAGCAATGAACGCGGAAGATATTGAGGTGTTGCGAGAACATACCGATGCAATCATTCGCTTAACACATGGATCCCGAATGCCGGCCGGCCATCTGAATTTTCCGTTTCTTATTTCCTTGTCCTCCACAGAGATAAAATATTGGCAGAAACATCGAGATCATCAATCTCCAATAGACGATCTCGAAGTAGACGATGGCGAATGCGGTGCGACTAGTAGACCTGGCATCGTCCTGTATGGCAGCCGGAAATACTTATTTAAAAGTTTCAAAAAAGCGAGCTTCAACGAAGATGGCGTTGAAGAGGAGGCCATCGAGGCGACCGTATTTCCGAAGAGAAGGGATTTTTTGCATCCGCTTACTAGCAATCAGCATTCATACACGAGGACGTATCTACTCCCTACAGCGGAATGCGTGCTAGAATCCTGGGGCTTAACCGCCACGATGAAGTCCCTCTTTGTTCCCTCGCTTCTGCACCGGATTGAGCTGTCACTTCTTACAGAGCGACTACGCGCTGCTTTGGTCCCACACTTTTGTGACGAGAACCTTCCGCTTCTCCAAACAGCAATCACCGCTCGATCAGCACGGGAACAAGAAAGCTACGAACGCCTGGAACTCTTCGGGGACGCTTATTTCAATTTTCTCACGTCTCTTAACGTTATGGTCGAAAGACCCTATTGGCCTGAGGGATTTTTAACTATGGAAAAGAGTCGACGAGTTGCAAATGATACTCTTTGCAAGGCGGCATTGAGCGTTTGCCTTGATCAATATATTATTCTGAAGCCATTTACGGGCCTAAAGTGGGTACCACCGGACGTGGAGAAGCTGCTAGTTGAAGCCAGCCAGCCAAAGGGGCGGGAACAAGGCCCGAAGAAGAGGTTGGCTGATGTGGTCGAGTCGACTATTGCAGCGGCATATCTCGATGGAGGTCATAGCGGAGCGATTAAGCTCTGTAAAACATACTTCCCGCAACAAATGTGGGAATGTCCCGAAAGACAAGCTCTTGAACTATTCAGCAGAGCCGGTGAAGAACGAGTACATCTCGAGGCTCTTGAAAACCTGGTCGGATACAAATTCAGGAAGCCGAGCCTTTTGTTGGAAGCCATAACCTCTTCGATGTATAAAGGCGGGGACCAAAACGCGCGGTCATATGAGCGCCTTGAGTTTTTTGGAGATGCAGTCCTTGATTACTTGGTTGTGCGACGCATCTACGCTTTCAATGGCCGAGAGCTACCACACAACGCAATGCACTCATTTAAATGTGCAGTTGTTAACTCGTGGATCCTGGGCTATTTGTGTATGGAGCACTGCATTTGGGAAGAGCGGAACAACATCGTCATGAAGCCGGCTGGTCACAGCACGTCTTATACACCAGAGATCGAGCAGACAAGTGTTAAGAAACATATTTGGCAATACCTTCGACCAGGCTTGCGCACAGAGAAAGAGAATCGGTCTCTCGAGAGATTTGAGAAGATGCGTAATAGTCTCAAATACTCTCTTGAGACGTGCACCTCATTTCCTTGGCCACTGATTAGCCGTTTCAATCCGGCCAAAGTATTTTCTGATCTCATAGAGACCATACTCGGAGCCATCTATATCGATTCGCACGCGAATGAAGAGAAGTGCGATTCATTTTTAACGCACATCGGGCTCTATCGGATCCTCGATCGCCTCCTTGAGGACAATGTAGCCTGCATGCACCCCAAGGAGCTTCTTGGCATTCTGGCACAGCAACGTAAAGTGAGCTACACTTACAGCGAGGAAGACCAAATGTTCACCTGTCAAGTCCTGTTTGACGGAAAGCCTGTTGGCAAAGTCGCACAGGCTGAAACCAAGGACATAGCAAGCACATTGGCAGCAGAGACTGTTATAGAATGTGAGCGGGGAGAAGAGATCTACGATGTGGTGGAGAAGGCTTGGAAAGTTGTAAACGAGGAGAAATCCGCCCCGGACAGCGAGGTAGATGATGGTCTTCTGAGAGAAGTAGATGACGAGTAAATATCCCTTAGTCCCTCTTCAAAGAGATAGAAATGATCGAGCATCCGCTTCACGATTACAGCTATGCCTTGACGGCGATGAGGTTATGAATTTACGGAAATGATGGCTTAGTAATTGGCAACTGATAAGAGGTATAAGGTCGCAATTTTAACGTCCAATCTTCAGAAGGGATATTTCTCGGCTAGATGTGGTTCGTCACATTCAGAGACAAGACTGTAATGCATTGTCAGCGAATCAATTTCGTGGGCAGATGGCCGTAGTGCAAGCTTAAGTGAATGATACAATCTTTGGAATATTGCAGTGCTCGAACCTTGCCATTTTGTAACTAACAGACGTTGGTGAGAAAAGCTGCGTCGACGGTGGTTGAAGTCAAGCAAGTTAGACCCTGGACTTTGCAATGTGCCACCATTGCGGACTTTCCGACTTGCGAGATTTCCATTTTCGGCGTTCAGCATCAGAATCTCTCACATCACAACCAAGATGGTCAATATACCGACGCGCATGCGCAAATTGAATAGAGTGAGTGCTTCAATTCTGAGATGGTATTGCCACGCAATTGACTGCTAACTTTCAACCCCAGAAAGTATGGCCTCACCACACACTTTTCCATCACAAGTTCCTAACACATCTCCTGTAGTTACTATCCATAAGACTGGGGCCAGGCGCCGCGATCTTACCCAAGAATGTCACGCGAATACACATGGAGATGGCAACTAAGATAGATGGGGGTCACCGAGGGGGGCGGTATGCAATTCAGAGGATGCAATCATAGAGAGGAGGAGGAAATGCTGATGTCTCATGACAGCAAATTTTGGAGACATATGCTCCCCCGGCTCGCTTATCATAACCCGTCGATACCGATGACTGTTCAGCGCAGCGAAAATAAAGAATCGCCCTGCGTTCTCTCGGTATATCTTGCGTCTCAAATGGATGGAAACGCCGGGAAGTCGCCGACGGAAAAGTCAGACGCGGCTCCAAACGTGCTGAAGATTGACATGCGGATGAAGCAGGAGAGTGAGATTTTGGCGCAATTGATGGAGCTGACGGGCGCAACGGAAGTGCAGCCAACGCCGGAAGATGTGGAATTGATGCGGCATCTAGAGGAACAGAGGCTCAAGAGCGAGAGGGACAGTGCCCGAGGAAAGGCCTACCGAGCGCAGTGGAAGAAAGAGCAAAGCATGCTCCAGGCAGCTAGGGATGGCACGCTATGAGATGGGTTGTATGTCGCCCATGCCCGGACAGGATCGGTTGATATCCAAAATAGCGACGCGGCGAAGCATTTGTATCACATAAAGCATTTGGGAAGTGAAGGGCATAGATATCATAGGGATTAATACTTCATGGCATCGACATGTGCTCTGCAAGTCTGCCCACTTGTCGGATCACGCTTCTAGTTCAGCAGACGCTCCGTTCTTCCACCAAGCCATGACGCCCAACACGAACACCACAACCATGGCATCTGCTACCACGGTCGTATATATAACGCTGTATCTGCCTACAACCCTCACGTAACCCGCCCAAGGCTCTGGAAGCACCTGGCTTAATGTTCCCATGATCCCACTCTGTGTCAAGCGACCCTTCTCGATAAAGTATCGCGATGATTGCAGGACAACTTCCGCCGTCGCGAACAGATAGAACAACTGCGTGCTGAAGTTTCGCTCCAAAGACAGTGGTGCGGTGTATGTTAGGCTGGAAAGCTCACGAGCACGCTTGGAGCCCGTGAACGTGGTGTTGAGCGTGACATACAAAGCTAGGAAAAGAGAGATGACGAAGTGCAGAATCCGCCACACGTAAGCAGAGCTAGTTGGCGGCTGTTGTGCTGCCTCTTGTTCCTGCCCAAGTGCGCCGAAAAGACTCGCAAGACCGGGAGGTATCTGCGCGTTGGGGTCACGGTTCTGCTCGCCAGCGCCGGCCATCATTTGCTGCAGCATGGCCATCATAGGGTCGTCTGCAGGAGGCATTTGCTGAGCTTGCGGGCCAGATTCGAATCTTGGCCCGGGTGATCTATTCGTTGTCCTGGGCTGATAGTGATGCTCTGATATATCCACAATGTCAGGGTCGGGCGTCGCCGTGCCGCCAACAGGAGCTGGGCTCGACTGCGGAAGTTGTGCTGCCGGGCGAGCTGTTTTGGACGGTCAGAATAGTTGCCGCAAGTGTCCTTGTCGAATTTGTTGGCGAACCTGTCTCTGCTTCGGCGGCGTGCTGGCGACCGCTCGAATTCATGATCGCAGCTAGTCGGGCGGAGCCGCCGGCTTGGATCTTTGCATTTCGGCGTTCACGACGGAGCCGCGCCTGCTTCTGTGCCGGCGTCTCTTCTGCTGGGGCTGGTTCTGACATCTCGTGGTTGGGTTTGTCGTTCACGTTTCGTGGGTCTGTGTCTGCTGTAGATTTATGTCATGACGAGGTGTGCTCTCACTAGCGCGATTTGGGTTGCGCCGCCAATTTTTGGCACAGTGGCATCGAACATCCTCTTCCGAAGATCCTTACAAGCTTCTAAAGCAAGCTCTCTTTTTGCTTCGGAGAACGTCGTCTGAAACAGTGATTCCACAGTCTTACCCTCGTTTTGGCTCGTGAAAATTGTCCTGATAGCCATAATTGCATTGCGCTCCAAAATGCACAGTGACACCAAGCTTCCCACATCTCCCCACAATTGTTCCAACTTTTCAACTCTTGCTATCTGTATATATTTCCGTACACTGCTTAATTCAGCGACATTGGCAAATCACTACTTTTAATCAATCCGTTCTCATCTTATAATACTGGCGACATGCCGGATTCCTGCCTTTTTGTTCTCCGGAACAACTCGACGTCGAGCGAAGTGTATGCTTACATTACTGGAATTGCAATCCAGCACAACGGTGCTCGTGTGCTCATTGAATCTAATTGCAAAAATTTGTATTTCCCAGAATCGCCCAACGATATCCTTCAGCCACTCAAAAAGGACTGCGCCATTCCGTTAGGACCACCAGGGAGCGAAGTCACAGTGAACGTCCCTCAAATTGCAGGTGGACGAATATGGATCTCCATGGGCGGCAAACTCACGTTTTTGGTCAACCCAGGCCCGGCACTTGTCGAGCCTTCTGTACTAAACCCGAGTGATCCGAATGCGACAGTTAACTTTGGATTTTGCGAATTTACTTTGAATCATGACCAATTGTTCGCGAATATAAGCTACGTCGACTTCGTACCTCGCATTCCGATTGCCTTACGACTCGAAAATACTAATGGCCATGTACAGGAGGTCGCTGGCATGCCGCCTGATGGCCTGGACCGTGTTTGTAATGCGTTAATAGGGCAGGCACAGAAAGACGGGATTCCGTGGGATAAACTTGTGGTGCGGCATAAGGACGAGAATCTGAGAGCTTTAAACGCAACACATGGCTATGCTGTTGGGGCTAATTTTGATGGCTACTTTGAGCAGTACGTGGAGAAGGTATGGAAAAAGTACTCAACAAGCTGCTGTAGAATCGACACACAAGCTGCACATGGTATATTGGAAGGTAGGGTCAATGACAGAGGTGAGTTCGTCGTAGGAAACGAACGCTTCACCAAGCCAACGACCGCGGACATTCTTGTGAGCTAGTTATCCCTCGATATAATATTCTTCGATATGCTCACATGTGTCATCCAAGGGATGTAACTCTGGTCCATTTACAACCGGACCGTCTCCCGAAAGAAATTCGATAATACCTCGCCTTGCAGCTGCCTTCGTTCGCACCACCTTATTATGCGCGGAGGACCATCCTTCGCAACCTCAGACATTCTATAGGGAAGACCCTACGAATCATTACGCTAGGATTGTTCACGAAAACAACATCGATGGGAAGGGCTATGCTTTTGCTTACGGTATGTCATCTCAAAAAGCCAATAAAACTGCCCAGGCAGCATATCTTGTTGCTCTTCCATGCGCAATGCAGGAGCAATGACGTTATGTTTCCTGCCGCTCAAATGGTCGCGACAAAATGCCCTAAGTGATGAAGCCAAAGCTGAACTCTGAGTTTGAGATGATGTGCAAGCCAACGGCTGCGAAGATCAGTCAGGGAAAGTGAATGATGCTTCACCGAAAGTTTTCGTAGTCACTATTGGGGGCTAGTGACATTGGAGATCATGAATGTCAAGCATCTACAACTCGGATTCATGATAGCGCGAACAATCAACCAAGTCGTAGCTATTCAACAAATTAGAACACCATTCATGTTTACAGACATGGAGGAAACAATCTCTGGTATAGGAATCCGGGGTATACGTTATGATTTTAGTCATTCTTGCTTGATGTTTTGCAGGTACTGGCAGCAGCCTAGTGCCTTCGAAAGAGATTGAAGTTTCGGCAAGATCAGTCACAAAAAACTTATCTGCGTCCTCGCCAAACTCTTTCTCTAAGGAAGATTTATGAGAGATCATTTTCACTGTTCGGCACGCACAACCTCTGGGCTTGGGCGCTATCAACGTGATTTGTAGTTCTCATCTCAAATCGTTCCATGATTGCAAAGCGTATCATATTCGGAGCCCACATCGCACGCGGGCTGCATAACGGGGATAGATTGTGGTTTTCCTCTAAGCGTTAGAAGACCCATCTGGGCGACAATTTGATCAGGTCCCACAAATAAGGCTCATGTAGTTTGTGGCCCACAACGCTTCCAGCGTCGAAATTGTCCATGTGAATTGGTTGCACACAATTGCAGAAAATAAAAAAGGGAGAATTCTTAAGTTGAACATGAACTTGTCTTCTCCGAGAACAGAAGCGTGTTCACGCGTGCAAGAAAGAATGGCTTCGAAGCCTGCGTATTAGTATATCCTGTAACTGGAGCCAAAGGTGGGTGATGCGGCAAAGTGGGCAGTTATGAGGACAGCTACGATGTCCATCTGAGTAGCATGATTGTGGATCTCCATGCTTCTAGCTGCATAAACGATAACAGAGGCTGTAGACGTGCCTTAGACTCGGCCTTTGTACCGAGGCGTTATCAGACAGCTGCCAGCTCCAACAATCTGAGCAGAGAACAACGAGGGCCCACAACGGAGTTGGCAGCGCTAAGGGGTACTTGGGTCGTGCCCAAGGGGACGATGCCAGGTAAACTTGCATTCCTATCTGCAGAGGATTAGCGTCTCTGAAGGAGAGGATCGAGGAGGCCATGGGAGGTGGTCGAAATCTTGGCAGACTGAAGAATCGTGCGCATGACTCGCTCTCCGCATTGTCTTTCGGAGAGTGACAAAACAAGACAGCCGCCGTAACGTCCAGGGAACGGGAAGATGCGAAAGTGCGTCCTTTTTTTTGCTTCGCACGTTTCGAGAAGGGCGATGGAACGATCAATGCGCAGGTACACAAGCGTTAGATCTTGCGCGCTACGTTGACGAGCCGGAAGCGATCATCGGGCCACTGCCCGGATGAGTATATGGAGCCGTCATGATGAGTTTGGGTTCTCTCTGTACAGCGTGCACTGTGCTCCGTTCAATCCTGTACAGCATGATGATGATGGTGTGGCCACCCCACGTCGACGCTTTGTGGGTGGGATTGTGCGCGCAAACGAAGGGCGATGGAGCCACTTTTCAAACCGTCCGGCCTTGCCACCACTGGCGTTACAGCCCCAAACCATGCGCAATGTCCTACACAGGAGTAGCAGGCGAAGGAAAAAAAGAAACGCAGGGCACATGCTATTTTGCTTCACCACCCCGACGAGGCCTTTGCCGCTCCTGGGGCAACTGATAGACCCAGCTCGACGGTAATACGAGGAAAAGCGCATTTCGCATAGCAACGGAAAGGAGACAAACTCCCCACGTCTTGAGGCTAGCAACACACGACCGCAGTGTGCGACAGGACATCAGCAGGACTTTCTCGCCTGCGACTATTGACGGACCAGAACCTGGCCGGGCTAAATCAGAGACTGGCCCGGCTTCTCCCTAGAACGATTTAGAAGAACCGTGATCTCTCGACCCCGCAAACAGAGCCGGCAGCTGAGTGGAGGACCCAAACGTAAACGTGAGCACTCCCCAGCAAGTGCGCCGGCTGGTTTGTGTGAATTATGTATTCGCAGACCGCCATTAGCAGAAACTTACGTACTGTATATCACTAAGGGCGCTTCTATCTGTCGCTGGCCAGGGGTCCCGAGACTTCCCCTCTCTTACCAGCCGAATCCCAGTTCGCTGGGTAACTTACGACGGAGGCAGACGGCCAGGTTTTTCTCCTTTGCAGACCGTAGTGGCAAGGCTTCTCGAAGGTCGTGCCCGCCTTCTCTGCATTCTGCGCGAACGTTTAGCTCAGCTTAGCTTCTTGCCGCAGTGTTTGCTCCATGCCCTTTGCAGGGTGCGCAGCAAATGATAAGCCTCTCAGATCCCGCTAGCCCGTCGGACAGCGCCGTCTTGCCAGCGATCCACTCGCCAGCCAGTGGCTGAGAGAGAGATGAGCCAGGGACTATCTACCAGGACCCTCGGCAGAGATAATGGTTTGCCTGTAGGATCTCTCCTCCTCGCGCGGAACCTTGCAGAAGACTTGTTTCTCGCATGATCAATTGGCCGGCCGAATGGCCGGCAGAGACGCCCCGACGATGTCCGTTCGTTCACCCGTATCATCCTCCCGAAATGGTGTCCATGAGATCATCGGTGGTGAAGATGCCGTCATTGGCCGCGTGCAAACATGCTGGTCATCTCTCATGCACGCTCAGATCCTCCTTCATCGACATTCCGCCTAATGGGCGATGTAACCTTGCAAGCACAAGGACAGAGTCCGTTCATTGCAGCCTCGCCTCAAGCAGTGGGGTGTGCAGATAGACATCTACAGTTCTCCTCGTGGCGCATCAAGGGCTGGGCAGCTTGTTCGTTTCCTATCTCTCTTTACCTATTTCATATACTCGCTATGCCCTCTTTTTCTAGGGCTGCTCTTCTGCCATTGGAACGCTTGTCTTTCCTGCCTGTCTCTTCACTTTCTCCACTAGGCTGACAGGTACTCACCCTTGCACCGGCCTTATCAACTCTACCTCGAGACGCCACTACTTCTCGACTATCCCCAGATATTCTGATGCGCTTGTTAAGAGGCCCGGCATCTTCACGAGCTAGAACGTCCTGAATCACTGATCCAGAGTTGCGGCAAAGGTAGTCCTTCACACCATATATGATCCTTGAATTCCGTGCCGCGGTCACTCGAATGCTTTTCGAAGACAAGCCTTTTCACAAATATGACTTCGTCTTTGACCGATCTCACTACGGCAGACAACTCGATGGCAAAGAATGCCTCGAATGCACCACCGCGGAAACGAAGAAGACGAACTGCTGTTACCGGAGCTGCAGAGGATTGCTTCACTTGCCGTAAGAAGCAAGTCAAATGTGACCGGAGACGACCATATTGTCAGTTTTTTTCGCTGAAAGATGCTCTCCGCTACGACATGACTAACGTCGCAAAAAGGCACCCAATGCTTGGAGATGGGCAAGGATTGCACAGGCTACCGAACAACGCTCACTTGGGGCGTTGGAGTTGCGTCCCGTGGAAAGTTGCGTGGACTTTCACTACCTATTGCCAATTCGAGCAAAAGAGCACCGACATCGAATGACGATGGAAAATCACACCGAGCAAACACAGAGAAGGCGGCGACGTCGCCTTCCCCTGTTCCCCCTCAACTGGAGCGAAAGGGACCGGACGACAACTTCAGCCCTCCCTACCATCGTACAGCTGAGCTTGGGTCCACAGTCTACCCGCATGGCAGCTACTCACCGACCAGTCCCATTCCAATCCCATCTCAGCAAGGTCGTAGCGGCTGGCACATGTCAAATTTCGCGGATGTCTTGGATGGTTACCAAAATCTACTGAGCAAGGCGACAAGACTTCAAATCCGGCCAAATCCTTTACGTCGGATTCACACCACCGGCACGGCCTCATTAGATGAAGTCGCCTATTCTACGCCGTCGAGTGCGTTCAGTGATAGTGACTATCCGTCTCCGAGCGAATTTCCAGCCACCCCGGAGGATTATGGGATCCCCGAGCCTCTTGTCAACTCTTACTCAGAGTCGTACCCGTGTCCGCCGCCAGAACAGTTACAACCTGTCGACAGTTATAGATATGTGGAGACACCCCGCTCGTTTCCAAGTAACACGGCGTTCAGTGTACCGGAAGTAGCCTCTGTTAGAAGCACTTCCAGCAACTACAGCATGCTTGCATCATCCGCACTACCCACTTCATTCTCAGATCTTTTGCACTCCCATGACTACACGCCAACGAACGAACTTTCACATTCGTATCCTGTGGGGCAGAAAGTAGATCACGACTACTTCTCAGATGGACTCTCAGATTTTTCGGTTAGTGTTCCCTCCACTTGGCCTGCACTTCAACCAACGCATAAGAATTCAGGACTCCGTGGTCTTCCGTCCCGAATGCAATTCTTACTCGGATCATACAGCAAAGCCGTGTGCCCCTTGTTTGTGGCTTCCGACCATGAACGAAACCCCTACAGGTTGCATGTGATGGCGCATCTCAATTCAAGTTTACCGTTACAATACGCTGTTGCTGCCTTAGTCTCATGCCACCTTAAATCGTACAAGGCAGACGATTTGAGTGCACTCGCCATGGATAGCTTTGAATCATCGCAAACAATCCCCATGAAAGTGGACTGCCCAAATCCGGAGCAACATGAGTTGAATTACAAAAAGTTGGCCACAGATGCATTCAACGACGCTCTCAAGACTAGCAACATGTCAGGCGATGAGTCCATCCTCATTACCTTACTAGTTCTCTGTCTTTTGCATTTGTCGGAATCCGGCTTTGGTAACTTTAAAATCGGGTTAGCTGGCGTTAAAAAACTTTTATCCCTTCATAAATCGGGAGCGCAAGGCCAGCTATCTGAAACGATGTCCTGGGCTGAAAATTGGTTCCTCTGGTTGGACATTCTCGTGTCGGCTATGGGAGATGGTGCAGCAGCACGGCAATCCGAAGTGCTCAATGCTCTTGATCGTTCTGCGTATCTTGGCTCAGTGGAATACCTAGCCAACTGCGAGGGTCAACTGTACGACGCTGTTGCGCGGCTCAAAGACTGGAGTCTGTCCTTAACCCGTCTTGCTCCATCTCGAGATTTTTACGGAGGGCAGATTACGAGCTGCGAACCCGATCTCGCTTTCGAAACGAGTCGGCATTTCTGGACTCCACTGTCCAAGGTACAAAGTCGGTTGAAATCGATCGCGAGTCATCCAAATTTCCACGAGGCTGAAGCAGATCCTATGATCTTGAATTATACTATGGACTGTTTTAAAAATGCCGCAGCAATATATGCGGAGCGCATCACTCGGGTCAACCAAGAACCATCAACACATATTGAGGACATTGTGGCACGATCTATTCCCTGTGTAACCGGCATTTCAAGCAGCAGCTGTATCAATGAATTCATTCTTTGGCCACTGCTGGTCATCGGTACAGAGTGTGTACAAGAGCATCATCGAGACCTGTTCCGTCAACGTATCGCCACGGCTACATCAGGATCTCACTTCTTCGGCGATTTCTCATGCGTTGAAGTGCTCTTCAAAGTGTGGACATTGATTGACCTAGGCATGACCTCCGTCAATGTGCCTGTGAAGGTACGAGACTCATGGCCACGTCTGAGTTGCCTCGGTGGACGAGCAGCAACCTGGTACAATGCGATGGCAATACTCGAACACAGCGGTCGCAGTTGATGAATGGGAAAGGCACGTGGATAAAATACTCTGTGATATCTGTAACTTCGGTATTCCTCTAAAAGCAAAACAAAAGTTATGTGTGGTCTATATGCCAAATCTAAAACGAAAAGCATTGTCACGAGTCGATGATGATAACCGGAAAAATTAATGATAAAATGAGGGAATGCTTCTCTGGTATGAGCCATATATGGCTGTTTTTTATGGGGTTCTTTTCTTTTTGCTCCAATCTCATCTGATCTGCACTTTTAGTTATTTACATTTCAATGTCCATCCTGTGCACCACTGACGATGATCGTGATGTCCGATGCCTTGATACTGCGGACATCTGAGACACTAGTCTAAGACGTAAACCTTAGCTTAAATCAAACAACGGCACGAACTACAGTTCGACGTCCATGTCATCTTGCTCAATGCTCAGTGGTCCTTTCTTGACCATGAGAGTCATGACCTCGTACAAAACATCGGCTGCGGCCATTGTAGTATGCTCAGCATTAGTATCGTAGGCGGGCGCAACTTCGACGATATCTGCTGCGATAAGGTTGATCCCCTCGAGACCTCGGATGATCGTGCGTAGCTCTCTTGTCGACCAGCCACCAGTCTCAGGTGTGCCCGTAGCGGGCGCAACTACAGAGAGGGCAAGTGGTTAGCGGTAGGTCTATGCACACGGCAAGGGTCCACAGAAACTTTGCACCTGGCGCAACAGCATGGAAAGCTAGATCATGAGATCCAGTCCGTTATGCTAGACACGGGTTAGAGCGCCTAGGGTGCGGAGAATACTTACAGGCGGGGTCTAGCGTATCAATGTCGATCGACAGGTACACCGGTTTTGTCGTTCCCACACGGTCCTTGATCTTTCGAATTATGCCGTGCATGCCGATTGTGTCGATCTCGCGGGCTTCGACGATCTCGAAGCCACAATACCCGTCATTCTCATAATCACTTGGTCCAGAGAGCGTCGTTCGAATGCCAGCGTGGATGTTGCTGTCATTAGCAAGTAAGCCTTCTTGAGATGCATGATAGAAGTATGTGCCGTGGTTAATGCTCGCTTGCTGCGACGGAGATCCACCGAATACTTTTGGCTTCCAGGTGTCTCTAGAGCCAAGTCAGCTCAAACCCCCACGTTATAAATGGAACACATCTCTTACAGGTGGCTGTCAAAGTGAATGACAGATACAGGTCCGTATTCACGATTGACGCTCCGTAGCAAGGGTAAGGTGATCTAAAGCAATGTGAGCGGAGCTCTTGCTCAATATGCAAGTGTCACATGCAGTGTGGTCACCTCCAAGGGTGATTAAACGAGGCAAAGTCTTGCCTTTTTTTGAGAAACCTTTCTTGTGAGCTGCAGTTTTTGGAGCCCTAGAAAGCAGGTAATTATGACCGTCTTCAATTTGCTGAAGAGCGTATGCGTTGTCGTATCTGGCAAGTCGCTTCTTGATTAAAAATTGTCTTTATAGACTCTCCATGGCTCATTAGCAGCGACTTACGAGGTCACCTAAGCATAAAGTTAGTACGTTTTTTATTTCTCAGCACATGACATGGATAATTTCTTAGGAATTGAAGCCGTCCGCAACTTCAACACAGAGGCTCTGATCATATTCATTAATTGACTTACCGGAATATCGCCACAGTCAATGACCTTAGCCCAAGAATTGAAAGGATTCGCCTTAAGCGGCACATTATAGCCTCCACTAAATCCGACTCTTCGTGAGCCTATTATTCGACAGACAATTGTAAGCCTTTGTGCTTTATGATTGACCCACTATAAATTTAGGCGCCTGCTACCTTGGCGGATGCCAGAAGGTCCAAATCTTGCTCCTGGGCGATAACTGGTCTTCAGAGCGGGTCAGCAAAAGCCGCGAGAAAAGTGCATCTAATCTCAACATACACCAGTATCAAAGGGAGCACCTATCAACGTCAGCTAAATGACCTCGAACTGCTTCAAATATTTCAATTTACCAATGAAGGCAATATCATAAGTCACCTTATCGTCTTTGAGGCATGGCGAGTAGTCGATGCGCCCGAAAGTTGAAATGCCCGAAAAGACTGAGTCGGCCTGCAGAGTTTAGTATAAGCTTGCAATTTCCATCAGGGTATTATGTACTTGAGTTCCACCGTCTCCAGGAAGGGTATTATACCAAAGACCAGGATGTGGGCCCTGGATTGGTTTCTGGTTGTGATCACCATGAGCTGCTACAATGGCAGCAAAAGCTGCGAGGATTCCCGCCGGTGTTTTCATTGCAAGTTGAACTACAGTTTGAGAAAAGAAAGAAGGATGTGCAGCATATTATGAGCAAGGAAGTGGCACAATCGTAAAGTGCACCTCGGAGATAGCTCGACGTGAACGTCGTGTACCTCTTAGGTAAAAAATCTCAGCTGTCCGAGTGCGGCAATTAACTCTACCAGGGAATCTTTATAGATTCATACTCAATTGAGCAAGCTTTAAAGCTAAAGTGAGGGACATCCACGCGAATCGAGGGCCGCTTGTCGTGATGCAATCCATTCGGAGCCAGTATCTTGGTGGCGGGGCAGTTCAGTGCATGAAGCTCAACGTTGATGGCTTATTCCGTGATGGAATACGATTGGCCGTGAATTGCTATCGTCCCTTGACCTGGAAGATAAACATGCACAAGCTGGAGCACTAGTTTGGGATGTCGTCTAGATCGCTTGCTCGACATTGGATATGCCGGAACTCTCGGAGTCCGCGGCCAACGGGGAGACAAAATTTACGCAGAGCTTAGCTTTATCTTTCGGAGATTGTGCTATAGCTATCGAATACAATTATAATGCCCCATTATTATCACTTAACTTATTCAGCGTGTTAAAACTCTTTGTCGTGGGACTATGACGGGGAATAGGCGACATTGCGTTTACGCAAAGTTGTGTCTAAAGACTAATCTTCAATAGATGATAAGAGGTGAGACTGCATATGCCCGTGCAAGGTTTAGACACAGAGGGGAACCTGTCCTTGTAACTAATGATGGTGGGGAGTGATTGAGATTACGCTTTCAGAGAAGCTGATGTCAGGTCGAACTTGGTGATGGAACTCTTGGCGTTATGATTGCTGTGAAATCACGTGCAACTCGCTTTTTTTCTAATTTACTTCAAACTACCATGCAACGGTCAGATATGTCACATGCAATCTAAACAACACCTGCGGTTTCTGAATTTTGTTGGTCATGATCCATCCTCTTAAACGCCATGTCCACCTGATGATTCCAATCCGAGAAGGCAACAATAGCCCACTCTAAAATGCCGACAAGATATAGTGCAATACATTGGCCGACCCAGAGACCTGCTAGGCCCCATCCGTGGAAGGCGAGATGAATACCAAGTGGTAAAGCGCCTGCGTAGTATGATAGAATGTTGACAAGAGCCCCAACGTGTTGTCTTCCCATGCCGCGAAGCGCTCCACCACATGAACCGTTCAACCCATCAGCAATTTGAAAAAGTGCAACATATGGCATCACTTCGGCAGTGAGCTTGATTACTCGTATGTCGTCGTTGAAGATTTTCGCATAAAAATCTTTGACGCCCATAAGCACGGCAAGGACAATAGCCCCAAGAACCATGCTAAGAAAAGCAGCAGTATTCGCAGATCTTGCTGCCCCTTTCGCATTCCGAGCCCCGAGAAGATTGCCCACTCGAGCACTGGTTGCAACACCAACGCCAAAAGGAATTGTGTTCATAACCTGATCTGTGGTCATAATCACAGATTGTGCTGCAAGGTCGATAGTCCCGAGCTGACCTGCGACGATAGCAACAATCTCGAATGCCCACCATTCCGTGCCCACATGAACAACTCCAAGGAAAGCGAGCCTTGCGAATGTTCCCATGTTTTTGAGACACTTCCAATCCCAGCCTCCCCAGCACTGCCATCCATCTACAAATCGAGCATACGAAAGCAGAAGTAAAAAGCTGAGCCAATAGCTGATGCCTGTTGCGATTGGTGCCCCGTATAGCCCGATTTTGAACGTATAAACGAAGAGATAATTCAATCCAGCATTGAGAGGGGATGTAATCAACAAAACATAGGTCCCAGGCCTCATGATCTCTGTGCGTGTGATCAGCATACACATTGAACAGTGGCTTAGTTCACTCCCTACCTTGTGCCTGAAGAAATTTTTTTAATGCTTCAAAGTAAATATATCCCAGACCTCCAGGAGCCAAAATTGCAAGAAAGCGGGAGGCATCCCGGGCAAGATACGCTTCTTGACCCAAGGCCATGAAAATTGGCTCCGCACATCCCCAGAGGATAACGATGGGAATGTAGAAGATGAAGAGCACCACGAATGCTCGCTGAAGGATAATCCCCAGATCGTGTGGATTTTTGCTCCCAGTAAATGTTGCAGATGCCAATGTGTCAATGGCAGTAGTTCCCCCAAGTGCAATCAACCAACCAGTAGCCATTGCGAACATGTAAGAGAATGCTGCCGTCGCTAAAGCTTCGGGCGATAGTCGTCCTACGATCAGAACACTTAAAGTTTGAAGAGAGTTTTGCAACGCATAGGCGAGAATGACTGGTATTGAACCACGGAGCAAGACCCAAAATTCATGCAAAATACGTTGCCACTCTGTTTTGCTCAGATCATCTGCTTCCCTATAACCATCGTCTTCATGGATTTGACTTGGGAGTAGTCTGGTTGTCTCATCAGGAACTGGAAATTCCGCACTGCCATCGGTCCTGGACCGTGTCAACTTTGGTTTGGGATGTATCCATGCATCCGGATTGGAAATGCTACCCTGTCTACCCTCCATATTAAGGTCGTAATGAAGCCTTCAGCTCGAAAAGTCAGGAGAGGACAAAATAGATGATACGAAATTCGATATCAACGTTGATGATTAAATTGAATCTTCGAGACCAAATAGATAAGAAATGCATAAATGGAATGTGGACTGAAATTCACGAGAAATGAACAATTTTTCAAAACCCTTAAGAGTACAAGGTAACGCCTGTATCCACTCAAGCTCCTAACAGCTTGCTTGCCAGCAGCATCAACTTGCATTCGGATGCCGTGGACAGCATGAAGACACTTCATCATGAATTTACAAGGATGATATGCAGCATCGGTATGAATGCTGAGGTCAGCCGCACTTCAAAGATTGGTCAATTAAATTTTTCTTGATATACAGAAATGGGTGGGTCGTGTTGGGCGATATCGGCCGTTCCTCGGCGTGTTAGAGGCAAAGCCCGCGCGCTTTCTTGAATCACTCCAATCCTGGTTCGATACATCCTTATCTTTTCAAATGTGACTGTTGACTTGGGGTAATAGCTGTTAGCGATTGGCCTTTTTTTGCTTTCAGCCTTGCAATTTCTGCCCTCAGCATGCGGCCTTGCGTTGCTGTGGGCCTCTCACGAATGCTTGAGAAGTTCACATCAGTAATCTGGTCGTTCTCTGAGCCTGGATGACCTACTGATTTCGATGGCGATAAGAAGAGCCTGGTATTCAATGGAGTCTAGCTGATACTGTTGCTGACAATTCAAGATGAGAGGGCACCCCCCGTGGGATGCGTTTCCACAGAATACGCATATCCTCGTTCAAGACGAAGAACATGTTCAGAAACCTGAACGTTTTCTCTCTGCTAACCGCGGGAGTTCGCTGTAGAGTGCTTCTAATTCGCGAACATACTTGCTGAACGTTTGTCGAGATACGGCCAATCCACAGATCCACCCGTCGGACAATGTCTTCTCGCGGCTTGACAGCTGCGTTGAACCCTTCCAAGAAAAGCAAGCATTCGTTAATCCCTGCGCCACGCGAAAGATAAGAGAATAACCAACGAATGCTTTTGCTGCTTAGTCGTCAGCTGCAGATGCCATGACTTCAAGTCTAGACTGTAAAGCCTAGATGAGGAGATATTCAATTTCTGCCCTTGTACCAATCATCTGGTTAAAGTTGTGGAGATGCTGCTCACCCTTGATTTATCCCGTATAAACACCGTCCTTTAGCCATTGCTCCGATGGAGTATTTCAATCTCTAGTTATCTTCTTTTTCACATTTGTATACTTCTTCGTCTGGACTGCAAAGTCTTTGTACGGATTGAACAAGGCTCCTAGCCCGTATCAAAATCACTCAAGATACAGAACGTCGAACCGTGCCAAAGACAAACTATACGGCCAGGTATTCCTTACAATGTCAACTGACGAGGTTGAAAAACACCATGAACCTCGGTTCTCCATATCATCCAAGCACGATGCACAACTTGAGTTTGAAAGACGGGCGTCGAACATCGTTGCGGCACTAGATGGACATGAAGTGAACGCTAGCGGCCACGAAGATCAGCTCAAGAGACATTTTGGCTTCCTGAGCCTGTGTGGTCTCGCGCTAACGGTGGATAATGCGTGGATCGCATTTGGAGGCTCTATTATCGTCGCATCGTATAATGGAGGGCCTCCTGGAATGTTGTACGAACTTATCGTCGCTGTTGTGTTCTACATGTTCATCGGGGCATGCATTGCCGAGCTTGCATCTGCTGTTCCTTCTGCTGGTGGTGTCTACCATTGGGCGTCTATTACTCCTGGAGTCAAATGGGGTCGCATGCTGGGCTTCTTTACAGGATTTATCAACTTCTTTGGCTGGATTTTCGACCTCGCTAGCATTTGCCAGATCGAGGCCAACATTGTTGTGCAGATGTACGCGGTTTTCCATCCAGATCTTGAGATCCAGTCATGGCATACCTATATTGCTTTCATTCTACTCACGTGGATTTGCTCGACCTATTGCATCTTCCTCAACCGGACACTGCCGTTCCTGCAGAACGTGGGTATGTTCTTTGTCATCGTCGGTGGGATTGTAACTATTATTGTCGTTGCAGCCATGCCCAAGCAACATGCGAGCAATGCGTTCGTATGGAAGGAGTGGGACAACCAGACCGGCTGGACCAGTGGGATCGCTTTCTTAACTGGTGTTCTCAATGGCGCCTTCACTGTTGGAACACCTGATGCCATAACTCATCTTGCGGAAGAACTTCCAAGTCCCAAGAAAGACCTGCCAAAGGCAATCTTTCTTCAGGTTGGCCTTGGCGGTCTTAGCGCTTTCTTATTTGCGATTGCAATACTCTATGGAATCAACGATTTCGATGCTGTGCTGAATAGCAATGGTTCATTCCCTCTTGCGGAAGTCTATGCCCAAGCAACCGGCAGCAAAGGCGCGACGTTTGGACTGCTTTTCATTATATTTTGCTCAATACTAATATGCCTCATCGGCACATTCTTGACACTCAGCCGAATATGGTGGGCATTGGCGCGGGACTTGGCTACTCCATTCCCGCATTTCTTTTCGCAAGTCAACACCAAGCTCAGTTGCCCAATTCCGGCAATGATTCTTACGGCTGTGATCTGTTCGGGCCTCGGCGCTATCACACTAGGCAGCAAGACTGCTTTCGCTGATCTCGCTGGTTCATTCATCATCTTGACAACTACATCATACGCGATGGCCATTGCGCCACACTTGCTAACTGGCCGCAAGAATATCCCTCCTGGTCCATTTTGGATGGGTAATATGGGTTATGTTATCCAAGGGATTGCTGTTGTGTTGATTATCTTCTTCAATGTTATATTTTGCTTGCGTAAGTGTTGGCAGATAAAATTTAATTGTTCGTTAACTGATGGTTCCATAGCCTTCGCATTGCCAGTTGATGTCCAAACCATGAATTACAATAGTGTCATTCTTGTTGGATGTATCACTCTGACTGGGATCTGGTGGTTGATCTATGGTGTCCGAAAGTACCCGTAAGTTCAAGTTAGATCCTCAAGAGAAAAGGCTCTAATGTGCCTCTAGTGGTCCTAGGTTGTCTACTCTCTACATTGAGGGTGTAGCCGCAAAAGTAGAATAACTATCATCTTGTTAGGTTTCAAGCACGTGAAGGAAGTGACAACAACCGCTGATCAAGCAAAATAGTCGTGGTCGATACATATTAATCCAATATCTGTGGTTCTACAAATTGTTCCAATGTCCCTTTTGAGCATACCTGAGTGGGTGATGCTATGTGCATATGTCCGCTATGCTTACTTTATGATCTGCAATGCTCCGTCCATAATGCCAACCATGAATGAATAGTAATGTGAACATATTTTTCGTGCCGGAGTGGTTAAATTGCGTTGATCATATCTTTGTTTCTATAGGCTGAAATTGAAGAAGAAGAAGAAGAAGAAGAAGAAGAAGAAGTTTTTAATATATAATACCTAGTTACTATAGGAAGGGGTATAACCTAGTTCAACTATAAGCATACTACCTTATATAGATGAAACTAATAATCTTATATTTATAAATTTACTACTAAATATATATCATACTTTGATCATGCTCTCTTTTAGGTTGTCTATACTTTATGGCTTTTGCTAAGTCGCGCCTGATGCTCTAGCTTGCTCTTAGGCTTCGTGATTTCTTTCTAATCTGTATAGAAAATGAAATTCAGGCTTTGGACTTAGGGAAAAATCGTTGCTTGTTGCCTCGGAACAATTTCAGGGCGAAACGAGATTGCACTCTCTGCAAGCCTGATTGCGTTAAAAAATAAGATCAAGTTACATATCATATTGCTTCAAAGTATCCATTTACTATACAAACCACTGTTATCCCAGCTATGTTTTCTTTTGCTCTACTCAGAAGCCAATAGTGCATATAGAAAGGTCACTGACTTGCAGCCATAAGATCCAACAAAGACCACCCACGAATAAACACAGCAAATGCAAAAAAAAAACTCCGTAATAGATGCCAAAAGGTAAATACAATTGTCCGCAACATCTATGTGTCCAACCCTCTCAGATATCTATATGCCGTTTTATGCTGTTCCAAAAAGATGAACGTGAAAATTGTATGCGGCCCAAGTCTAATGAACGATGGCACCCATCCCCTGAACATCCAAGTAAGCCCTTCCTTATGTGTTGTTTGTGTGAGAAGCGTGATTAAGCCTGTGTGTTCTGTGGCACTCATGACCCTAGTCTTAATGACATCAACTGGAGAGCAAATGGTTGTTGCAACAAATCCAGCGAGAAACGAGGCGGTGAAGTGCGTTGTGAGGTTGTCCTTCATATCCATTTGTTTGAGAAGTACGCTCTTGAATATGTCATAGCTTGCGAGCTGACTCGCCGTCATGAGCGTGGCGCGCAATGAGTTGGGCCAGACACCTTTCCAGAGTGACTTCCAACCTTCAGCTCGATACATTCGCAGCAATCCATCTAGTGCATGTTTATAGTTGCGCCGTTTTTCTGGAGGTAGCGAGGCATCATGTTGCATCCGCACATTTAGAACATCGGCTGGATTCCCGGCAACGCCGCCGAGAAATCCTGAGAAGGATGAAAGGCCAACGAGAGTCAAGAAAGAAGTTTTCTTCTCTCGCTTTGTGGCAAATATTTGCTTCAACTCTTCGTATACACCAAATCGGGTGGTGCTATACGTCATCTGACGAAGTATAGAGGCGGAAAGCTAGAAGTTGAGCTCAGAACGCAATACTGTGCCATTGGACCTTGGGAAACGTACACCTCTGTACAAGCCTTTTATTCCATCCTGTTTCGCCACATGCGCGAACATTTGTACCATGTTCCGTCGAGGTCCGTCATGAGATTGTGTTTGTAGTCGAACCTTGGAGGGAGTGAGTCAGAGTTCAATGACATCGGCGAGTGAGCGCATACCTTTACTATCATATATATCAGCCATGGAATTCATCGTAAGGAAACACGGAGCCACTCACCTAAATCCAGAGGATGGGTCACACAAGCTGCGAAGCAACTTGCGCTGCCGCCAAACCAGAAGGGATAATGTATAGGGACCTTGCGGACAATCTTGTCCTTCATCACCTCTTTGGCATTGGCGGACATTGTTTTCTCTCTCCATGCATTGTAACGTACAATGCACCCCAGAGACAAGTTGATTAGGAATTGACCTGAGATCGAGATTGCAAACCTGAAGAATGCAACTGGCTTTGAAATTCTGATTTCTTGGGGGCCCGAGCTTTCGCGACAACGTTCGGCAACTCGCGCTTAGCAAGACGGCTATTTGCTTCCAATGAATCCAGCACGCAAATCCGGTCTTCCGATAACAGCCTTCGCAATTGAAGATATTATAGACGCTCGGAGAAAAGATGGGGTTAGAATCGAAATGGACGTGACAAGCGCACGAGAAGCGATTTCGTCGCGACAGCATATCGAAGCCTGTGCGTTCGTCCATTTAGCGTTCGCAGCGTCCGCATGTATTTACGGCTGCCAATTCTTTCGCCATTTCGTACAGATATGATATCTGGTGATGCCTAGCATTGGCTTGAACAATCTTCAGAGTAGTACCGTTTTCGTTACCTTTCACTTTTTGTATCGCCTCCGCCTCAAGCCGCAATGCCGTAACCCAAAGGTGTGTGTCGTCTAAGACTTAAACAGCTATTATTTGCTCTCGAAGGGGATGTTTCTCTTGCAGCTTGACTCCTACATGCTTCTGATATTCATTATAGCTTTTGATCTCAATAATGGGTTGCTACTATCGACAAGATGTACTGGGCCAACCACGAGAGATCGAAACTTCGGCCTCAGGCAGCAACGTTGCTATTATCCACGCATCGACACGTCTTTCATATGTTCATCCCACGATCATCTTTCGGGAAAATGTTGAAAATTCATCTTGGCACATCAGCGAGGAGTTTGAGGCGGACAATCAGGCGATTGGGAGACAATTGGATTTGCTGGAGATGCCAAAAGCGATACATTTCGGATGGTAAGTAAGACGCTGACGGATACCCCTAACAGATTGCCTCCAAATCGATTTCTTGTTCTATCAAGACTTCATCATTTCAATGTTTTATTCATTATTGCTTCGTACCAGAAGCACCTGTCGATTGTCAGATTTTTTGAGCTCGTTAAAAGTTTATCTGCTGGACGAGACCTAATGGCTCTGCTGTTCGGCATAGCCTCGGTGAATATGAAGTCAGTCGAGCCAGACGAACTGGATAATCCGATCCTAGAAATCTGCGACATTTAGACGAGCCAACACCGTCGATCATCCCCTGCCATCACCTTACTTATCATCTATCCGTGGTCTCATCTAATGGATTGCAGCTGCTCCCAGACCGATCAGCGTTTCCGTGGAAGGTCGAACCTATGTTGTGGATGATTGGAACAATACACCAGCCACAATTCTCTCGGCCATACCCAAACGACTGCATCTGAAAGAAAATCATCCGTTACGCATCACACGCGAACTCATTGAATCATGCTTTCCAGGTTACAAATACTACAACAGTCTCTTCCCAATCGTCAGTACCTTTCAGAATTTCGATTCCTTAGGATTTCCAACCGATCATCCTGGTCGCAACAAAAGTGATACATATTATATCAACAAGCAGACAGTGTTGCGAACTCATACTTCTGCTCACCAAGCCGATCTATTCAAAGCGAACGAAAGCGACGGCTTTCTCATCAGCGCTGACGTATACCGCCGAGATGCCATCGACAGGAGCCACTATCCTGTGTTCCATCAAATGGAGGGAGCGATGACCTGGGATCGAAAATTTACCTCTGGTGGCGATTACGTGAAGAAAATATGGGAGGCTACAAATGCTATTCCCAAGCACCAAATAAATGTCGAGGATCCGAATCCCACGGTGCATCCAGAAAGAAATCCTCTGCAACACCAGTACCATTCACTAGAAGAATGCGAGGCCATGGCAGCTCACTTGAAGCGATCTCTGGAAAATGTAGTAGTGCAAATTTTTTCACAGGCGCAACACGCAACTGCTGCATCAACAGATAAAGTCTTAACCGAGGAACCACTGCGAGTTCGCTGGGTAGAGGCGTATTTCCCCTTCACGTCTCCGTCGTGGGAGCTTGAGGTATGGTGGCAGGGTGATTGGCTCGAGGTCCTAGGATGTGGCATTGTAAAGCAAAATATCTTGAACAATGCTGACCAACACTCACGGTCGGGCTGGGCGTTTGGTCTGGGCCTGGAGCGTATTGCTATGCTGTTGTTCTCCATTCCAGACATCCGACTCTTTTGGTCAGACGATGTTCGATTTTTATCGCAGTTCTCGAGCACGGGGCCCCTGAACCGATTTGTACCATTTTCGAAACACCCCGCTTGCTACAAAGACGTTGCGTTCTGGCTACCCACCACCTCATCAGCAGCTGGAGGTCAAACAGCTGCTGCTCTGCACGAAAACGACGTAATGGAGCTAGTGAGGGAAACCGCAGGTAATCTCGTCGAGGATGTGCGACTGACTGACGAGTTTACGCATCCAAAGACGGGTCGCAAAAGCATGTGCTACAGAATCAACTATCGCAGCCTTGAACGTACCTTAACAAACAGCGAGGCAAACGACCTTCATGATTCCATTCGTCGGAAATTGGTCGCCCAGTTCGGAGTTGAGCTGCGTTGAGGGGCAATCGTGGTCCAGAAGGTTTCTTGCTTGCAAACACTTTTCCTGCTGCCCGGACTTCGGATACGCTAGTTTCCGCGAGGGGAGTCAGAGCTAGTATAGCTGAACCTGACAATTAAGGCTTGTTTCGATCGCTAAATTGGCATGGTTACGATGACAAGGTCCCTTTCAGAAGCCCGTAGCGTAGTTCAAGTATTTGTGTCGCTGGCGGCGTCATGGTCGCGGTGGAAGTATCCGTTCTGAAGTCTCCGCAATTTTGATTAATACTAGACTTGCTCTGCATTTTGCACAAAAGAGAAGGTCGTGGCGTACGGCACGTGCATTCACACATCTGTGTGCTGAGGGACTTGCAAGCCTACTCACAGTCTATTGTTTGAGTATCTGCGGGACCATGCGCTGTGGGACACGAGGCTGGGGTCTGTGGCTCATAACGCATGTGGCGAGTCTCAACTAATCATGATCCTGGAACCATCATTTCCGGCGAGTGCGGGGTTACTAAGTCAAACTTACAATGCGCTATCGATACCGCGGGCAAAACAGCCTTGCAATCGACGATGTCTGCGGTCAAGCTCGCCAGGCCCGCAGCTGATAAAGCTTTTGACAAGTGTAGGGTCTAAAGCTTAGACCTGTTTTACCCTCTTTTTTCTGCATTTTTTTCTCTCTTTTCTTTTTCTGTGACATTCGCAAGGATCGAGGACTGCACACATACGAGCGTTGAAATTAAGGTTGCCACGGTTAATGGCCAAGACCTTTAGGAACTCCCTTTCTGGAGAAATGTTACCATACCGTTATTCCAATCAAGGTATTGAAAATCGTAGCTCCTTCGGAGATCCGTGACGAACTTCCGACAGTAGGCTTTGCTGAACCAGCTTCACAAAAATCTGCAGGCATTACAGTTTCCAGACTTTTGCTTGATACTGGTTCCGAAACTTTACGGACAAGTGTATCGCCGTGGGTGAGTACTAGGTGGCCTTTGCCACGTTTGACTGCACCGACAACTCTTCCTCAAGGACCAAGTGATGGCTTTACACAGCGTCGTTTCTTGGTGAAGTTTTCATCTTCCTTAAGCATTAGAAAAAGGAATCCTCGCAAGCACAAATAGGGGCAGGCGTTTGAGACCATGGACCATCATCACAGTAGACTAGTATCGAAACAGACAAAAGAGATCCTGCGCCTAGACTGTCAGATGCGAGTCAGCGCCGAACCGGTCGGTGCTTCAGCGCCCCCTTCCCCGCCCTCTTTTTGCGTAATTATAACCAAGGGGCTCCTGACTGAAGGCGTGCCAACTCTGAGAAAAGAAAATATGACTATGACTGGGCAGGTAAGGTATAGGAGCGCTATTATTGCAGCGGGTAAATGTTCCGACCTAGTCGTCGGGGATTATAGCAGAAACCGTCATATAGGAAGATCTAGGGTGAAGCGAGGTGGTGTTCCAGGCCGCAGCTTAGCGTGTAGCGGGAGCAAATTCACCCAAGCGAAAATAGTACGCAGCGCTGAAGACGCCGCGGTAGTGCCGCGCTTGAAAGCAATTGATAGAATTACACTGTTGAGGTTTTGCCCTGGCTTACATCGACGGCATCTTTTTAGACTTAACACATCTGGAGCACCAAAAACACCGTAGGTTTTATGAAAATCATATATCTTTCTTTACTTATGAGAACCATTCGCTTGGAAACCCATGCCAGCTGCTTGGTAGTCTGTGGTGGGCCGCGGGCCACCTCGGATTAAAAGGAACCCTGATAACAATCATGAACGGAGCATTTTCTGGTTTGCAAATCCGAAAACCTTTGGGCCTATCCCAGGAACGATCTATCTTTCAGATTGAAGCCTGAGAAGCAGAGCATACTGGCTTAGTGACACGGTGATGCAATTCATTGGTAATATCATGTAGTGCATGTCGACGTCGAATTGCCGAAGAATGATTAGTTCTTATGTTTGAATCGACGAAGGCGAAGCGAAATGCTTTCGACGGTGGCTAGATTCTTGGCCCTTGGAGAGAATTTGATTATCAAGTCCACCTGACGATTCATATTTTCTCGTCACATTGCATCTAGTATAGGAATGCAAGCTTGACTTGGGTTGATACGCGAGCAACTCGTTCCAAACGAAAGTGCACTTTTTCTCGGAGCCACTCGGCACCGCAATGGTCATGAAGGGATCAAGAACCATACCGTCGATCGTGACGCGGGGAGTGATATGAGCATCTCAGGAACCTGGGAAACGGTGATTCGAAACTTCACGGTCCTTATAGTTATATCTAACCAGGGATTTCGCGCAAGACAAACACTTCGACATAGCATACCAAGAGACAACAAGATTGAATTTTCAACTGAATTGAAGTCGACAGAGGTCGTCTGGAAAAATGCAAATCAACCGCTGTACAAACACGAGCTGCTAAAGATAGATGCAAAGCAAAATAATCAATTTCAAGCGGCCTCTCAGACAGCTTGGCATACCAGCAGGTGAATCGACGGCTTGCTTGTAAAAGCCACAACGAGCCCGCTTCGATAGCTGAAGCGCGCGACTCAAGTAGCCCTTGTCGTCACATGAGGGTAGGATGTAATCCAGGGTTCAGATGCAGGAGGACTTCACTTCAAATCATGCAATAGTATAGACACGTTCTGAGTCTTCTTCCTCAGGCTGCCATCAGACCTGTCGTCATTAAATGATGTGGTGCAAGGGTCAAAAAGTACTGGATCTTTGTGATAGCTCGTCAACTGATCTCCGGCAGGAGTTGTAAGGACATCGGCGATCTAGCCAATTTAGGATAGTCTGAAACCACTTAGTAACCACCTATCAACAGTTCATGCCGATGAACCAGGACTTTGTACAAGCTCTCTTCGCGGCTTACGGGCTCAGTGCTTAGCGGAAGGCCAAGAGCTTGTAGCTGTCCTGATTCTTGCCCACGCCATGTTGGGTATACGGATGGGCAGCGCAAGAACCAGGATTTAACGAGTTTTCTTTTTGCGGATCACCATCGCTCAGAATTTTCAACTGGATCTCTTACCGTGCTGTTAACAGGCCGATGTTTCAGCGTGGTTGCATCCCTTCAAGAAACTGTTGTCCTTGGTTGAGCGTTGGTCAGCCACTCGGAGACGTCAGCTCGTGTACTCCGTATACCTGAGCAGGTACTCATTTTGTGCGGCATCCGACTTTGCACCAATGAGAAAGGCCTTTCTTCAGCCTCAGCTCTTTGAACTGGACTGGAGCATCCTCACAAGTCTCTTACTATTGCTTTTTTTTCTTGGGGAGTTTTCTGCCTGGCACACCTGATCGACTGCGAGGAAACTCATCCGTACTAGCATTCCATGCTGACCTTAATCCTTGATTCCTCGTGCAAATTTCATCAATCAATGGCTTGAAAAATCCACAACTGAAGGAAGCAATCTGTACGCAATATCGCATCTGCTGAATTATTGTATAGATTATATCTGCGACATGACTGCTGTTGGAAAAATGTACAAATCGATCGTGCGATAGCTCGCCGAAAATTCAACATATCGTGAAGCTTTCCAGAATCCTAAGAACTGTGGACAGTTCGCAGCAACTTAGTCTCGCATAAAGTCTTGCTAGTCAAGGAGATGCCCGCCTTTAGTTGCCAGTTCCCGCCGCGCCGAAACAGTTTCGAGGCGGACACGAGGTCTAAGGCTTTCACGCTGGAAAATGCTTACATAACAAAACGTATTCGTTTCGTTACAGTCCCACGAGGTCCGACCTGTCGAACCCTGTGACGACCTGCAGTTCCCGCACGCCCACATGTGGGATCAGCCCCGATTGTGTGTGCACTTTTTTTGTACCCTTGTCAAGTATCCTGTCTTGCATACGCTTTGCATGACCAGCAGACCTGTTACGCCAATGCGAACGGTAGGGATAGCGTTGGTCCCGACCACGGCAATCATTCTCAGTTGAGACAGATACAGGCAAGATGTGGCGACCCACCGCACGATCGCAACTCTGGCAGGTTTTCCGCTGTAAGCGGGACCCATCAGTAGGGAAAAATACACCAGAGCGGCGGGCATAGGTGATCCCGCAAGACTTATCTACCTTGTCGATTGACGACGGATCCTCGGCGGGATGGCTGATCTGCTCCAGCCTAGAGCGGAAGAAACAATTGTACCTCTTGTCGAATTCGAAACAGTGGCACACATTCAAACACGGCTCGCCAGTTAGCATTCGTCTGTCCTACTTATGGGTACTCGTCGGCGTCAGGGCCCTGCTAGCCACCATTTGTTACTATAGCAGTCGCAGAGCCAGCAAAGCTTAAAGCACGTCAACTCCTACCTCCGCGTTTGGACAGGGACATGCGTTTGAGATGTATACATCCGGTGTTCTCAAAACTCTGTCGTTCCGACGCAAAGATGATTCAAATAACAAGCCTGGCTCACCTTCAGCTCAACGGGTCAATCATATTGCCAATTGCATGCGACAAGACATCGACTGGACTGGCAGTGTTTTGATACTGGACGGAACAAGCTCAAACGATAGTCGAAGTGTACGTGCTCTTTATTTTTTTGAAAGTTTCTTCTTTTGAAACATTTTCTCGCCATTGATTGAATTATAATATAGTCTAACGCATAACCAGAGAAACTCCAGCATCGCTGAAGTGATGGAATCCGACAAGACGAGATATAAGCTATGGCCTCAGGTAGCTTCAGGAAGCTCGACAGCGGCATCATTCATAGACACAAAGGAGCAGGCCCTAGCTGCCGGTCGTTCCGCAACTTCACTCAGCGATACAGCCATTATCCAGACCACAGCAAGTGGCTGGCCTCCTCGCCGTGGAGGCTCGCTCTTGAGAAGAAGAAACATAAGCGTGCCTGAGCTTAGTGGCAAAGACCAAATTGCTGAAAATATCATGCAGCCGGGCGAATATGCTGATTCTCGTATGTCAAAATCAAATTCGCAGCAACATGTTCCAATGCTAAGAATTGTAGCCACAATCCCAGGTCGACCGCCACTGAAGAAGACGAACTCGGATCATCCTGGTCACGAGAGATCTGCCAGTGCCCCGGGCAACTGGAGAGAAAGCCCTTTCAGCGTTGCCATCTTGTCCAGTGTTGCTGGTCCTGCGATTAAAACCTCGCCTGGCAAGAACTCCAGGAACAGGCTCGCGCCCATTGAACAACCCTCGCACTTCAATGGCATCAAGCCTTTGTCGCCCATCTTCTCGCCAACAGTAGAAGCCAAAACTCCTTTGACGGCTATCCCACGATCGCCGTCTCGCTCAGAATCACGATCACCTGCCCAATCGCCGGTGAGATCTCCAGCGAGGTCTCCGACAAGATCTCCAGCTCCTTTATTCTCTCCAGAGTGTCGACCCGAGAATGTCGTTCGTCTAGAAGATGTTCCCCCTCCTGTGCCTCCTAAGGATACACCATCATCTCCAATCAGAGCGAACACGACGGTCAAGCGTACACAATCCACAAAGACGCACGTCCGTGGTAATCTCTCCTTTGGTTCTGTTACGGAGATACCGCCACGATCATTCCCTACCCTCAGCGTACGACCAACTCCCCGAGCCCCTCCAACTGCTCCTACCCATGATAGTCCAACTTCAAAATCCGAAAGCAGCATCTCTCCTAAACAAAGAGTTGCATCACCAGATCTTTCAATGATGGATAAGTCAAAACCGAAGAAGAACTCCCTTAGGAAACAGAGAAGTGCACCTGCGCTCCCTAGGGCCGCATCAGAAGTCTCTAGTTCAGAGAATAAAGACGTTGCCAGCGGCAGCATTCTTCAGTCCGAGGCAGGAGATGAAGCACTACCAATGGGTCTGAAGCCCACGGAAGCCGTGCTCGTGTTACCAAACTCCGAAAAAGACATCATACGTAAGCAAGCTATCGTACAAGCAGAGCAGTTTGAGATTCTTGGGTCGAAGTTGGTGACTCAATTATCTAGAGTATGTGATGAGGCAACACTGGAAAAGTCTGAATTTGCACTAACCTGGTTCCAGGAGCTTCGAGCGCTCGATGAACGATGCGAATACCTTCGGAAAACTTACAAGTCACTCCGCGCAGGAAGACAAAAACTGCACTCACGCATGATCGCATACTTAAAATCCGATTCTTTGAACTTTAGCAAAGAACGCCTCCTCAAGCAACAAGAAGCTCTGATCGAGCTCGATGCCTCGATAGACGATTGGATCACGAAGCTCGAGCGCGCAGAAAATCGACGCTTGCGCCTGCGACAAAAACTGCTTGAACACGTTGCGGCATCGATGACACTCTCAACTCCTACCAAAGCTATTCACAGCCAACAGCAGAATCTCGCCACGCCACCGCGAAGTCCTCTACGATCGACCACAACAAGCCCTGAATCTGTAAAGGAAGTGGACAGGAAAGACGTAGAAAGCATTAAGATTTATGCTGACAGTGTTAGCCTCTTCAATGACATTGAGTTGGCTGTTACTAAGATGTGCGAAGCTTGCTAGGTAGCGAGCGATCACTGTACCGCCACGATAAACTCAAGCTCCATCTTCGCTTCCAGAATGCATTCAAACTATGCTAGGGAAACCAGTGGCATCTGCTTTTTGTGTCAACCTTTCATCAGACTACTGAGGCTTAGCGTCAACTTAGACCCTCCACCTTGTTTCGCACAAGACAGCTTTAAAAGACTCCATATTTTTGTAATAGGGCGATCAAGGTCAATCGCAGAATAGCGAAGGACATTTTTTGGACAGACGTTCAAGCATTGAAGCTGTGTATGTTTATACTCATTTGCATGCGGATTATAGTTAGATCTCAAAGGCTGTTGATGTATGACTTTATGATATGCTGCTCGTTTGGTGACATATCGTTACGTTATTGGCTATGTATCTCTTCGTCCTCATTGGGCTGGACACACATGGCACGAGCGTACGCATTCCAATGAAAGTTGCGTGAAAATAATCTCTTCGCCCTTTTGTTATTCTCCTCGCATGTAATTTGGGCTTGAAACAGTGTCCAGACAGACAGGAAAACTACCGTCTGGTGTATTCGTCTCGCCATGTCCTGGTCAGGTACATTTTCGGTCAGCGTCGCGAGTCGTACGTAACCGGTTTCGTGCTTTGTATGTTGCGAGACCTGGATGACGCTAAACCAACACAAGTCACAAGACGCAAAGTGATTTTCGTTTTTTTTTTGGATTTGCTGTGCGCATTTCTCCCCTTTGGCTAAACGCGGCTTGTGCGCTTGATACCCGGTGTGCGCATCAGCTGCCTCAGGTGGAGGGACGATTTTTTCCTTGTCGATCGCACAGTTACACGACCCCAGATTGTGGTTCCGAGTTGGGCTCGAACGTGACAGGACAGCCTCATTGCGCCAATTTCGGCAGGTCGAACTGTTCCAAATGGACCCATGGATTCCATTTTGGCTATGTCATGGTCGTGCATAACCTCAACTCTTCACTTGCTGTGATACTTCAGGTCCCGAGTCAGATAAGTATCATGCAGTGATTAGAACAAAGTCACGCGGCCTCCAAAACCTCCTCTCCTGCAGTCCAACCCTGAAGTCGATCTTGCAGTTGTAGCGGTCTGGAAAAGTCCCGATTAGAGATGCGGGAAAGTGCTATGACACTGTATGGCGTACCAAACGGTTAATTTGGGATAGGAAATGAAGGCGAGACGGTCATAACGAAGGTACCAGCAGATGCACTATGGTGACTGGCAGATGCGAAGAGACTTCGAGGGGGGTCGTCACTCTTGACAAGGAAGCACACGAATCATGCTCTCGAACAGAATCCCCAGGATTTCCGTCTATATTGTCATGGTTTCCGCTGACGCAAAGAGCAGTGCTCTTCACGAAGGTAGAGAGCTCACGCCAACTACTTGGAGGGAGGTAGAGCGAAGACGGTGATCGACCGACGGAAAGACGGGAACAACGTCGACGACGAAGGGGCGATCCGCCAGCAGGCCAAGACTCGAAGGAATCTGCCGTTTCGCGACAACAGGTTGACGAATGCGGCGGAAGCCATCGACGCCCACAGTTATGCTCGCTGCAGTCCTGGCCAAATTTCCGTCCAGCCCATTTCGCAGGCAATCTTACCGTTCTGGTGCGAAGTCCGGTGCGAATTTTGATTATGATTAACTTTTTTTTCTCTCGCGCATACCGTCCTTTGTCGCACGTGACGCCGTTGAGATCAGCAAATTGAAGCGATTCGAGAAGTGAAATCGTCTCTCTGGCAAATCGACATAAAGATACAAGCTTGATGGCCGCTTGCGTTGGAGCAGGACTCGTAGTAACTTTGCTCCCGTCTACAACGGTTTCCGACGATTCCCAACTGGTCAGAATGTCCAGCAGAATGAAACGTCGAGCCTATTCTCCTGCCCTGCCACTTGCACGAGAAACTCCTCTCCTCTTGCCCCCTTCTCTTTCTCAATTTACTTAGTTTATTTCTGAGTTCAAATTCCATTTTCTCGAGAACAGGGACGCTGGTCAAGAAGCGTCTTGAATCCGTCTCTTTTGGTCTTCCCAAAAAGTGATTCAATCATGGCAAACTTCTGGAGACCTGAAATCAACGACGCGCGTCGAGTGCGAAAGACGTCATGCAAGGCAGACTTGTTGCGTCGCTTCGCAATGATGCCAGAGACGCCGTCTGTCGCATATGTTCTGCTTCTTAACTGACGGATTTCACCTGGGGTTTACGTCACTCTAGCCGAGGGCTACACCAATCAATTGGACCCTTGACTGCGTACTTGTTTGTCATCCTGTGGCAAGCATTCACCAGCTTTTGCAATTAATCTCCCACATCATTGCGAACCATCGACTTCAACAATGTCATCGAAATCCCTGTCGCGGACAGTCGTCAGACTCACAGCATCTGTCAGCCATCTTCCCACCACGCAAACGGCGTGTAGATTCGCTGCGCAGAAGCCGCGAGCAATTCATACACGCACAATACGTCCCAGCATCGTAGCTCGAACGTGTCGAAACTCTTCAGCACTGCAGTCAAGGCGGTCTCTTTTTATACAAACAGAAGAAACCCCGAATGCGGATGCGTTGAAGTTCAAACCGAACCAACGCATTCTCCCTGAAAACTTTCCATCTCCGTATTTAGAATATCTGTCGCCGCGCTCCACGCTACAACCACCACATCCGTCTCCTTTAGCTGCACAGCTGCTGAATGTGGACGGTGTTACTTCGGTATTCTTTGGAGAGAACTATATCACAATCACCAAAGATAGCGCAACGCCATGGGCACACATTAAACCCGAAGTGTTCAGTTTGATCACTGAAGCAGTGACCTCTGGCCAGCCCATTGTGAACACCGTGAAACAAAAGGAGGGCGAGGCGGCCGGTCAGGAAGGCACGGAAGCGGATAGTCTTGCGGCCTCCGATGATGATAGTGAAGTTGTTAGCATGATCAAAGAGTTACTCGACACTCGGATACGGCCTTCGATTCAAGAAGACGGCGGTGACATCGAATTCAGGGGTTTTCACGACGGACAAGTCTTACTCAAGCTGAGAGGCGCATGTAGGACCTGCGACTCGAGTACCGTCACCCTGAAGAACGGCATCGAAAGCATGTTGATGCACTACATTGAGGAAGTCCAGGGCGTACAGCAAGTGTTTGATGAGGAGGAAGAAATCGCGATGAGAGAGTTTCAGAAATTCGAGGAGAGACTGAGGGCGCAAGGTCATCAGGTGCCTCCTTCTACGACAGCAAAGGGCAGCATCGACATGGTCGAATAACTCCACTAAGGAAATAGGATAGTCGCAGAATCACAACATCAACTTCTACTCCATGGCCCGTGCTATCGGTTTCACTCAAAACTCATGGCCGCTCCCACTAGCGTAACACAACTATCTTTGAAGGCCTAACAATACCAGTCCTTCATTTCCCACCACGTCTGGACGGAACTTCCGCATCATCAGACCTCTTATTCCTGATGCGAACGGCACAGTATCCACCACTAAACTGTTATTTTATCGTTATTCCAGAACATTCGCAAAGTGGTATGGTTCTCACGTAGGGTTTGGTAGTGCCAGCAACAGTAGCAAGAGCTTGTACGCAATTTTATCAGTTTTCATTCGACCTTATCATAGCGGTCTCTTTCTGACGAAATCCCAAAGGCTTAGAGGGTACATCATAACTAAGACTTTTGTGTGACCGTCTCGTTTACTAATTTCTCGCCGCTATTGGCCCGAGTATAACTTGCCAAGTCGAAACCATCCCGATTATCGTCAGCAAACATGTCAGCGCGGTCCTCGAAGATGGAATCATCATCAAGCAAAGGCCTAGGATATCGACGATGAGTCTTTGTTCCATTGCTGTCGCCCATTGTGGCAGATGGCGTAAGTGTGCCTCTCCTGGTGGCTCTTGGCGTTCGTATACTTCCTAAGCATACACGAAACAAGGGACGGGTAGCTGCAAGAGAACATGCTATTATGCCCAGCCCAGGCTCGATAGTCGAACAAATGGAAGTCTCGTTTGTTTTCGCTGTATACGAATCATGTTAGGACGCAGACGAATACTAGGAAGAGCATCCCTTACCAAAGAACGCAGACGTTGTTGAAATAAGATATTTTATGTACTTCATCCGGACTATGGATGCTATTCCACCACTTGAAAGAGGGTCAGATCAGTTCTCACACCAAAAATTCAAGACGACATACATTGTGGGAAGCGCCAAAAGTAGTCCGGCGACTAATTTTTCGCGCGTGGACATCTGCGATTGACACAGAAGTTTGATTGGGAGAAGTGCCATTATGAGATCCGTAAGCGCAGAGATAGCCGCCGCGGTATACGACATCCCCAGAAGGCTACTTGAACTTGTGCACTTCTTTTCAAAGTTGAGGAGAAGAAATGTGGCAGCACTTCTGGGAGGGCCGCATTGGAAGATTATAAATATCATGTAAGCCAGATTGAACGCGGTTGCAACGCTGATGGTGCAGTATAGTATTTGACGTTGGTATCTACTAACGACGATTCGAAGGAAAAAGATGCCCGCTGAGATCTTTAGCATCAACATCGAAGCAATGTATAAAACTTCAGCCACTCTGAACCACTTCTTACGTGTTAGCTAAGTGATGTCAAGTCAAGTTTTGCTCACATCAATGACTTTATCAATCTCACTTGGCAGAAGATAGCCGTGGCCTGATATTGCTTTGCTTACAACATAAGTTGCACAGCCATAAACAGTATAGATAAGCTGCAGGAGATATTAGAGTCGTGATCTTTCCTCTGACTTCAGCCAATAACCTATACTTACCAAGGTCACTCCAAGTGCCAAATCATCCCACCCTAAGCTTCGAATTATAGCTGCTCGAGCGTAGAATCGTAGGAGGAAGGAAACCCACGACGTGAGAAGTAGAACAAGAACACAGATCCTTTCAGCAAGACCTCCAGCGTCGCTGGTCTTCTCTAGTGGCAGGACATCTGTGCGCAGAATATTACGATGGATTGAACTCAGGTCCGTGAGCATGATGGCAGAAAATTCTGAGAGCGAGTTAAACGCTTCGTCGAAAGATGATTGTATTGTCTCTGCTTGAAAGTGGCTAGATTTCCCCAAGTCTCTAGGCAAGGGATATGGGGCGCAGATGGAAATGCTGGGCGACAAGGCTTGCGACTCAGCACGAGATCTAAGCATCTGCGTTAGATCCACGGAATGAACATCACCATTGTTGCGGAGAAGGTTTCAGAATGCGGGGATGGACCACATAATTGTTCTTCTACTCGTCAACTCAGTTGATCCGTGCTCTTTGCTGGGCTGTTATGTCAGCTAATGCTAAATCCATCGACTTTATTGCCGGACTGCGTATCCACGGCAGCCAGAAGTCTGGTTACACGTGATACCGTAAGGCGTGGGACGACGATCCTGTAGCAAGGCCTTGCACGCGGGTGTCAGGAACATCTTACCCGAGAGACGCATGTGGCCTAGATAGCGGAAGCATAGAACTACGAGTGCGGCTGAGATACGAAGAATGCATGTCAAGACTGCACCAGACGCACTTTACATCTCACACTGGCTGCCGCGGTAAAGCTGGGCGTGGAGGAAACGCATAGTTGTACATGCATAATGTATGCAACAAAGGAGGTTAGTCTCTTCAATGAGCAATAGCAAGATGGTGTGTATATCATCCTCGTGCTTGCCTCTGGCTGTCCATCTTCGTGTCTCATTATGCGTTAACTTGTATATCGAGATAAAGGCGCTATCCTCCTTCAATCTTACAGGCGGCCTGATATTCAATCAACCAAGTTTTGAACAAACACATTTACCCTCTTATCTCCAATTCCTTTTCATTGGCATTCTTCCTGAATATATCTCGCGAATCTGGCAGAGTTGCCTTGCGAGGTGGTTGTGATTGGTCGCAACTTGGCTGAGTTTCTCCACCTCTGGTCTTGCCTTGACGTTCGGGATCCGCCGATAGATCGGATCGGTGCCAGGCGGTCGGAGAGCTCCCACTAACCACATCGTCGCTTTAAGCAATTGATAAGCTACCAATCGTTCCTTTTTGTGGGGATAACGCTGAGCAATTTTTGATATATGTTTCGTGTGGAAGCTCAGAGCTCGTTCAAAAACTCGTGTGCTCGTTTCTTTCTATTGCTGAGCCGTAACGTATGACATCAACCTTACCCAACCGATATCTCTAATTCCTGCCTGCGATTTGGCCACCCAGGTCGTCTTTGACTAGTCCTCTCTTTCGTCTGCGCCTTGGGAGAATGTGCTTCGTTTGAGTGACTGCCATCTTGTTCATAGCACTGTCATGGCTCCAGGACTCGTCGAACCGGCAGTGAGCAAGGATCCTGCTCGAAGATTAGCGGATGTTACGGCCGACTACGACGACACTCTTCGCTTCTATTTGAATGGGACAAAGGTTGTACTCGACACTGCAGATCCAGAATGTACACTCTTGGAATATTTGAGGGGAATAGGCTTAACTGGCACTAAACTAGGCTGTTCAGAGGGTGGGTGTGGCGCGTGTACGGTTGTGGTCTCACAGTTTAATCCAACTACAAAGAAGATCTATCACGCCAGCGTTAACGCCTGTCTCGCCCCTCTGGTCAGTGTTGATGGAAAGCATGTCATCACAGTTGAAGGCATTGGGAACGTCAACAAGCCACATCCAGTTCAGCAACGAATCGCAATGGGAAATGGAAGCCAATGTGGTTTCTGTACACCAGGAATAGTAATGGTATGCTCCTAACTTTTGCCACAGAGCTTTTATGCGCTAATCAGAAGGTAAGAGTCTGTATGCTCTCCTAAGGAACAGCGAGCATCCTTCCGAACACGAGATCGAAGAGGCCTTCGACGGCAATCTATGCAGGTGTACTGGTTACAGACCGATCCTCGATGCGGCACAATCGTTCAGCTCAAGGGCAACAGGATGTGGTATGGCAAAGGCTAATGGTGGAAGCGGTTGCTGTATGGAGAAGAATGGTATCAATGGCGAAAGTGGCGGCTGTTGCAAGAAATTGGCAAACGGCAGCGACGAACTATCTCCAGAGATCAAGAAATTTGATGCTCCAGAATTCATAAAGTACGACCCCGAGACCCAGCTCATCTTTCCACCGGCGCTGCGGAGGCATGAATTTAAACCTCTAGCTTTCGGAAACAAGAGAAAGAGATGGTACAGACCTACCACGTTAGAGCAGCTACTCGATATCAAGGCTGCGTACCCTTCAGCGAAAATCATTGGAGGAAGTACCGAAACACAAATCGAGGTTAAATTTAAGGCAATGCAGTACACGGTATCTGTGTTCGTTGGCGACATTCCAGAACTGCGGCAATATTCCTTTCACGACAACTTCGTCGAAATTGGCGGCAATGTCGTCCTAACGGACGTCGAGCAGATTGCAAAGGAAGCAATTCAACACTATGGTCCTGAAAGAGGCCAGCCTTTTGCTGCTATGTTGAAGCAGCTGCGATACTTCGCTGGTAGGCAAATTCGAAACACGGGAACACCCGCTGGCAATATCGCCACCGCCTCCCCAATTTCCGATCTTAACCCAGTGTTTGTCGCATCTAACGCCATATTGATTGCCAAGTCAAAGGAAAAGACGACTGAGATACCGATGTCACAGTTTTTCAAAGGCTACAGGACCACTGCTTTGCCAACAGATGCCATCATATCCAGCATCCGTGTTCCTACAGCTCGAGAGAATGGCGAATACATAAGAGCTTATAAACAGGCCAAGAGAAAGGATGATGATATAGCCATCGTTAATGCCGCCCTTCGTGTCACGCTTGACGCAGATAACGTCGTCGAGAGCGCCGACCTTGTTTACGGAGGCATGGCTCCGATTACAATTAAGGCAAAAAGGGCCAGTGAATTCTTAGTTGGTAGAACCTTTACCGATCTCAAGACCCTTGAAGGTGTCTTTGGCGCTCTTGAACAAGACTTTGATCTACGTTTTGGCGTTCCAGGTGGCATGGCGACTTATCGCAAGTCATTGGCACTTAGCTTCTTCTATAAATTTTACCACGAGGTTCTTGCGGAGATCGGTTCACGTGAGGTGGAGGTTGACCACCAAGCAATTGGTGAGATCGAGCGGGCCATCTCTACGGGCAAGAAGGATCATCTGGTTGCACTCAAGTACGAGCAGAAGATTCTAGGAAAAGAGCGTCCACATGTGGCTGCTTTGAAACAATGCGTTGGTCAAGCACAATACACAGACGACATTCCACATCAAAAGAACGAGCTCTATGGCGTGTTGGTTTTGTCAAGCAAGGCACACGCTAAGCTCTTGTCGGTTGATCCGTCTGCCGCGCTTGACATGCCCGGTGTGGTGGAATGGGTTGATCGCCATGATCTTCCAAACGCTAAATCAAACTGGTGGGGTGCTCCAAACTGTGACGAAGTCTTCTTCGCAGAAGATGAAGTCTTCACAGCAGGTCAACCCATTGGAATGATCCTTGCCGACACGCGTCAGCACGGCGAGGCTGCTGCGAGAGCTGTCAAGATCGAATACGAGGAACTTCCCGCCATCTTCACGATCGAAGAAGCTATTGAGAAAGGCAGCTTCTTTGACCATTTCCGGTATATCAAAAAGGGCGACGTTGATGCCGCCTTTGCGAATGCAGACTACGTGTTCGAGGGTGTGTCGAGAATGGGTGGGCAGGAACATTTCTATCTCGAGACTCAGGCCTGCCTTGCTGTACCGAAGCCCGAGGACGGAGAGATGGAAATCTTTAGCAGCACTCAGAACCCAACAGAAACGTGAGTATGGATTTTGAAACAATCTGAACACGAAGCTGATAATACCCTAGCCAAGCATATGTCGCTCAAGTGACCGGCGTCGCAGCAAACAAGATTGTTAGCAGAGTCAAGCGGCTCGGTGGCGGTTTCGGTGGTAAGGAAACGCGTTCGATTCAGCTCGCGGGCATCGTAGCCACCGCTGCAAAGAAGGTTGGGCGGCCGGTCCGCTGTCAATTGAACCGGGATGAGGATTTCGTTACATCTGGACAGCGTCATGCATTCCTCCACAAATGGAAGGTAGCTGTTAATAAAGACGGAAAACTGCAAGCCCTCGATGCAGATATTTTTGCAAATGCAGGATGGTCGCAAGACTTGAGTGCTGCCGTTGTTGACAGAGGTCTCTCCCACGCCGATGGTGTCTACATGATTCCAAATGTGCATGTACGAGGTCGCTTGGCGAAGACGAATACTGTTTCTAACACAGCATTCCGTGGTTTTGGTGGCCCTCAAGGCCTCTTTCTTGCAGAATCATATATGGAGGAGATTGCAGATCATCTCAAGATCCCAGTCGAAAAGTTCCGCGAGATGAACATGTACAAGCCTGGTGAGATCACACACTTCAACCAAGAACTCAAGGACTGGCACGTACCGCTCATGTATCAGCAAGTCCAGGATGAGAGCGATTATTGGCGTCGGAAGGCCGAGGTTGAGGAGTTCAATAAGACTCACAAGTGGAACAAACGCGGTTTAGCCATTGTGCCCACTAAATTTGGCATATCTTTTACAGCACTTTTCCTCAATCAAGCCGGCGCTCTTGTTCACATTTATCACGACGGATCCGTTCTTCTGGCCCATGGAGGAACTGAGATGGGTCAAGGTCTGCACACAAAGATGATCATGATATGCGCTGAGGCCCTCAAAGTCCCACAGGAATCGGTCTTTATATCTGAAACTGCTACTAATACTGTAGCCAATACGTCTTCAACTGCAGCCTCGGCGTCATCTGATCTCAACGGCTACGCTATCTGGAATGCCTGTGCGCAACTCAACGAACGTCTTGCTCCGTACAGGGAAAAACTTGGTCCAAACGCCACGATGAAGGAGATCGCACATGCGGCTTACTTTGACCGGGTGAACTTGTCTGCGCAGGGATTCTACCGGACGCCGGATATCGGCTATGTATGGGGCGAGAACAAGGGTCAAATGTTCTTCTACTTCACTCAAGGCGTGACCGCTGCCGAGGTTGAGATTGACACTTTGACGGGAGACTGGACGTGTCGCCGCGCAGATATAAAAATGGATGTTGGGCGCAGCATCAATCCAGCCATAGACTACGGCCAGATTGAGGGTGCCTTCGTACAAGGACAGGGTCTCTTCACTACTGAGGAACTGCTGTGGCACCGTGCAAGTGGTCAAATGTTCACCAAAGGACCTGGCGCATACAAGATCCCTGGTTTCAGGGACATTCCTCAGGAGTTCAACGTTTCCTTGCTCAAGGATGTTGAGTGGGAGAACCTGCGGACGATTCAAAGAAGCCGTGGTGTCGGAGAGCCTCCTCTCTTCATGGGTAGCGCAGTTTTCTTCGCCATCCGTGACGCGCTGAAGGCTGCAAGGAAGCAGTGGGGTGAGGAGAGCGTGCTATCACTCTGGGCACCGGCCACGGTAGAGAGGATTCGAACGAGCTGCGCGGATCCGATTGTGAAGAGGGCAACTGTCGTGCCTCAGGAGGGAGAGAAAAGCTTCTTCGTCACAATCTGAAAGCTGATGTCTCGCCTTAGACACTCATAAGATGCGGAACAAGAATATTATGCAGATGTGCCGCATAGCCATTCTTTGAAATTTAGACACAATTATGACTTGTACGAATGTCGAAAGCAATGTGATTCTGATGTTATAATGATATAGATGTGTGCATTGTCTCCTAAATATGGACCGCGAAAGTTGAATTTTTTGTCTCGCACGAGAGTTGTGATTGTTCGTCATTTCAAATACTCTTCTTCCTTGCCACTCTTTAGCTGAATGCACTCCCGTAGCTAATTACGATCAAATCTAATACCGCCTCTTCAGACGGTGTATCAAGCGTTCATTCTTTGATAGGTACGATCAGCTGGTTGTCTGACTGAACTTTCCCAAAATATCATGAGATAGCGAGAATTTTCTTATATATGGGGTGATAAAAGGCATTTTCTGGCCCAATCCAGCTATTGACAGAAGGCTGTAGTGTCATAGCAGAGAGTCACATTTTATCATCCTCCCCCGTTCAAGTAAAGCCAGCCATGGGGACGGGTTTCAGATGCCCGTCTTTGTCATACTTTGCTTCTAATTCGTCCGTCAGTATTTTTAACGCGGAAACGACAATTAATTCGACTTGGAGACTGGCTTACTGAAAAATGTGTAGTTCAAAGTTACCGTCTCTATTCCTTTCATATTCGGGTCGTCTACAAACGCTGGATCAATGTAAAAGAACACTGGCATATCCACTGTCTCCCCAGCGTTTAACCTCTGCTCTTCAAAGCAGAAACACTGTATTTTGCTGAAATACGGCGCCACCTGACCTGGAGCAACGCTGTACGTCGCCACTCCAATGATGTCATCTTTCGACGTATTTGTCGCCGTATAGAACGCCAGTGCGGTCTCGCCAGGTAGAACCCGCACTTCACGCTGCTGGGGAGTAAATTTCCAGGGCAAGATCGATGACACTTGAGAGTTGAATGTGATGCGAATGCGCGGGGCGGTTGTAACGGGTGTGAGGCGAGCGGAGGGATCTTCGGAGTCGCCAGCGCCGTGACCTGTGGATTTGATCGGCTGGCCGCCCCAACCCATTTGTTGGCATATCTATAGATGCTCTTTAGTCTTGTATTGATTGAGATTGGGATGCAGAGGCCACGAACTGTCTTATATAGCGGCACGGATCCGTACGAAAGTGCAACCGTCCCAATTATGAGGCTAAGACTGTAATATCTTTACTTTCGCAGTTAACGTATCGTTCGATCATGTGTTAAGGACAACCATACAGCAATGTCTGATTTTTCTTCTTATACTCCGCCTGAAATTGTGCCATTGATGCTGGCATATCCTCCCGGTTGACCTTCTGAATGGTGGTGAGATCTCTTCTCGGCACTCGCCATGACATCCACCGCGTCCGTGGTATTTGCGTTGTCCGACATGACCAGCAAACCCAACTTGCTGAAGAGAAAAATGACTGCGATGTTCTCGCAGACGGACCCATCTCGAAAGGATAGAACGTACTGTGAATAGAACTGTGGGCTGAGTGATGGACGTCAAGAGTTGCGGAGCGGAGGTCACTTCCTGATTGGGCATGGGTGATATCCCAAGGGTTTTCCTATGCGCAATGTAGTTAACAACATTTATCGAGCGTCATGAACGCAAGAAAATGTGAGGTATGCCATGACCTGGAATCAAAGTACAAATGTCCTCAATGCGAGCTGAGATAGTATGTCGGCACTTCTTCTTTTGACTTCAAATTGTCTTTACGGTCATTTTCTTTGCTGCGTAATTTTTTGGCACTGTGGCTAATCTTGTAAGTTGTTCGCTCAACTGCTTCAAGCTACATAAGCAGCTCCATGAGTCAAGTACAGATGCAAACGCGTCTTCCGCTCTCAGAGATGAATCCTCTGCTCCGTCGGTGCAGCCACATCGTACCCAACAACCAGCCAAAGTTGATCCGTACACGGCGTTAGAAGAGCACCCTAACTTTCAAATTCTCTTTAAGAAGTACCCTGACCTTAAAAGTCAACTCTCTCGAGTCTACCAGGCAACGATGAACCCCAGCCAGCAAGATGAGTCTTCTCTGGGTGTGCAACAGAAGACTAGGGATCGTGTACGTGGTCAGTGGACTCAGGAAAAAGGAGATGAGTTGGCAGCCAAGTTGCTTGCTAAGTTGGCAAAAGAGCATGAGGGAGTGAAAGAGTTCATGGCATTGGTCAGAATCGTGTTTGATAGCGAAGAGGAAGAAAACGGCTCCCAGGAAGGATAAACATTGGAGGGCATATGCTGAAATAGGCACCTGTGGATTGACTAGAGACGCATGAACGTTGAATGAGAAAGTAACTAATACGATTCAATTGTTCAGATGCCTTCAAGAGATCGTCAAAGTTCAGGCATAGAATTAGACGGACTTCTACCAGGAGGATATACAAGACTCTTAATCAATGCAAACAAATAAGTGCCATGTAAGAACTAATTCTTAAGCGCAAACGTTCACCTGAATGAACCAACTTAAAGTTCTATTTTATCAATGTGTGATGAAGAGTTCCCCACACGTGCGTACATTGACCCCTGTCCCCCTACCACCCACGCGAGGCGTGCAACTTCGAACTAATAACAACATGCAACACCAAACCTCGCAAAGTACCCTCCTAAACGCAAAGCCACCTCCAGAGAATCCCGACGCTAAGCATCTCTAGTGCCCCAGCTCATCTTGGAAGCCATGGTATCTATGTTTCCTTGCCGATAGCTATGTCGTTCAAAGTTGGACAAAAGGTCCAAATAGCGGACGGGAGAGTGGGCATAGTTCGCTTTATAGGCGAAGTTTCCTTCAAAGAGGGGCAATGGATGGGTTTAGAGTTGGAAGATCCTGATGGCAAGAACGATGGCTCCGTTAGAGGGGAGCGTTATTTCGACTGCCCGCCTAACCATGGCCTCTTCATACAACCATCACCCTCAATCGTTGTACTCGAGCAGCCAAAGCCTGCTGCACCGACGAAAACAAATAGCAAACCGACCGCAACTTCTGCAGCGAGACCGCGACCTTCGAGCATAACATCGTCTACCTCAGCTACGGCACGATCAGCACGGCAAAGCACATCTGGACTCGGAGAAGGGAATGTTGGAGCTAAGAGAGTTTCAGTACTGCCTGCTACTGCGAAACCTGAAGCGAGGAGGCAGACAATGGCACCTCCTTCCACTACTGCTGCACGTCCCTCGCGCCCATCGATAGCACCTCGGGTTGGTGCTTTGAGTCCTAAGAAGACTTCTGCACCGTCATCGCGACCATCTTCTGTGAGTGTATCTTCACTTGCGAACAAAACTGCCGGGATACGCTCTCCGCCTTCAGGAGCTAGTCCCTCTCCAGGTTTAGACAGAGTGTTGAGTCCTGGTTCGTCAAGCTCTGGCTCAAAAGCAAATCAAAGGCCTACTCCTGTCGCTGCTTCGTCCACGAATATTTCCAGCTCAAGTGCAGCGGCACGGGTAAATATGAACTCGAGCAAGGCGAACCAAGAGAATGAGGCAAAAATACGGATACTAGAGAAGAAGGTACAAGAGCTGCGACAAAAGGTACAGGAACTACAACCTCAAGCGGACAAAGTTGAGCGGTATGATGGCATAATACAAAAGTTGCAGGGCAAAGCTCAAGCACAATTCGCAGAGATCAATGAGCTGAAGAAGCAGCTAAAGGAGTCAGAAAATGGCTTCGCACAGATCGAAGCTCTGCAAGCCGAGCACGATACCAACATGGAGCTAGCAGCCCTTGACCGCGAGATGGCGGAAGAGAAAGCTGAGGCTTACAAAGCGGAGCTTGACTCGATCAAGGCGCGTGCTGAAGAGCTAGCTCTTGAGAACGAGATCTTGCGGAAGGAAAACGAGGAGTTGAGCAAGGACATGAGCCCGGAGGAGCGAGCAAGCCAAGGTTGGATGCAGATGCAGCGTGAGAACTCGCGACTACGTGATGCGCTGATACGACTGCGGGATATGACGCAAGAGCAGGAGTCCGCGTTGAAGGAAGAGATTGCCTTGCTTGAAGAAGAGAGCGAAGAATTGGCTAAATTAAAGGAAGAACACGACATCACGAAGACGCGACTCCTAGAGTCGGAGGCTGAAGCTGAGGATCTGAGGGAACAGCTTGAGGCTGCCTTGGGCGCGGAGACGATGATCGAACAATTAACAGAGAAAAATCTAGAGATGACTGCCAGAATTGAGGAATTACAGAACACCGTAGAGGACCTGGAGAATTTAAAGGAGCTCAATGATGAAATAGAACTGAGTCATATGGAAGATAAAAAGCTGCTCCAACAGGAAATTGATCTTAAGGAAGCTTTGCTCATCGAATCAGCTAAGCGCGTAGTGTCTCAAGAAGAGGAACTTGCTGATCGCGACTACACTATTCAGAGGTTCCGGGAGCTGGTTATGAATATGCAATCGGACTTAGAGGACATGAGATCCTCGAAGGAGCTCACAGAGACACAAGCGCAAGAGCTGGGTAGTCATTCACGGGCTATGATGGACCTCAACAGACAACTGCAGGCTTCGGCGTCCAATACACGTGTCAAGACCATCGAGATGGAACTTCGCAAGCTGGAAGCTCAAGAAGCCGCCGAACATCTTTCCATCGTGCAGCTCTTTTTACCAGAAGCGTTCCAATCTGAGCGCGATTCTGTGTTGGCGCTTTTGCGATTCAAGCGCATAAGCTTCAAGGCGCAACTTTTGCACGGCTTCATGAAAGAGAGAATCACTTCACCAGGCCCACACGCTACAGCCGATCAGCTTCTGGCGGCTTGTGACGCACTCGACAAGCTGACGTGGATTATGGCTATGTGTGAACGCTTCACAAGTTGCATTGCAACGAGCTCGCTCGAGCAATTCTCTAAATTTGAGAGCGTTCTGTATGAACTCGAACCTGTTGAACGCTCTCTGAATGGCTACATTGACAATTTGCGCAAAGATGAGCTGCGAGATCAACAGGTTGCGGATGGGCTTCAACGTGCAATTGCAGTCATGCAACACTTGTCCGAACTGCATCTACACGATAGCCCTGAGAGCTTCGCGAATGAAGTTCTCATGAAAACAATGCTTATGCAGAGTAATCTTGAAACCACAGCAGCGGCGCTGCAGATCATGAAAACCGAGATTTTGCGTGCCATACCGGCTTCAGAAGATGGGGAAGATTCTATGTCGGCTTTCGCATCAAAGACGGATGCCCTTGCCATGCAATCTCGGAGTGGACGAGTTATTGTGGGCAAAATATTACGCTCTCTGCAAGATCTAAAATCGCGATGTCTTGCACTAACGGCTGATTCTGACACCACTTTTGAGGTTGGCCAAGGAATGACTGAAGACCTAGCTACTACCCTACGGTCACTTGGTACGGTGCTTTACAACTCGATACATGATGAGGATCGAGCCACTTCATTCACCTTTGCCGACCTCATGTTCGTCATGCGCAATTTCAACAAGTCTCAAGATATGGATGTCTTCGCACCTTTGCAAGCAAAGATGAAGGCTCTACATGAACGTCTCGGCGATATCCTAAATGTGGCTCAAGATCTCAGTAATACAGTGGAGTTTGAACAGCCCTCCCCTCCCTGGGTTCTTCGCTCCTTGGCGCTCGCTCAGAGCAAGCTCGTTTCACAAGACGCGCAAGCAGAGATTGCTTCTCTCAAGCGCGAGATCCACGAGCGTGGCACAACCATCAAACTGCGTGAAAATGAGCTTGAAGAAGCAAGCGTCAAGATTGAGCTACTAGAGAGTAGGATGAAGGATTCCGCCAAGAAAGCAGCTAGAATCAGCGAGCTAGAGAAGATAATTGAGCGCGCAACCACAGTGGAGAAAGAACTAGAAAGAAAACTGGAGGAGAAAACGTTACTTTGTGTTCGAATGGAGGATGAACGCGATTCATGGATGCGGAAGGCCGCTGAGATGCAGGCTCAAGAGCCAATGGGTGCAAACGGTAAGGATAAGCGCGGCGCCCCTATGGGAGGTGTTCATCTCGTGGGTACGAGCCAGGAAATGGAAGCATTGAAGTCGAACATCAAGACACTTGAGTCCACGATACGTTTCCTCCGCAAAGAAATGCGACGTACGCAGCACGAGGAGCAGAGAATCACAAACGCATGGCTCTCGCAGCCGCTCAACATTTCTGATAACAAAAACATGCATGCACTCCTACAGAAAAGGGAGGAAGCTAGACAGGCATTCAATGCAATTGCAGATTTGCCAGCCGTTGCTGCCCCAGTGGCGCCTGGATTCATGAAGGACAGGAATGAGAGACTCAAGTGGAAGCCAAGAGCGTTGACGACGAGGTATCAGCTTTATGAAGCCGAGGTGCAGTGGCTGGATGCGAAAGAATTAATGGGAGGAGAAAGAGTCAGGAGCGCAGGACCTGTAATTGTGATGTAGGAAAAATCTGCAAACAAATATTTGCTGGTCTCTAGCGCTGAAGTCTATGTCAAGATCCAACACTATGTGACTCTCGCCGTCGTCAATATTGACTTGGCCGGCTACTCAACTACAAGAAGACCGTAATGAACGCTACTGACGCTCCCATACTTCAGCTACGCACCGTGTTATGTTTTCATGGTAATCAATGGGTATAACCATGCAAATAAGCAGTAGCCAGTGTTTGATGATCTCATTCAAATTACAAGATTGATCAATGCAGAGCTCTTTCCCAGACTTTCCTTGCTCTACTTCCCAACTCCTCCTTGAACCCTGCACCTAACAAATCGATCACGGGCTGAACGTCAGGCGGTTCAGGCAAAGTCATCATCTCTAGTACTCCGTTCACTGCTGCCGTACCTTTATCTCTTGCCGCTTCAACCCCAACGCCCACTTTTTCCCTAACACTCTTGTCTTTTCCCGTCCTTACGGGACCATACGCCGTAGCGGGAGTTATTTTCGTGCTATCGAGAAGTTGTTGCCACTTCACAAGGTAGACTCCTGGACCTGCATCAGGACTGCGGAATGAACTTGCGGTCGAGGAAAAGAGAGCATTCCATTTATCCTGTGAGACTGAGGAAACGGCCATTGTATAAGCTGTGTACGAATCAAGAGTACGAGCAACAAGGTCTTTCTGTTCATTAGGCAGCTTGCAGAAGAGCTTGTTGAGCGCGTCCGTCATATCCCCAGCACCACCTTCACTCTCCTCCAGAGAGCTTGGATCTTTTCGTCTGAAATGCAATAAGGCCCCTTGAGCATATTTGACCCACTTTTCAGCGAGTTTCTTGTCATTTTTGACTGCTTGGTGCAAGAATTTGTGCACTGCATATTGATATTTGCGAAGAAGCTTGACGTAGTCCTCTACTGTAGGCAAAGATCTCTGCGGGGGTTTAGGTGTCGAAGGTCTCGAGGGAATCAACTTCGGTGTCCCGGGCTGAGAGGGCGGAGTAGTATTCTCTCCACTTCCTTTGGATAGCTTGATGAAATCTGTCAAGAAATGTTCAAAATCCAGAAGCGTACTACTTAAGTCGATCGCATTGTGACATTCGCGAATAATTGGCTCGTACGCAGCGACCATGTCCCTGATCGCTTGCGTTACAATGTCTGGGTTCTGGTTGCAAAGAATATTTGATAATTGTTGCCGATCTCGAATAGACAACTGTATTGAAAGAAAATCCATAGCTTTGCCGTGTTGCTCTGCACTAAGCTTTGCATTTATTTTCTCGTCGTCAAATATTGCTTGGACTAGTGATTTGGATTCTCTTTCGCTCGTTCGTCTTCGCTCATCGCGAACTTCTCTAGCTTGCTTCATGTGGTTCTTGACAGCAACCATGTGCGCTTTGGAAGGAGCGTCTTTCGCCTTTTCAGCCTTCGCAGTCTGTTTCTGAAGTTCGCTGATATCCCACCCAATGACAGTAGAAGCAATCTGCTGCAATAAATTCATTCCAGCATCAGAATAGTTCGTTAGCCCAAAGAAGCTTGTTACGGAATTGATCGTCATCTTTGTCAATAACAGCTTCACCATTCCGTTGATCATAGTAGCTGCATTACCTACTCTTAATGTCTGCCGCATCGTACCGTATGGTACCAACCGATGTATGTTTTCCAACACTCGGACGAGGTATGGACCATCAGGCGATAAAATCATGATATAGTGCAGAATTGACGCGAGGTTGACTAGAATATACTCATGTGCTGCCTGCACTCTCAGAGTTTGGTCTTCTAGCCTGTCCGTAACGCCTATCTTCTCTTGAAGGTGCTGTGCCATATTTCCATAAACCAACTCTTGCAAAAAGTCTTCCCAACCGTCTTTGACGTCGTTCGCGTCAGATAGATCATAGTCCTGTTCCACACGCTTCAACTTTCGCCGAGGCAGGCCACCAAAGACACCTCTGGTCGGATATTCTATCAGAACAGAAATCGCTGCAGAAAGTGTCTTCCGCAAGCCTATGGTGCCTTTGTCATAGCTCTCGGATAATTCAGCCTCACCGAATTTTCTGACAAGACACTCTATCCGATTTCGCCAAAACCCCTCGCTTATATCCTTGAGTCCGGGCAAGGTCAGGACAAAGCGAAAAAGGAGCGTCTGCAGAACAGGCGAATCCGAACTCTTGCCAGGTTCTATGGCGAATGGGGGGCCATAGTTGTTGATCGCCTCAGGGTATTTGTACCGCTGAATTTCATTGTAGACCTCGTAGTGGGTCAAAATGTCGAATAAGGCATGCGCCTGTAGCGGCGAGAGCGAGTCCGGTGCCATTCAGAATCGATGTGGGTGAATGCATCGTCTACAGCAAACTGCAGATAGCAAAGACAGCCGTCGTCTCTCTCCATGCGCTTGGCCTCGTCGACAATGACGTGGGACCCACCAGGTATTCAACGTCCTCTGTTGCCGCCGAAGTCGGCCAAGACAAATCACGGCGGCCTCCTAGAAAAAGGTATCGTCTCTGGATCGAGTATCATAATTACCATTATTGACATAGTAGCTGGCGCTGACCATGTGCTGGCTTCAGATGTTCTGATTGTCAGGTCCTCATGGATGTTGGAAATTAAGACATCATTAGATAGCGATCTATCACTAAATCAAGTCAAACTTCGACGCAGCGATGCGAAAACACAGGTCAGCATCTGCGCTGTGGACATTACTTCGTTGTATTCGCGATGTTGAAGCTCATACGTCAACTCTCCCAAACTGGATGCGAGATATGCAATTGCTTCAGCTTCAATATCAAGATCGTGAAGACGCATTTTGCGCTACACGTGAAATGGTTCTCGAAGGTTAATGTAGTCAATTGGGCGCAATAATTATTCGTATTCATTTCCTGGAGACGGATCAAAGGAAATAAGAAGGACAGGCCTTACGAGCACGTTACACAAAGACCGAAGAATTGACCAGGAATACGGCTCGCGAGAGGATGGGTATGCTGGTATCGGCGCCTCTTAGCCACCAAGAAATCTTCGCTAGCAGCGAGTGCATCTCATAACCAATTATTCGCGAGGGCGACCAAAGTTTGTTTGTGAACAACTAAAAGCTAGGACCTTCGAAGTGCAACTATCCATCTTTCGCCTATTTTAGGTTTTATGTCCCGAAGTCAATGGTTTAGCTTTTAAAGAACTGATCGTCCTCTTTCTCCACCTTCGGTGCTATGTTTTGCTCATCTGATTTACTGCGCGCTGTCAACTTTTTTTCATTCGTTTCAAAGCAGTTCAAGAAAATCTGGTAAATTCCTTCTCACGAGATGGGTGGAAAGAAGAGGAGCAGGGCGGCAAGGAATAGGCGTCAAAACGTGGCGTTCGCTGCCCAGAATAACATCAAGACACCAGAACCAAAGGAAGAGAAGACTGAAAATGACGCCTCACCAGATGCAGTGGTGAAATCTTCTGAAGGCAAGCTGAGAATGGACTCTGTCACTTTGCCGGTCCAGTCGGAGCATGATGACGGCTCTCCTACGACAAGCGAGAATTCCGAACCAGAAGAGACCGCGAACACCGAGGAAGAGAGCAAGAGAGAGCAAGACCTCAGGAAAAAGCAACACAGAGTATCGAGATTTGGGGAAACCTTTGATGACTCCATTGCTCACGAGGAAGAACAATCGCCAACGTCTGAGGATGCGGTCCAAGTCGCAACAGCTCAAGTTGAGCCAGAATGTGACAACATAGATGAATCCATGATCCACCCTGCCCTTCGAAAACCGTCAAAAGACGCAATCCAAACAACGTTGTGGCTTGGAATGCCTTCAGAACCGGCATTCTTCAAGCATACGAGCAAACCCCAACCTTCAAATCTCTCCGTTCCAAATCTTGCAGTCATAAATTCTAATTCTGCGCCGTCAAAAGCTTCCTCAACCTCGGCATCACCACCTCTCAAGGACCCTTGTGATCATCTCCAACCTCGCAGAGCCAGGTCTCTCGAAATACATTCCCAATTACAACCCAGTTCAGGTCTCGTGCCAAAAAAACTTGAGCAGCACGCGCTTCACACATCTGCTGGCCAGAAAACTGTTTCTGAAGCAAATGTAAAGAAACCATCTTTCACCCAGACTACGGATGGTTGCCACGCCACCGAAACTCAGGAGGCACAATCAGTCACTCGTGCCAGTGACAGCACTAGGTATCTGCCGCGTCTCTCATTCCAACAGGGCCTGGAAGAAATGAGTCGAACACCACCGAATTTCAATCTTCATGATGAACTCGCTTTCCTGTCAAAAGCCGAAGGACATCAAACCGAGAAACAGATGCTAGGTTTAAATGTGAATGAAGCACAGCAAGTGAGGAAGCAAATGGAAACAGAAGGAGTGCAGCAAATGAACCATGGTAGCGTTCTTCAGCAGAGAGACAAGAAGGAACAGCATCGAGACGAGAGGCAGTCACAAAAGTCTGGAGTCTTAGCTAGGTTGCGAAGCTGGATGGGAACATGCATCCACTTTGGTGGTGGTGACTGCTAAGTATTCGTGATTTCATGTTACCATAAACGAGCGCCGCGAAATTGGGCACAAATTGAAGTCAGGCATTTTGTAAAATAATCATATAATCTAGACTTCTCGCTGATAAGCTCTTTTTTTTCGTGATGTCACCTACGTAAAACACCGTCTTCATGTATCCCTTATGGAGATATTGACTTTCAAGACATCCTTCAAAGCGGAGTCGCACGGCTCATTTGTATAAGTCGTTTAACACCAATCTATTAAAATATCAGCGAGATCTGTAAACAGACGGGACAGGACTCACCATCCAATTGCTACCCTCATCCGTTTTGCTTGTCATAAGATCCTGGAAGAGCGCCTGTGCAAGCTCAAATTGTCGCCCTTGTACTGCCTGAGACACTTCGTTCATCTGTGTAATGGTATCCGGTTTAAGCAGATCTTCATTATTCAGGTGATCGAACAAAATATTCAATCTCTTCTCCGTGTCCAGAACCTGGGGTCTGAATTGTGCTGGTGCCTTTGATTTGATACGTTGAATCTCCGCATTGAGAATTTGGAAGATTGGTTGTGCTGTGGCTGGGATATGTGACCTATCCCCCGCAGGATGCTTGGGGGCAGAAGGGGCTTTCTCACCATCGGCTGTTCCAGGACGAGAAGCAGATCGCTGTGGTGAAGGAAGCTGATTCGCTGATCCTGTTGATCTATGATTCGCTCGCGCATTGCCAGATGGAGTATGTCCCAATGCTGCCCCCTTCGGTGGCGGAGCTGGAGCCATAGACGGCGGTGGAGTCGGTTTCGACATTGTTGGAGCTTGGCCGTACGGGCTAGGTGTAAATCCGGCATTTGATGGAGGAGGCGCTACCTGACGAGCACCTGGCGGTGGCCCACCCCCAACACCAGGAGTCATATTTGATGCTGTCCCTGGGGCCGGGGCGTAGCGGCTTGTTGGTGGAGCGTTTGAGGGTGGGGGATTGTAGGGTGAAGCGCCTCGCGGAATTGGGGGTACAGATGGAGGTGGTAGTTGTGATGGCTGGTTTGAGAATGATTGAGAAGGTTGTGGCGGAGCATACGCATTGGCGGCGGACGACGATGGTCTGCTGACTTCTTGCTGCAGATTGCTAACAGGAGGTGGAGACATAACACGTGCTGCACCAGCCTTTGGAGGTGGCCCAACCGGTTTTGCCTGGGGAGGTGAGAACGAAGTTGGTGGCGTAATACCAGTTTGCTGATTTCCATAAGGTGCATTGACTGGAGGTTGACTTAGACTAGGTGTACCTCTCCTAGACACGGTTGGTTTGGGCCCAAAGTCAGGGGTGTCATTCCACGCTTGAAGGTTTCGATTTTGAGCAGCTGGTTGTACCACTGGAGAAGCGGACGATTGGCGAGGCGGGGGAACAACACCACCAAACGCTGCTGGTTGATAGCTCGGGGGTTGGTACGAACTTTGCTGTTGTGGTTGATATAGCGAAGTGTAGGAAGTCTGTGATGTGGCGGGAGGGTGATAGCTGGAAGCTGCTTGCTGAGCAGCTGGTGCATACGGTGACGAAGTTGTAGCCGGTCCTGGGCTGGCCGAAGGCTGATATGCAGGAACTACACGTTGACCTCGTGCAACATTCGTCAAACTTGACTGTCTTGGCTGAGCTGCTGCGACAGATTTCTGAGCGGCCTGCTTTAGCCGTCCCTTGGCTGCAACTGCAGGGGCAAATTCTTCGGGAACTAGGTCTAGATACCGTTGTGCAAGCGGCATCTTACCATTTGAGACCAAAATATCTGCATACTCTGCATACTTCGCATAAAGTGGCTCGAGCTTCCATTCGGAAGTTTTCGATACTTCAGAATCCTTGAACTTGGTGACTTCCCGGAAAATGGTAACCTTTTCGATGAAATCTTGAAGAGCTTTAGCGTGAACAGAGTAGGCCGAGTCTGCTTCCGAGGACTCCAATGCTGCCTTCTCGTTTTCCTGAAGCTCTTGTGTCCAGATGCTGACAACTTTCTCCAACTTTGAGCCTGCAAGGTAGCAGAAAGAAGCATCTTTCCGCGCGAGTTCGCATTCGCTCCCATCCAGGGACTCTGCTAATCTATCTCCTAGGGCTTCGCAAAGATCCGGGAATTCATTCTCGTCCGCAAAGGTGCAAAGTGTGGCAAGCACTTCCTTCCAGTTGGCTAAGTTGGCGTTATAGACTACATCCCACAGGTTCTTGCCAACTACAGAGGCCAGTAAGCGCAGGTAGTTTGGCCCATCTCCCTGGCGCTTGAAATATGCTGCTTGCACCTTGTCAATGCATTTCTGGCCGCCACATATAGCAATCATAAAGGCATCCGAGATCCTGTCTTCCTTTAGACATATATCCACTGCTTCTTCAAAAGAGCCAAGCATGAGTGCTTTTGTGATTTTTTTGTCGGCATCGCTTTCAGACCCAGTGTAGATCTTAAAAGGGTTATTGGTTCTCGCACCTTTGGTCGAAGCCAATGTAGAGAGGAAATTGTCATCTGCTGAGACATTACCAAAAAATGCTGAATCGTCCTCTTGAACACCATTTGATTGCTTAGCCTCACTTTCACCGTTGGCTTTAAGTTGAGAAGGCTTGAAGCCGAGATAGTCCCTCAAACCTGATCTCGAACCTGAGAGCAAAGTCTCAATCACTGTCCAGTCAGCTTTCTCGTCTTCTGTCCTTGCTTCGGAGATCTTCGACTGGCAGAACGAAGCATAATCACCCTTCTTCAAGACTTCTTCAAATTTTTCAGCAGCGTCACCAACTGCAGCATCTGCTACGTATGTTGATATCGTGATCTTCGAAGTCCTCGAGGAGGCATCTGTAAGCCCTACTTTGACAAGATGGCCGCCGAATCCGAAAGTAGCACTGATAGGCCGTTCGAGCCACTTCGGAGCCTTGGTCAAGGAGAATGCTACACCTTGTGGTTGACTACCAGCTTGTGCGAAGAAGTCTGCATCATCGAGAGCGGGAGCGGCAGACGACTTTTGTACATCTTTGTTCGTATTCTGGATGGTCTGAACACCGATCTTGCCATCAAAAGATGCTGTAGCGAGAAGACTGGGTTGCCTTGGATTCCACCTCGTCTCAAAAGTCCAGTTCGTGACAATAGGAAATTCACCGAAGGCCTCGCCGGTCCTAGCGTTCCAACAAATTGTCCTGTTGTCTTTGCCACAAGACAAAAGTAATGATGGGTCATGGACGGACCAAGCTAGAGAAAGTATGCCCTGTTCATGCAATTTTAGCGTTCGCTCCGGCGCATTCGAGTTTCGTAGGTCCCATATCAGAATCAGTGGGTCCTGGTCACTAGACGTAGCAGTTGCAAGTTTAGTCGAGTTCTCCGGATCCCAAGCGATTGCACTGATGGCCTTCCTGCTCAAGTTGTTGAGAGTCAAACTTTCTTTCTTGGCGCGAGCATCCCACACTGTCGCGAAACCACCGCTACTACCTGTGACCAGAATGTGTGCCACCTTCTTGTTCCAGTCCAGTGTTTCGAAATCGTCTGCCCTTGCTACTGCTGTACCTAGCCTGAATGTTTTTCCAGAGTCGTTGAGGTCGTTGATATAGAGTTCACCCTTTGAACCAGCTGTAGCCAGGAGCTCGGTACGAAAGGAATTAAATTGTAGAGATTTGATAGCGCCAGTATGCTTTGTGATCCGTGAGACGTGAGCATTGCTATTACAAATTCGTCAGCCTTCATTATGAATTGAAACCAAGCTAGCTCTGCTTACCTAGAATCAGAGCGGAGTTTATTCGCGTCCCAGAGGTCCAAAACACCACTATCCAAGCCACCAGCTATTACGCCACCTCTATTGTCATCCTTGGGCGGTCCCCACGCGACGTCATGGAATCTGAGGCACAAAAAAACGGTGTTAGCCTGTTTGCTGTACAAAATGATTGGCACTTACCTAGAGTCCACGCCTATGCTTGCAATAGGTTGCAATTCTCCTGCATACCGATTGCCCAGTTCCAAGTCCCAGAGCTCCAGCTGAGTCTCGTTGGAAAAGTCCGCATCGACGGCCCCAGCCTTCGTGCCAGTGACTATGCTTGGGTTCGTAGCGCTCGGAGACCAGGCAAAAGCCGCCGTTCTGGGTATCTCTCGCAGGCGCACCATTATTTAGAGGAGACGTGGGAGAAGGAGGAATCCAAAGAAAAACGTCCGCTAGATTAGCAGACTGTGCGCATGAAGGTCGGAAATCAAAGTGAATTCAAAGTACAGAAGATAAGCTTGGAGGCAGAGAGAGGGATAAGTTGGGAGCACCAAGGGCTGAATTGGACAAGCGAGCTCAAGGTAGTTGTGCTACATCTGGCTTCAATTCCGTTTCTAACACAGTGACATAGGATCCCTGAAGGGACCGTGCCCTCAATGTCACGTGATGATTAGACTGAAAGCACTAATGGAACATTTTCGGTGATCCATCGCCTCCCTTCGAGCCAAGGAGAAATAACTTCACAAATAATCATGTCCGACAGATCGAGAGTGAAAGCCACAGTTTATGTTGGCGGACTGGACAACAGCGTCACCGCCGAGACTCTGCATGCCGCTTTCATTCCCTTTGGCGACATCACGGACATCTCTTTACCAAAACCAGAGTTGGCCTCGTCAACGGATCCGCATCGCGGCTTTGGATATGTTGAGTTCGAGGCCGAAGAGGACGCCAAAGAGGCGATTGATAATATGGATCAGAGTGAACTTTACGGACGGGTCATCAAAGTTGCTCCGGCAAAGCCACAAAAGGATCAAAACGAGGGGCTAGGCAGTAAAACAGCCATCTGGGAGCAGGTTCGTGGTTGCTTACAGATTTAACGAATCAAGTCAAAAGCTGATTATGTCATTTAGGAAGGCTATCTGGCCAAGCATGCGGTCAGCGAAGAGGACCGGGTGGCAGCAAGTCACCAGAATGGGTTTATAGATCCTATGCAAGGGCTTGAAGGACTTGACATTGCGGGTCCGAAACCAGAATGAAGAATGAAAGGTCAAGTTCATGTGTGTTGTTTGTTATTGCCGGGGCGTCAACATTTTGAGAGATGCTATTTACACGAAGCTTTGTCTACAATTTCTCGGATGAATCCACCGGTCCATCACAAATCAGCGGAGGACACTTAGTCGTGCCCAGAATTACCCTGCCTACTGAGGCGTAGAGTTCGGTCAGTGTAGAATTTGCGAATGGAGGAGTAGATGGCGATGGTGATGGCGAAGCTGAGTGGTAAGTCGGTTAGAACTGGGGCCGACAGGCGAAGGGCTTCTTAGAGGGGCATACCCGAGGACAACACCTACAGTGTACAAGTTAGCCATCACCTTGTATGGCAGCGCAATATGTGTTGCATACCAAGTGGGATCAATTCTGGAGGAATCTTCTTCAAGCTTCGAAGGCGTTGTGAGATAGTGTGAGCTATAACGTGACGCAATGTCAGTAGTTGACACTTTGAAGCTCATCAGCAGATCAAAAGCGTGCGCATACCGCTGTGCTCTTCTTTCTACAGACAAATTAGCGCGTATGAAATAGTTATCAAGCTTCTCGGTGCATACCGGCACAGGTCGCATCATGCGTGTTGTTGGCTTCATGGCAATGAAGCGGTGCTGAACCTGTCCAACGCGAGGGGCTTGTGCCCTCAGCATGGAAGGCCGCATCATCGCACGGATGGCTGACATGGTTGTTCGCGTGTTCAGTGTGAGCGGAGAGACAGGTTGTAGGTTATGTCGTGGTGGAGAAGAAGCAGTGGGAAGCTTTTGCGAGGAAGTTGGGTCGGCTACGAACAAGTTGCCAGTGATTGGCCAATGCGTCAGGATCATTCGATGGACCATCCGACTTCACTTCGCTCGGTCAAACACCCCAACACCACTGCATTCACAAGCCGACAAGCAACGCAACCAACTTCTTATCTCACTTAGCAACAGGAAACGTTCTTCCACCTGCAAATATGTCCAGCGAAAGCGGAGATGGCGGTGATGAGCGCGTCACTATGCCCTTCAAGTTTGTCACTGGTATGTCTCTTTGTCCGCTGCTGCCGAAGCTTGAAATTCAGTTCAAGGCCATGCTAACGCTCTCTAGCTGGTACGTAGGCCTACTCGTTGAGCTTTGATGTCAATCCTACATTCGGAAATCGTTCACTAGCGTTTCCTTGATCGCTAACACAACCGAACAAAAGGCTTCGACGCACGCTTCCCAAATCAGAACCAGTATGTAGCAGCCATAGTCAGAAATCCCACATCTGGCTATGTACTAATAATGGAACTCAGGACCAAACACTGCTGGCAAAATTATGTCGACTATCACAAGTGCATCATCGCCCGCGGAGAGGACTTCCCACCATGCCGACAGGTATTTCAAATTCACCCAATCACAATTTTTCAGACTGACCTGTTCCCAGTTCTACCTTTCCTTCAAGTCTCTATGCCCAGGTGCATGGGTCCAAAGGTGGGATGATCAGCGCGGTATGCAGCAACCCGATTCTACGCATCCTTGATAGTTGCAGGATATGTACTAACAAAAAGCTTGATTCAGAAGCCGGTACCTTTCCAGCCAAGCTCGACTCATAGATTTCCATTTGCATTACCTGACACGATATGCTGAGACAAGTTGAAAAGCCTGGGTTGTCGGGTAAACAATTGTGTATAGACGAGTCTGATGAAGAGAAAACTGGAATTGTAGGCTCTATTCAAGCTCTGCCGTGTAAAGACAACGTCATCTTTAGTGACTTTGAGCTTTCCCTATATTCAAATTTTCCTCTTGCTTCCAGTTCACTTTGATTATAGGCTCCTCCCCGCGTCAGCCATGAAAGCACAGATGTGAAAAAAAAATTGCCTAGTTGCAAAGACAGTTCGCTTTGTTTTTCAGTCCCATTCTAGCTTTTTCTCTGTAAAGATATGAGCATGGCCCTTTCATCAGCGCTAAGCTAGATTAACAGAAATCTTGTGCTCGATTCGAAGCCTAAGCCCCAGTCTCCATAAGGACTCTTCATAATGGCAATGCTTCGAATCAATGAACCTGCTGCGAATCATTGTTAAAGTACAATTGCTTTTTAACTCCCATTAATTCCGCCGCCGGAATTAAGTTTTTCTTGAAATCTCGACTGTTTTGTTGTATTGTCGTAGCTTGATTATCGTGTCTAGAAGCAACTCACATCAACCGAGTAATCGTTTCTCGAGCTATGGGCGAGCCTCGCTGCCGAGAAATTTCATTATATATCGCTCTTCCAAAATTTGCTCAACATACGTCATGCCATTGGGGACCATTATTAAGTTTACTCTAATAGAGGAGACGAAGCCGTGTGGATATGTCATTCTGCGCAAGCTTGCACATCATTACCTAAAGAAAAATCTGTCTCTTCGTTAAATATTTTGAAGTCTGTCCTCTGGGTTCTCACTACGGTAAGGGCCTCTCTCTACAGGTTGTTGTAGGGTGAACAAGAGATCAGTAGGCAATGTAATTACAGAATCGTATGCACGTAAAGTCAAATCTATTCTAGACTGCTCTCTTCAAAAAATGGGTTACAAATACAACAGTTGAAACCGGCAATGCAATTCCGATAGAAACAATGTCTTATGGACTAGGTGCTTGGATCTTGTTGTAGTGAAGACAAGATTGAGAAGCGGTTTACGGAGCTCTTTGAAGCTTTAGATGCTGCGGTTGCTTCGGTTGAAAGTCTAGATAAATGATGTATATATATCATGACGGCTACCTATAGCACTTTGCAAGAGCAAGTGATGTTTGGGGATTCTTTAAGATAAACATGCACAAGATAATCAAATAATGCCTATCTGAAGTCATTTTGCATCGCTCTTCATACCAGCTTGAATCCAGGCCCGACTTTGGGCCGCGTATTTCTCCGCGGCCTCCTTGTCCTTCGCCAATTCCCTAATTTTACTTGGCTCCGGCACATCTCTTCCCTTCAGAACAGCTGGTCTTTTCGACATCCTCTCCTCCCACGCCTTAAGCTCGGGAAATTCATCGATATCGATACCAGGCCAGGACGCGGCCTCCACCCAGCCGTAATGTGCTATGTCAGCAATAGTACATTTGTTGCCGACCAGATACTCCCGGTTGCCATTCTTAAGGTGTGTATTGAGAACGCCATATAGCCGCCTAGTTTCGTTCTTGTAGCGGTTAATCCCGTACTCGATGTGCTCCGGAGCATAGCGGGCAAAGTGATTTGCCTGTCCCTGCATAGGGCCCACGCCAGCGTTCTGGAAAAAAAGCCAGTTGTTGACTTCATAGTACTCACGGGTACCTTCGGGGAATGAGACTTTGTGGTCTTTGTCGTACTGAGAAACAAGATACTGCATGATGGAACCCGACTCGAAAAGGCGAATGATCTTGCCATCTGACCATTTGTCGGTCAATGCGGGAATCCGTCCGTTGGGGTTGATTTCCAAGAACCAGGGCTCTTTCTGCTCATTTTTTTGAAGCGAGATTTGATGAACCTTATATGGAATCCTATATCACTGAATATTAGGCTTCTTTAATAATTATCCCCAGCAACACTTAGAATTACCCAAGTTCTTCCAGCAGTATGGAGATTTTTATGCCATTAGGCGTCTGGGCAGTGTACAAAGTAATCTCAGATTGACCAGTCATGTTGTATGATAGAGCATGATGTGAGACTTAGTACGCCCAGTCTGAGGACATAAATACATATTTCCAAACAACATCTCGCATGAAATGTGGGGAACATGCTAACATAATTAGTAATCATGATCACAAACTAAGTCGATCCTTGAATCAATGCCCAGTTCGGCGGCGCTGGTTGCTCGTTTAAAGGACCTGGCTTAATAGGTACATATCCCAAGGAGGAAGTATTGACGAGCTGTAGCAGTCAGGCCTGACAGCATTTAATCATTTTCACACAGGTCTAGGTTGAGAAACCTCCCAACATGGTTTGGGCTATCAAAGGCATAGAACTCTTCCATTGACTGATGCAGCGGCCTGAAGAGAAGGGCTACCGTTCGCATATGAGGCTATCGATTGGATAGTAGAGCCTCGGGAACGGAAGACATACCAGCAGCAGAGCAGAAGACAAAAACGTCCCAACTTAAATCACGTGATAATCACGACCATCGCACTGCCACAGTGATCTAACCGCGCCACAGTCTTCATTTGGAGAGGTTCCTTTCAGCGAGCTGCAACGCATCCCATCCTCATTATCCACATCTATCACATTTCCGCTATGTCGTGGCGTGATACCCGTGGCTCTACTGGAGCGAACAAAATTCCTCTAGGTAGTCGGCGACGCTTCGGTAGCGAGAGTGAAACACCGGATGGCGGCACTCCGCAGCCTGAGTTGAAGCGCGGTCGCAGCCCAGGTATTCTTCTGCCCTCGAAAAGGTTTGAAGCACCGCATCTAACACAATCCAGAACGCACAGAGCGTCGCAGGAAGCGTAATAGATGGGGAAATGCAGATGAGAACAAGGCAGCCGGTCTCATGGGCCTTCCCACTGCGATTCAAGCACCTATGACCGCCGAACAACTTGATGCCTACGTTCTACATCTGCGTATCGAAGAAATCAGCCAGAAGCTCCGCATTAATGATGTCGTACCAGCGGATGCTGACAGGTATGGCTGCACATATGCTGATGAACCTCCACTCGCTAAAATTTGATATAGGTCTCCGTCACCTCCACCACAGTATGACAACCTAGGTCGTCGGACGAATACTCGTGAACAGCGCTACAAGAGAAAGCTTGAGGACGAGCGTCACAAGCTCGTTGAGAAGGCGCTCAAGACCATTCCTGACTATCACCCTCCCTCTGATTACAGGCGCCCCGCAAAGACCCAAGAAAAGGTCTACGTTCCTGTTAATGACTACCCAGAAATTAACTTCAGTAAGATACTAACCCTAACATCCAAGCCAGTCCGCTTGGCGATTATCACCGCCAAGCACTTTCTTTCCGCATCTTCAATCAAGTCTACTAAGCGCATGCGCATCCATTAAGTGGATGAACTTTACTTACCTAGACATGACTTGCTCGTAGCTAGTTACAAGAACCACAACTAACACTTAGGTTTCTTCTACTAACAGTTGGCTTACTAATCGGTCCTCGCGGTAACACATTGAAGAAGATGGAGACAGAATCTGGGGCCAAGATTGCTATTCGAGGCAAAGGCTCAGTCAAAGAAGGCAAAGGTCGCTCTGACGCAGCACACGCTAGCAATCAAGAAGAAGATTTACATTGCTTGATTATGGCAGACACCGAAGACAAGGTCAATAAGGCCAAAGAGCTTATTCATCAGGTCATTGAGACGGTAAGGACTTCGCAGACCACTTCAACTAAATCCTGTCATTAATGCAACTTTAGGCCGCGTCTATTCCCGAGGGTCAGAATGAACTCAAACGCAACCAGCTTCGTGAGCTAGCCGCGCTGAATGGTACCCTTCGTGACGATGAGAATCAAGCATGCCAAAACTGTAAGCCAGTATACGTTTAGATGCGCAGTCCATTCTAACACTTTTCCAGGCGGTCAAATTGGTCATCGTAAATATGACTGCCCTGAGAAGCAAAATTTCACTGCAAACATTATTTGCCGAGTTTGTGGCAACTCTGGCCATATGGCACGAGACTGTCCAGATCGTCAACGTGGGGCCGACTGGCGCAATGGCCCTAGTTCTCGTGCTGTTCGCAACCCTGATCAAGATTACCAAGCTTTAATGGGCAGTCTCAGCGGCAATGGCCCAGCCGGTGCCATTGAGGCAGGTCCAGGTGGCTATGGAGGAGGTGCTGATGACGGTGTCAAGCCGTGGGAGCGTCCTCAAGGTTCTGGAGGTCCTGCCCCATGGGCTCAACCCCAAGGTAGTTCAAGTGGGAGCAGTGCACCATGGGCCAACAACAATCGTGGCAGTGACAGTTACGGCAGTTATGGTCAGCAATCTGGTGGCTATGGAATGCCTCCTGCTCCTGGTAGCGGAGCTCCTTGGGCCCAGCAGAATGGTCAAGGTTCTAACTTTGGATATGGTGGTTACGCTGGGTACAACGCTGGAGGTGCAGCTCCGTGGCAGCAACATGGCCAAGGAAGTTATGGCGCTCCTCCTCCTCCACCACCACCGCCTCCAGGTAAACCTTTTGTACCCACTGCGAATGATATCATACTAATATGAGATTAGGTGACAATGCCCCCCCACCACCTCCTCCCGAATCGATCCCTCCACCACCACCTCCACCTCCCCCTGCCTGAAGCGTCGAACTGTACTAGCATGGCTGAAACGATAAAATGAAAGTGGCGATTTGGCAATTCCGCAAATGGATGTTCAATTATACGGTGGGCGACATGTACCTTGGCCAGCTTTCGACTAACCATCTGTGTACTTAATTTCTTAATCTATCGCTTTCTTTCTTCAGGATAATGCTGTGTAGTGTTGTGAGCTGTTCCCGCTTTCAGATATGTTTAGAGTGACTTGTGTTGCGCCGAAGCTTATCACTGTTTTTCCAACTTTGCAGTCTATCACTTGGCTATGGGAGACGTATGCGTGAAGCGAAATATTCTATGGCCGGGGCCACGACGTACGCACATAATTTGCTCAAGCAATTGATTGCCATTGTTGAGGCGTGAAAGAATCTAACCATGGCTTTTCCTGTAAAAGCATGAGTTTACACTGAAAGAAGTGCGCTTCTGAACATCAGCCTATGCATGATTAAGAGAGTGCAATTGCTCAGCTGTTACAAATCATGAGGAGTCACGACAACTTGGCAAGATTGTTCATGGGGCCTGAACAACTGCCTCCCTCTGATGGAGATCGAGAGTCAAGCTAAATCTTGTTTCCTCGTCCTTTTTCTTTGCTGATATGGTACCAGTGCAGGAGTCAGGGCGAATTCTTCTACATCAAGCCGTAGAGCATAACACAAACTATGTGAAAAATAGAGCACTTTCCAAACCTACACATCAGCACTATGTGAACTTTCTTTATGACCATAACCAAGGCCACTCTCATCCAAGATTCAGCTCCTGATCAATAGATGATGCCTCGTAAATTTCGCATATAAATCTTATTTCCTCGTCTTAACAAGCTGCGGACCAACAATCGCAGTGATTTCGATCAAATGCTAACCGGGTTGAGCAATACCATCTAGCATACGCGTTGGCCGACGCTCCTTACGGGTGTCGTCGTTGGGGCCACTCCAAACTCTGCTGCGTTTCATCAAGCAATGGCTCGGACAGAGCTCTCACGGTTGAGAGCCTGATCTTCGCAGACCCAAACGCGCCGAGGCTTGGAAATGTTACCATCGCAGCCACATTTCTGTCCAAGATGCGAACGAAACTGCATCGCACGCTTCTAAGGTTCAAATAAGATCTTGGTAGAAAACAGAAGTAAATACTTTCGTGTGCCACATTCAAGAATGCAACATCACGGCCCAAACCCAACACAGGACGCGTTGTCCAAGCAAGGTTGATACGGCTGCGGCTTCCAGGACCAAGCTCACAGCTTGGTCTTAGGTCTTGGGTCTTGGCTAAGTCATCTCTGCTCTCAGCATCTGCTCTTGAAGCGCATTGCTCGCTCCTTATTAAGTCTCTCGTTTCGGCAGAACCGTCTGCTCTTGCGTGCGCTCATAACTTTTACCACTTTGCTGTTCTTGAGAATTCTAACGTCCGAGAATGCGTCACACATCCCTACTACTCTCCAGCCTTGCCCTCGCTCAATGCAGTACAGCAGGGTTGCTGAACGCAAGACAAGGTGGGTGAAACTTGGACATGAAGCTCTTCTTTTGGACACAAGAACCGATGTCAGATGTTCCAATGAACTCTATTGACTTTTGCCTCAGATACAACGTCAGCTACGGCCAGAACGGGAACGGCCACAACAACCACTAGCGAAGCGACCGCAGGGTTAGTTGAGACAACAATCGACGGCAAAGCCACCACCCTCCAAGTTGCAGTTCCCACGGGAGATGTTGCGGATGAGACTACAAGCACACCGACGGTAAAAACAGCCACGGCGTTAGCCCCAGTGGCAACTGATATCGGAACCGGATCTTCAGCCTTGCTCTCTTGCAAAGCTCCTACCGGAAGTCCACTCTGTCTACCAAACAACGCAACGCAGGTCAATGTTGGAGACACATATTACGGTGGAGTAGATACACCAAATAAGAAATGGGGATAAACTAACAGGTCAGATAGTGACTTGGGATCCATCGAGATTCGAAGTCAACACGACTATCACCATCCTCCTCAATTACGCTAACGACACGGATAATGGAAATCGTGTAGCTTGGACCTCGGATGGCACTCCTCGTGAGAAAGGCTTTGTCACAGTGAAGATGGATGACAGTTGGCGGAAGGGAACGCGGAATGCCACCCTTGAATTTGCTTTGATTGCATACCAGCCTGTTTCCGAACATACCGCACGCCCTGTGGACGGGCCCACAGTTTTCCTAAGCAAGTCTTCGTCACACTATCCACCTCCTCCCACGACGAAACTCCCCGACAACGTCAGCTTGTACGTTGGTGTTCCTCTCGGAGTAGGCGGTTTGATTTTTGTGCTCCTCGGTCTTTACTTCGGCATGCGCAAACATCGGCATATCGATATTAAGGGTATAATGGCTAGACGGAACAGGGGTTACGGTGCCCGTAAATCGAGACGTGAAAGACTTGGCCTGAAGAAAGGCGTTATCCGACTTGAGGAAAGGGAAGTCGCCGATCCCGTTGAAGATTACAGAAACGCACGTGATATTTACAGCGCCCCAGGACTAAGTGGTGACGGTGGCAAATACGGTGGAAACGCATTCAGGAATGAGATTGAGAAGCAAAATATTGGAAGGAGAGGCATGATTTAAATTGATGAGTTGATGAGATCCTGCTGAGTCACCTTTTGATTTCTTTCATTCTGAAGAGCTGGGTCTTGGTTAAAAAGATGCTAAATTGGAACGGAATTATGATACATTTCACTGGCTATCACAAATACTAACCTCTCATGGGTTCTTAGGCCAACCGCTCTCTACACCGTATCTATTACAAGATCACCATTCAAGTTTAGAGTCGGACAAGGTCCTTTTCCTGAGCGTGCAGAGCCACACTGCTCTCCCTTCCTTGCCTCAGGACATCTACATTATTGTCATTCCATCACTTGTCTAAGGGCTTCTATCCGGGCTTAGCCAAGCCCATAACTCCTTGTGCCATAAACACCGTCGATTTCCCTGACGTCAATCCTATCAGACACATGTACCGACACCTCTCTTCCATCTACCCGTCACTACCGGCAATCTCCCTTCCATGCTTCGCTTGCACATCAGCCGTGGGCGGATCGCTGACCGGGCTTCTCGGGACGCATGTGCTTGAAACATGGACTTTCCGTTCGCGCGGCGTCAAGCAGAGATGGCATTAAACGACAAAGCCACGACGGTGACCACGCAGCGGCCTCGAGAAAACTGCTCAAGGCGACGGTGCCAATCACCGCGCCGCCGAGACTCACGTATTCAAGGATGGGGCTGGTTCCAACGGCGCGTTCAATGCGCAAGGCAGACTCGTCGGCCAGGACGGTAGAGGTTACACTTTGTTCAGATCTTCAGTCACGTGTCTAGTACCTACGTTAAGCGCTTTAAGAGATGGATGAGAGGTGGCGGAGCCTGCCATGACGCCTAATCTGACGCCTTGGAGGCTGATGGATCGTAAGGGCATCCGAGTGATTTCTTTAGTTCCGGACAAAGACGCCGTAAAAGTGCAAGAATGCCTTCCCCACCGATCGGATTGTTTGATAGGTATCTAGGCACCAAGTAAGCGTGTTATAGGTTGAAGATTGAACGCGGTGACATGCAGAGACGAGACGTTGACGTTCGAGACGCGTCAGCTTAGCAGGTAGAAGTGCCTCCATTACGGTGAAATCGAAGTCACGCCAAATCGTCTTTTATCTTGTGTAAGTTCAGGGACTTTGCTGAATCGCCCACTTGTCACAACGTCGTGATGGTTGTTTGATTTCGTCATGTGGTAGCGAATAGCCATCCGGCTCCACGACAAAGCTATCCACGCTTACGAAATAGTTTGATTTGAAAGACTTATCAGGGGCGGGACGCAATGGCCTTTTTTTTGATCCACGTCTGACATCTCTGATTCAAGCGCTGTTATTGGGTCGCACGGTTCTCGTCAAGGGTTACCCGGGGCGCTCTTTGGAACAACTCATTTGCTCAACGTGGGCCCCCACGGTAGTTTTTCAATGGAGAGATGCTAGTAGCTTTCGGCCACAATCTTTCTTGCGTCGGTCCTTTTTTAAGAGAAAATGAAATCGACGTGGCTTCTGCTTCGCCTTGCAGCCGCAGAGGCTGGGCGGGCGTATATTTTACAAATAAGGAGAAGCGAATGAAGAAAAACAAAAGTATGCCCAGAGCACAAATACGTACTCTCTCTCTCTCTCTCTCTCTCTCTCTCTCTCCGGATGTACATGTGAAAGATGAGATTTGCGGAACACTTGGCCTTCAGGACAGAGTCAAGAGAAAATCTAGGCTTGGCGTATACGTTCGAGCGTTCTTTTTTTTTTTTTTTTTTTTTTTTTTTTTTTTTTTTTTTTCAAGTTTCTACTTCTGACGCGATGCCAAAGTACATACACATATGAGCGTATCACGCGACGCAACCCGCCCCCCAAAAAAAGTTCTTACAACATGGGCGGAGCAACAGATGACGCGGTGCTGTTGCTGCCAATCTTGTTAACAACGCATTGTGTGGTTAAAGGCTGGTCCGTCAGTACGTTGCCGTTGACGAACGGTGTCTCCGTGATCACGTAGTTTGTGTCAAAACCACCCGCAGCCCAGGTTACGACGCCCATGTACACGTCCGAGTTTTGGCTAGATGCTGTCAGAACGGGAGCGCCCGTTGGTCCGATGGGGGTTAGGAACTCACTTGATAAAGTCCATCTGTTGACAGAGCATTTGCATACAGCTCGGATCGTTCGGTCCGCCACCCGTCTCAGTGAGCATAGCAACTCTGTTATTCTGCCTCAGGTAGTTTGCGAGTGGCGCAAATGCGGTGTCGATGTTGTTGGTCACGCAGTTGGCATGAGTGCCACTTCCGTCAGAGTCAAGATACTTGTGCACGTTGTACACGAGATTTGTGGTGCTACCGTCCGGATTGGTAACCGCGCTCAGAGCTTGAGCACTTCCGCTGCTTACGAAGGTCGCTGCGCTAGCGAAGTCAGTCCCTGGTAACAAGATGGTTTGGTTGGTTGCTCCGGCTTGACGAATTGCCGTCACCGCTGCTTGAACTGACGCAGCCCATGTTGGCACATCAAGATCATGGGGTTCGTTCATAACGTCAAAGGCTACATTCGGCGACGCAGCGTACTTCGTCGCAAGCTGAGACCAAAGCGAAGCGTACTGATCGTTCGTCGGGCCACCTTGCCCGATGATCGCACCATTCCAGCGCGCGTAATTGTGCACGTCGATGATGCACATTTGAGCTCCAGACGAAATGCAGCCTTGAACAAGCTTGTCGTAGGCTCCGAAGTTGGTTGCGTCGAGGGGCCCGCCAAGCTGATTGTTGACAAGGTATTGCCAGCCCACGGGCAAACGGAACGTGTTCAGCCCGTCGTCGTTGACGAAATGTTGCATTTGCTGGATTGCGTTACCGTTCGTGACGATGTCCAGGTTGCCACCAGTGGTACAGGTTCCATCAATGCTGCAGCCAAAGTCGAAGCCAGCCATGTTCACACCCCCATACTTGACCTTTCCGGTTGCTGGGGCGGACGAGCTTGGCTTCGGCGCTGAGGACGAAGCAGAGCTAGCAGGAGGAGGAGGAGAGGCTGTAACCGGGGGAGAAGGGGGTGCTGGTGGGCCACTAGCAGGGACAGAAGGCATTGTCGTCCATGCTTTGGACGAGGACGCATAAGCAGCTTGTGTCTTCGAGACCGTCGTCAAAGACATCGATTTGCCCTTTGCAGTGCCTTTTGCCGAGCTCTTTGAAGTAGTCTTTGAAGTAGTCTTTGAGGTTTTCTTTGAAGTTGTCTTTGCAGTAGTCTTTGAGGTGGTCTTCGAAGACGATCTACTCTTGGTTGCCGTAGCGGTGACGGTTACCGTCTTTGTCGTCGTAACCACAGTCATGTTCCCCGACATGGTCGAGTTCGTCAAAGCCGTGCCGTTACCCAATATCGTAACGTTTCCAAAAAAGGTGCCATTGCTCGCGACCGTCACATTCGCGAACGGTGCTGTCACGTTTCCAAACGGCAGGGTTAGGTTGCCCGCGTTTGAAGGCCTACCTGTGGCCAAAGACCCAACTGTAGAATTCTGCGCGGCCGTCGCCGTGACCGTGACCGTCTTCGTCGTCGTCGTCGTCACCCTTCCCTTGCCCTTTGCCTTCCCCTTGCCCATCATCATACCCATCATCTTTCCCTTCCCTTTGCCGTTGTCCTTCTCCTGGTTGTGCGGCGCTGCGCTCGCCAGCGCAACCAGCATGTAGCCGGCTACACAGATCGCACTGAGAAACTTCATGGTGCCGTCTATCCCAACAAAAAAAAATCCACACAAAATGGGACTATCAAAGTCTCCTGAAAGGGGCGTTTATACAGAACAAAAAGAAAGAACGAGAGGAAATGGGTCCAGCCGATAAAACTCTCGTGATGACAACCAGTCCAGATGCTGGCAAAGGAATGTACGCTACTGCTGCTAGAGCAGAGACGAGGCTGAAGGAGCGTGTGATGGAGAGAAATGAAGGCACGAGACCACAACGGACTGGATAGAAATGATCGATTCGTCAGAGTAGAAGCATTCCCAACGAACGACGATCTTCTTCTTTCCCAAGGAAGCAAAGGAAGAGGCAGAACAAAGGAGAGACTGGCAGAAGGAAGAGAACAAGCTTATCTCTTGTGATAGCACATCCCCCGGTATAAAGGAGGTGATCGCCTAATACCTCGCCCGCATTTTACATGAACCCTCCACGGTCCCCAATCTAACAGCCGGGTCCAATCTACCATGTCAGTCTACATATCTGAGAAAAATGTTTGGATAGCTACGCCCAGCCAGATTCGCTGGCGAGGAAGAGAGGGGAGGGGGGTCATGCGGAGAGGTCAGCCAGTGAGGCCGTCGACCTGGGAAGGACGCCGAAGTCCTACAGAGAGGCGGGAGATCTTCATTGTCTCCAGGAAAAAAAAGAGACAAAAAAAAAAATAATCAAACTCTAGTCGCGGTAGCGACCGGGGACGAGGGTGACAGGCCGGCGAAACGGTCGAATGAACGGTGTCATGGGCCGTCGACGTTTCAAGGCACGAGGAGACGGGATTCGCGCACGCCATCGCAAGCTGAAACCGCAAAGGTACGGAGCCGAAGAGGAGAATTAAAAGAAAATACAAACAACAAAGAAACGGACGATCCTTGGAGCGGCGCGCCCCACCCGGCAGCAGGGACGTGCAAAGCTTGAGGCTCTTGGACGTGAAGCTTAAGCGTGGCCGACAGCTGGAAGCCGGCCGAGGAGGTTCGGTGACGCCAAGATCGGAGAAACAATGGAGGAAGGGCGAGGGCGGCGCAGGGCGACAAGGCTCTGCGACAAATCCGGGCTCGGGAAGGTCCAGCTGCGATCTTGGCGTTTGCGGCCTCTCATCTCGCCTCTTCGTGACGAAAAGAAACCTCGAAGTCCTTTTTTTCGCGTGGCGCCCGGCTTTCGGGACTCTTCGACGTTTCGCTCGCCACCTCGACGTTGTTTTGACACTGTATCTGCCACGGCACAGGAGAGTCAGCCAAGGGCGAAGACTTGCCACTTCTCTCTCGCATCGCTTGCTCGATCTTGGCGCGTTTCAACGCAAGGACGGGAAGAACAAGTTGCGGGTGCCACATCGTTGGTGGGCGAGTGCCGGAAGTGATGTCGAAGATTTTTAAGACATGCAAGCAAGAGCTTATATGACAGTGGCGGATCAACGCAGGTGGCCGAACGAAAAAAATTTGAAGGAGGTCATGTTGGTAACACATTGATTATCGTCTTTTTAGGCTTCGTCTAGATCACAACACCACAGCCTTCGAGTACCACGTTCCAAGCGCTCCGTATCTAGCCCAAGTCTTTTTTCTTTTCTCTTTTTCACCATGTTCACCAATACGATCGACGTCTGTTGACGTCGGCGCAGACAGTTACGTCTTTTGGAGTCTACTCTGTCCCCCAGAGGCCTACTTCAGGCCCAGTCAATTCGAAGCTTGGATGCTCGTACTCCATGACTGCGGTCGAGCATGTCAAATCCCCACCATGTAGTGCCCGCTCTTGTGTGTACCCTTTGCCTGAAAACGCCACCCAATATGCAAGTCGATCCTGTGGATTTCCCAGAATGCAACCGTGGTATACAAAAAACGAATGACCGTTGAGATGCGATGCTCTGTGCCACGCCCAGACAGAGCATCCACAGAAAGCGTCAAAAGCCATGTGCATAAGATGCAAAATCGTAACGACATTAGAGCGCAAATTCTTCGCAATCCAAGCCCCGCGATGATGATGAATAGCAGCCGCTTACGCGTACCGCACGCTCTGGCTTGGATACGGCATGTTGCCGCCTGGCCCCGGGTAAGCGGGGGGAGGACCGTTCATGTACATGCCGCCATTGCGCATCAGCGGAGGCGGTGGATAAAGTTGGCTCGGATTACCAACTTTACCGCTTCGTACAGCTGGGTATGCCCTCGCGCCCGGCCAGGGACGAAGTGCCGCGGCCTTGCCATACTTTCTGCGCTGGAAGGCGCGCCAGCAGCACGAAAGGATCATCAGAAGGATGAGCGCACCAAGAGCAGAGGCAATGCCAATGACAAGACCTTTGTGATCGTCAATCCAGGATTTGATTTCCTTGCCGAAGCTAGATCCCTTGCATTGGCCCTGTTGTACATATGTTAGCAACGCTAGACTCACGTGTTTGACGAGGGAATTGAAACCATACATTACTGCACATTCCTCCTCCACCGCAGGGCGTACCGTCCAAGAAGTTTTGCTGCAAGCCGTAGCATACACCAGGTCCAAATTCGGGGCTTGCGCAGGACAGCGTGCAGCTCAGGGAGTCGCAAGCGTACGTGTCGTTGCCCTGGGTGTACGAACCCATGACGGACTTGCACTGCTGGTCCCTTGATGTACACTGACCGCTGGCGCATTGCAGCCCACTACCACAGCTCTGGCCGTTTGGCGCGGTAACATCTGGCGGGCATGTCGGCGAGGTACCAGTGCATTTCTCCTCCGGATCGCAGACACCAGTGCTAGCGCGGCATACAGTGTCTGCGCTAGCCAGCTGGCAGTTGTTGCAACATTCTTCGTTCGCATCGTCGCAAACAGCACCGTTGATGAATTTACAGGTTGTCGGGTCGCAGCATGGGTCGTTCCCGCAATTAGCCGTTCCGCCGCAGTCGCATTCTTCGCCGGGTTCAACTATTCCATTGCCGCACTGTTGGCCGGTGATGAGGCTGACATCCTTGTTGTTGCTCAGACAAGATGTCCTGACACTGCTGCGTCCGATTGCTGAGCAGATGTTGCCAATCGAGCATGCGCTGAATGCCGTGATCCCGACGCCCGTCGATGGATTCATTATGTACTTTTCGCCAGCATCGCACGTGCTGCTGCTGAGGGGACAGCATTGCTGCCTCGTAGATGTGCCATCTGAGCAGGTCTGGCTTGTGCAGTCATGTACGGCACCGAAGGTGTGGCCCGTTTCGTGCCTTGATTGGGGTTAGCCAGACTAAAGCTGGGGTTGTAAGGTGGGGTGATACGTACGCGATAACTTGCCACTCTGTCGATGTTTTGGCAACAACATTCGCCCCGCTGACGACGTTGGTAGATCCAGAGGCACCGTTGCCGGTCGATGTGGTGTTGTCATTCTGTGCGGTGTTGACGCAAGCTTGACCCAGCCACGCCAGACCGACGGCCGAACCCGAGTTACAATTTGTCAAAAGCGTCCAGTGCGAGTAGTTGTCGCTTCTACCTCCACGCCACTGAGAGAACAGGTTCAAGCGATCTTGAATGTCGACGCTATCAGAGCAAGCCACGTTCCACGGTGCTGAGGCTGGGGCGCTTCCTGGGCACTCCTGGGGACTGACGATCAAGTTGGCAAGACCCAACGAGATGTTGAACGATTTCTCGTAAACCTCGGACGCAGAATTCATCTGGTTGATGACGTTCTGGCGAGTTTCAGTTTCGTTTGCGAAGGTAGCAGTATAGGAGCAATCGGTGGCGACGCCAACCAGAGCAACCTTTCGCATGCTCGGACAGCCCGCAGTAGAGCCGATGGTAGACACCAGGTTGACACCTGCGCTGTTACCACTCGTGCTCGAATCGAGCTGTCTCTTGCCAAACAAGGAGCTGATCGGGGTAAACCCCCAGGTTCCGTCATCCTGTGAGCCTATGCCTCTGTACACCGGGTGCGAAGGGTTGACGTTGAAGTCCAACGAGTCGTGATCACACGATCTGGCGGGGACATCACGCTTCAGTTCGGAATGGAACGAGCTCTCCGTATGCAGATCCGAGTCTCTCCATATGATCATGTAGTCTTCGCCAGCCAGCTGCACAGTGGGATCCTCCAAATGTCTCGTCTTCATATAGTTCTTCGCCATTTGGATGTGATAGTGCTCTTTCTCCACGCCGAGCACACCCTCGAACAGGGGTTCGTCTCCGTCTCTGTACACACTCAACCGCGCACTGCCGACCTTTGCGTACGAGCCGTCCAGATTCTGCCTCCACGTCTCGCCGGCGTACACCTTGTGGGCCATTCGGTCGATCGGCTCCGTCTTCAGGACCTGGCCGTCTGGACCTAGATATGAGACGGTCGCACCGTCCGCCAGCACATCGTGATTGGGCTGCAGCTTCAGCCTGAAGCTGCGCTTGAAGGCCGAGAGGGACAGTTCGAAGGATTGCAGGGCGTTGACTCTGTGAGCGGGTGTGTTGATGGACGCATCCCGGACGGAGGAGACGGCCGTGAGCGGGTTCCGCGCCTGCGAGTGGGCGAGCACGAGGGAGGCGAAGAGGACAGCCCATACACTGCTCCTCCAGAGCAGCAGCAACATTACGTTTATGCGCGACGCTCGAGCGGCGCCGAAGAGGGTCTTGTATACACTCGGAAGGTCCCTGACAGCCTGCTGCGCGCGGGAAGGACGGGGAGGGAAGGAAGACGGGACGGGTGGGTTGAGAGAGGGTAGATGAAGAAGTGAGAGCAAGACAGAGCTAGGGCGTAACGAGAGTGGAGCGCATCTGGGCGATGATTGAGTAGGATTGTGGGTGTGGTTGGCGTGCTGGCGGAGCGGGTAAGACGTTCGGTGGCAGTGGACGGAGCCAAGCAGCGAGCATTGAGTGGCAGGGAGCGCCGGGGGAGGGGGGGACAGGGTGGAGAACGCCCAGAGACACAGTGCACAGCCCTCAGCCCGGCTAGGCGAGAGGAGCCAGAGGCACTGCGGTTGGTGTCGCAGTCCAGCCCGGCTACGGCTCAGCGGGCTGCAAAGCACCGTCCAATGCAGGCCGAGAAACCGCTAAAAATACGCCCCAGCAGGCGGCCACTCCAGCGCCCGCTCTGGCTCGTGGCCTCGCTCGCCGTCCACTGGCAGCCTTTTGCACCCACACCCTATCCCGCAGCAAATACGATCCTTAGAACTAGCCCTGTTCTGCTCCATAGCAACGCTGCACGTCACGCCCGTCCTTTGGGGTGAAGTGACACTACGTCCTTCGCTCGGGGGGGGCAATGCTCCGCCGCTTGTGCCAAACCTACCGAATGGCCTGGGCCTTGGCCTGTCATCATGCACGGCCTTAGCTGATTTGCGGACGGAATGCTGATCCTCGTTTTACTTCACAGGTCTGATGTTTGAAAACACTCATCGCCCTTGACACAGCTTGAAATCTGCCCGAACGGGTGATTATCATCTGCGGGAACGCAAGAAAACTGAACGTGAGGGAGAGTGGCATTTTGACACCGGAGTAGTCGGTGCCTCCCTTCAACAGCCAAGCGAGAGCCTTCGCACAAGCGCCTCGGCGCAACGCAATACACGCACTTTACACTCATTCACGCGCGTACACACACTACATAAGCCTAAACATGACTCCACCCTGCCCAGGTAAAGAACAAAAAAAGTCGTGGCATACGTGATTGACCTGCTAGGCCGACTGCATTTGCGCTGTACGCTCACGTGCTCTTTGCCGCGAGCTTCCGCAAGAACAACACGAGACCCACCACGGTTTGCTAACTTCATGCGGTAATCTATTTCTTCGCCTTGTGTACGGTTTCGATGATCGTGCTCACGACACTAGGATCGGAGAGCTGCAAAGAGGACGATGCGTTAGTCACATCCTTCGTGCTCCTGCATCGATTTGGCCCCGCACTTCCTTTCTCGACTGACCCAACGTCGGGGCCGCGACGAATACACCAAGCATAGCCACCCGGAGATAAGCCATGCCTGTTGACTTGGTCGTGTCAAGGTGGGAAAGGCAGGGTCGATCGGAGAGCTGAGAGAAATCTGTACTCACAGTCGAAATGTCGCCAAGCTGATCTTCTTCACCTGCCAGAATCTTACGCAGGATACGTCGCATAATCTTGCCTGAGCGCGTCTTGGGTAGATCATCCACAGTGTAAACAGCCTTGGGCGCTGCAAATGGGCCAATCGACTTCCGCACTTGTAATATCAGATCCTTTTTGATCTGATCGGTGTGGTCGAAACCGTCCTTGAGCGCCACGAAGGCGTTGACGGCCTGGCCGGTTAGCTCGTCGTGTACGCCTACAACGGCGGCCTCCGCAACAGAGTCTGTTGTGCCACGCTGTCAGTGTCTGCATGTGCTTCATATGCGGTGTCACCACTCACGATGCTCGAGAAGGGCGGCTTCGATCTCGGCCGTTGAGAGTCTGTGGCCCGAAACGTTTACCACATCATCGACACGGCCACGGATCCAGTAATAGCCCTCGTGGTCACGTCCGGCACCATCACCCGTGAACTGGACCATGCGTCAGCACATGCTAGCAAACACTGCCATTGCCAAGCTGGACAGTAGCTTACGTAGTATCCCTTGTAGACGTTCAAGTACGTGTCCATGTATCTTCTGTGTGCGCCCCACACAGTTCTGGCCATGCTTGGCCACGGCTTCCTGAAAGCAAGCACACCTTCCACATCGTTGCCTTCAATCTCCACACCGGAAACTGGGTCGATGATGACGGGGTCAATGCCGAAGAAGGGAAGAGAGGCGCTGCCGGGTTTTGTTGGCGTGATACCTCCGAGAGGTGTGATGACGTGTGAACCAGTCTCCGTTTGCCAGTACGTCTGAAGTCAAGTTAGCTTGCACTCTCGCGAGAGAGAGAGAGAGAGAGAGAGAGAGAGAGAGAGAGAGAGAATAAAATTGAGGATTCTGGATGTATGATAATTGTACTCACATCGACAATGTGTGCCTCTTCCTTGCCAACAACTTCGAAATACCACTTCCATACCTCCGCCGCGATAGGCTCGCCGACGGAACCTAGAACCCTCAGGTTCTTCATCTGGTGCTTGACGTGCTCATCGCCCGCGCGTTTCAGGAGGCGCAGCGCCGTCGGCGCAACATAGAACTGGCTGACGTTGTTTCTCTCGATGATATCCCAGTATCTCGAGAAGTTCGGGTAAGCAGGCGTGCCCTCAAAAACTACAGTCGCGACACCAAGCAAAAGAGGCGCGTATACGACATACGTGTGGCCAGTGATCCAGCCAACATCACCACCGCAGAAGAAGATATCTTCGTCATGTATGTCGAAGACATACTTGCCCGTGGCCGCTGCTCCGACGAGATAACCACCAGTGGTGTGCATTACACCCTTTGGTTTTCCCGTCGAACCGGATGTGTAGAGCAGGAAAAGCGGATCCTCTGAGTTCATTGACTCCGGCGGGTAGTAGTTGGGGAACTTGTCGACCTCTTCGTGCCACCACAGGTCGCGGCCCTTCGTCCACGGCACCTCTGTGCCGGTGCGCTTGAAGACGAGCACGTTCTTGACCTCCGGGCACTGCTTCAGGGCCTCGTCCACAATCTTCTTGGTACCAATGACCTTGCCGCCGCGCTTGCCCTCGTCCGAGGTGATGACGACTTTTGAGCGGGCATCAATTATGCGGTCCCTCAGCGAGTCTGAGGAGAAACCGGCAAAGACGACTGAGTGCACGGCGCCAATGCGGACACATGCTAAGAAGGCGACAATGGCCTCTGGGATCATGGGCAGATATATAGCGACGGTATCACCCTTCTTGACTCCAATTTCCTTCAGAGTCCAGGCGAGTTTGGAAACCTCTCGTAGCAACTCACCGTAGCTAATTTTCCGGCCCTCACCCGGCTCGTCAGCCTCGTAGATGATGGCGGTCTTGTTCGGGTTTTTGAACGCGTGCCTGTCCACGCAGTTGTACGAGGCATTCAACTTGCCCTCAATGAACCAGGCATTGTCGCCGTTTTCAAAGCTGCCGTTGTGCACGGTCTGGAAGTCACGCTCCCACGTGAGCAGCTCTCTCGCTAACCTTCCCCAGAACTGGTCAGGTTTCTCGATCGACTCTTTGTACAACTCCTTGTAGTGGTCCAGGTCTCGAAGATGTGGCCGCGTAGGGTGCTTCCTAGTGGTTTTGTCGCGTTAGCTGCTTATACGGACGGTCGTGTCATGTGAATTTACAGCCTAAGCAGGGCCTTTGGCAAAGCGGCCCTGCAAGCTGCCCCATGAAGAGGTCACTGGATTTTGCGTGGCCCAACATACTTGAAAAAGGCCTCTGGGACTGCAGGTACGGTTTAGCAAGTGCTGCAGCACGCCCGTGACGGGGAATCGGGAGCATACCATGGAAAGTGTCGACTTCGTGAGCTTCCGCCACGACGGGGGAAGCCTTGGGCGGCTGTACGTCACCCTCTGACATGTTCACAGAAGGATCCGGGCTCTGCTCTTGTGCGATGCGATCGGGGAATCTCAAGGCTTTTCAGCCGGCCGCTGGAGAGAAGACAACGGGAAGGCCGAGTGGGTGCGAGAGTGCGAGAGAGAGTGCGAGAGCGCGTGGTCTGCAGAAGGTACACAAAGAAAAAAGCTGCACGCGAGGATGCGTGGCGGGGTGAGGGGAGCTATTCTAAAGCAATGACGGCAGGCTGCGCAAACACCTTTGGAATGCCGGATGTGTGGGCCGCGTTATATGAAAGTGGTCGTCGGCCGAAGGGAAATCTTTCTCCTTGTGCGTGCCTGCAATAACCGCGACGCTTGGGGCCTCCAGTCGAGGGATCCGGCGAAGCGAACTCTTGTACACGAGCGCTGCGACATTCCTGACGACCTTCTGGCTCCCATTTGTATTCCGCCGCTGCCAGCTCGCCGTCCCCCCAGGTTCGGCCTTCGCTTCCCCGCATCCTGCTCAGCGTCATGTCAAATCAGAGTTGTGCCTTTGGCCACTCACACGTCTGGCACAGGCTGCAGCCGGGCCTCTGTTTGCCCACCCTGGGATCCGTGATGACATGGCTGTCGTTTGAGCAGAGCGACGGTCCCGCCTGCGCCTGACCTGCCCAATCTTGCACCATTTTTTTTCCACTCGGGAGGATCTTTGCTACAACGGGCGGCTCACCACCGTCGGTGCGCGCGGTGGCGTTCTCCGACCCCGCAAACGAACAGCGTGATCTCGTCTGGGGTGGGCAGCATCCTCCCCCTTCGCCAGCTGTGATTACGCGCTGCTACGCCTGTCGCCCGAACGCGATGGTGCTCGTCTCTGGGCTCGGGCGTGTGCTGCGCAGGTTTGCGAAGACGGTGATTTCTCTTTTAGCCTTAGCACAACCTTGTCCTGCCAGATCCAGGCACGCCGCCTTGAGCTCGCCTTCAGTTCCTGCACGAAGCCGTGAGGCTTAACCGCGCCCGCCCTAATGCAATTCCGACTCTCGGTTCAGCGGGATCTCCGGCGGCCTGGACACAGGGCCAAGCCGAGGCTGCTAAGACTGCATGTCCGTTGTTCTGGAATCGCGCAGAGCGTGCAGCTCAGCGGCATGCGGGAGCGATGATGGGCATCTCCGGCCGTTCTCCTTGAAGCCGTCGCCTCGTGAAGTGTACCGCGCCGTCTAGCCAGCGGAAGGTTGCGAGCCGTGCGCGTCCTGGAGAGAGCATTTTGAGTCCTGAGTCAGGCACGTCATTCTGGGGCGGAGGCCCGTAGTCATGTTACAGAGCGCGTGTGAACCCTCACACATTGATTTTCAACTCTACCGACCCGTTCCGACATTATCAGATTGCCATTTCCAACCAAGGTGACCCTGATCCGAAATGCCCTCCATACCCGTCCATTCGCCCAGCAGCACGCAGCAGTCTGCATGCCCAAACCCCTTGCCGCAGCTTTTGCAAACGCCCTCGGGGCTCGCGCTCCTCGAGCTTCAAGGCACGTTCCATGTGCCAGCCTCATCCAGCCAGGCTGACGATGTCGACCCAAGCGGAGACGCGAACTTTGATCAAGGAATCGCCACTTCTGTGGGTAGGCTGCTGTTTCCAGCGTACTCCTCGTCAGCTCCAAAGGAGGACACGGCTTGGATGAAGCGCGTTTATCTGTACGTCGGCAAACATCAACGTCTTACCGGTGAAGTCAAGAAACTTCCGAAGCCCATGGGTATTTTGCGCAGACGGCCAAAGGCTAGCACCGAGGATGCGGACGAGCTCGAGATCGTGGAAGTGGTTAGGCACAAGATAGTCTTTTCAACGCGACCAGAACCGGTCAGCGAGGATTAAACAAATGCTACTAAATACACAAGAGCACGGCTCAACCGCCGTTGATCTCCACGAGAACCTTGACTTGGTTCGCCTTATCGTGGATCAGTGAGTAGAATCCCTCCGACTCGACCTCATTCAGCTTGATCCGCTTGGTGATCAAAGACTCCGGCTTCAAGCTTCCATTCGACAACGCTTCCATGACTTCCTGGAAGTCGCCTGCAACGTACGTCGCAATGCCTAGGTACTTGCGCTCCTTAAACACCATCTTATTCACATCGATGGAGCAGGGCTTCTCCCACACTGCAATGTTGATGATGGTACCCCGTGCTCGAACAGCATCTATAGCAGCGTCCAGCCCAGCCTGTACACCGGCAGCGTCGAAAACCTTGTGCACTCCCTGGTCTTCGCACAGTTCTCTGCACCGTGCCGCCACGTCGTCCTTGGTCGGGTCCAGGACGTAGTGCGCGCCAAGTTCCAGTGCAAACTGCTTCCGTCTCTCCGCGACCTCGGACACGATTATTTTCTTGACGCCGCGCGCCTTGAGGCAAAGAATCACCGCGAGTCCGATCGGCCCGCCGCCTAACACAAGCACGGATTCATCCGATGTGACTTCGCCCATCTTGACGGCGTGCCATGCCACGGCAAGCGGCTCAACCATGGCTCCAACCTCGAGAGACACGTTGTCCGGCAAATGGAACACAAAGGACTCGTCCAAAACGACGTACTCTGCAAGGCCGCCGCCGTAGCCACTGAGACCAACAAATCCGTTGCTATAACAACAATTGATCTGACCAGATGTACATGCGCCGCAGGTCCCGTCGTATATGATTGGCTGTACCACGACGCGATCACCCTTCTTAAACTTGGTCACTCCTTCGCCTACGTCGTCCACGACGCCGCTGAACTCGTGTCCGAATGTCAAAGGGACGGTCTCTTTGGTGAGGGGATGCGGTGTTGTTGGGCAAAGATTCGGGCCTCCAAGATATTCATGGAGATCTGGTAGTACATGTTAGGGTTATTTCGTAAGATTTCGCAAGCTGGGGCCATGGCAGACCTGTCCCACATATGCCGCACCATGATGGCCGAATCTTCAGTGATACATCTTTAAGTCAGCCATGGGCTCAACAACATCCTACTTTTCCCACCCTCTTGCCCACTCACTTTGACTTGCCCCTTTTTCACGGGCGGCACGGCGACGTCCTCAAACCTCAAGTCGTTCTTCCCGTGGAACACGACGGCCTTCATGGTTTGCTGCGCCATGCCAGGCTGGAAATGCTGTGAGATTGACTGAACACGTTCGACAATCATGGCTTCTGGCTTACTCTGTTTCAAAAACTTTGGAAGGTTCGTCGCAGTGCTATTTAAATTCAACTCCAGAGATGTATTGGGAGCATCCGTCCGCCATAGCTAACCCTCACGTGGGGATGCCGATCCGGAATGCCACTTTGGGCTCTTGGGTATGCCCCTCATTGTGGGGTTACAGTTGCCAAGTCCGAACCGCAAAGGCGCTGTGTGCTGCTGTGGACAAGCGCGCTGTACATTTTTCCTGCCTGCGCCACCTCGTCTCGCGTGTTCCAGGAGAAGAGAGCGACAATGCCGCCAGGCAGGTGGCCGTACACGGCGGGTGATGACCAGCATCGGGCCCAACGGGCGCCCTGTGGCCAAGAGCTCCCGAGTTTTTCCCAACAGGGCTCAGATATCGCGCCTGATCCTCATCCACACTTGTCGAGCGACGAGAGCGACCTCCCACGCGCAGGGGACCGCTTTGTGGACCCCGTTGTTTCCGGCCGCTGCCATTGGTGGATAAACATCCTTACGTCACGAGTTCCACGCCGTCCTCAAGAATTTCTATCCTGGCGCAGGTGCGACCGAATTTTGTTCACATTTGCGACATCAAAAGCTGTGTGCTGGTGGGGGTCATCGAGGCTCGATGAAGACTTTTTAACACCGTCTTGGAATAGCCGCTCGGTCTTCAAGCGTGAGAGGGAAATGGACCGCTTCGCAGCTTCACAATTGGCGGTCGTGATGGATATCCACAGCTCCGCTGCAAGCTACCTTGCAGTGACACTGCATGACCTCATGGAGAGTTTTCGCGCGAATGCGGAGGCAAGCCTGATATATATAACACGACCGCTTCAAATTTCCGTCGCGTCTTGAGCATTCTCTTATCTCTTCCTGTGATACAGCCTCCCAAGCCTCACAAACCGAATTAGCACGCTTTTGAACATGCCTTACCCAGAAACCGCCGTGGGCTTCCAGGCTCAAAGCTTTGAAAACTGGTCGACATTTAAGAAGACGGAGTTCGAGCTCAAGCCGTTCGAAGACGACGATGTGGATATTGCTGTCGACGCCTGTGGTGTCTGCGGCTCGGATGTTCACACTATAACCGGCGGTTGGGGCGAGGTGCCTATGCCGCTGTGTGTAGGTACGGCATCCATCACTTTACGGCAGACGAGAAAGAGACTGAGAAGCCGCAGGTCACGAGATCATTGGACACGCCGTCAAAGTTGGTAAGAACGTCAAGAACATCAAGGTCGGCGACCGAGTGGGCGTTGGCGCTCAGATTTCGGCCGACATGACGTGCGTGAACTGCGTGAATCACCAAGAAAATTACTGTCCCGTATGTTGGCCATCGACAACCTCAGAGATGGAAATCATCTAGTTGACGCATTTTGCAGAATAGCGTGGACACGTACGGTGCACCGTACGGACCTAAGGGAACCATCAGCCAGGGTGGCTATTCTTCGCACGTCCGCGCTCACCAGTATTTCACATTTCCCATCCCCGAAAATATCCCGTCCGAGATTGCTGCACCGATGATGTGTGCCGGTATCACCGTGTATTCACCCCTCAAACGACTTGGCTGCGGGCCAGGCAAAAAGGTAGCCATTATTGGAGTGTAAGTGCCTAAGCGCCTAGCTGAAACGCAACCAGCTCGGAATATTAACTGATATTTTGCATATAGAGGTGGTCTAGGCCACTTTGCTATCCTATTCGCGGCGGCACTTGGTGCTGAGGTTTACGTGATCTCGCATTCGCCCAGGAAGAAGGAGGATGCGCTGAAGATGGGCGCGAAGCACTTCATCACCAACGACACAGAGGATTGGGCCAAACCATACGCGTTCACATTTGACTTCATCCTCAATACAGCCGATATGGTTCACCAGTTTGACCTCAAGACGTATTTTAGCACTCTAAAGGTTATGGGCAAGTTCCACAACGTCGGTATGCCCGATGAACCGATCTCGGTGATGCTACAGGCCTTTGCTGGCACGGGCTGCTACTTGGGAACTAGCCACATTGGCAACAGAGAAGAGATGCTTGAGATGCTGGAGCTTGCTAGCAAACAGAACATCAAAAGCTGGGTCGAAACTATTCCCATCAGTGAAGCGGGCTGCAAGCAGGCTGTTGAAAACGTGAAGAATAACAAGGCACGGTACAGATATACGCTGGTAGGTTACGATGAAGCTTTCGGCAAACGATACTAGACGAAGGGGGAAGGAGGTTTAGGGCTTGCACCACGTGTATATTTCTCGCATGAAAAGTTCTATAATACAAGACAAAGAGAACCGTCGCCAAATTCGACCGTGACTCAGCCTGTGCGTCGAGACATACATTTTGTTCGATCTACGCAATAACAATTTTGAGCCATAAAAAGTTCGGATTCCCGGGTATCCAAAAACAAACGTTCATCTTGTTAACCATCTGTGCGCCTTCCCGACACACCGTCTTAGCCATCGCATCCTTTCTTCACTTTAAACGGTCCGATCGGTTTACTTCTTTCCTCCCCAAAGGCCCTTCACGTAGCCACCGGCGCTCTTGCCGCTCTCCATGACGGTGCTACCGGCTCCCTTGACGCCGTCGGCGACAGGATTGGCCACGTCGCCCAAGGCACCAGGCGCATAAGAGCCGGAAGAGTCTTTGCCGCCGCGCTCAGCCCGGTTGATGCCCTCTTTGCTGGCCATGTCGCCGACGGGCTGGAGCAGACCTCCCTTGCCGACCTGGCCGGCGGCGAGGTTGTTCACGTCGTCTTGTAGTTTGTCGACCTGCTTGACGCCGGTGACCTTGGACTTGTCCAGCTGATCTGCCGCCCAAAACATTAGCGAACGCGTCCGTGGGCATCTCCTCACGGGGGCTCACCTTTGGCGACGTAGGACGCCTTGTTGTCCTTGCCGAACCACTGCAGATATTTGTCCTCCATCCACGGCACCCATGCCTCGTACTGCTCGTTGTAGTTCCGCCTGCCCCAGTCCCCCCAGCTCTCTTGCTTCTTCTCCTGCTGAGGGACGACTTCGCTGATCGGGTTCTTGTCAGCCATGGCGGAGGAACCGGACACGTGCAACGCGGGCTAGGTATGGACCCAAGGCACGAAACAGTGCCAACGCAAAGGAAGACGAAGACAAAGGGAGTATGGAGTGATTAGAATTGTTAGATTTATCGAAGAACGTGGGCTGAGTCAAGTAAGGGCGTGATCTGCCTTTGCCGTGTTCTCGCAACCTGAGTCTCGCGGCGGTTCACAATACAGCAATCTCCTCTATTTAAGCTCGACAGTTCCTCTCTTTACAGCCTGATGGTGGACGCCAGGATAATAGTTGGCAAGGGGGTGGGGGAGCGCCGTATATGATATCATCCTGCGGGGATCAAGGCGGCACGCAAGACATGAATGCCAACGCTTCCCTTGCTCGTGCTTCCCACGCGGCGGCAGGTATTGGACGATCTTTGAAAGACCGATCTTCACCATGAGCCACAAAACACATGGGTGGTCGATGGCTTTGCGTGGTCGTCGAAATCTTGGATCTTGGGACGGGTGAAGTGTGGCGTCATTCTGCGGAGCACTCTTGCCGCAACGCGAATGGGGATCGGTTGGGCTGATGACGACGGCCTTTTGAATCAACGATTTAGCGAACACCCACCCAGCGTGGATGAACTGTGTAGCATATCCCGTCAGACTATCGCAAATCGAAGACGACAGTGTGCGCGAAATTTCACCGCGGTCCAATAGGCCAGACCGAACGCAACGCAACAGTATGAAAATGTCATTTCGTATCTTACCGAGCCCTAGTCCACATGCTGAACATTTTCTTGGGAAAGGGAAAATATTTCAAAAAAAAAAAAGGTTATCGCATTGTTTTCAACCAAGAGTTGACCTGTCTCGCAGTACAGCAAACATCTATATGATAGTGATGCTCTGCGTCTCGCAAGGGATTGGTTCCCTGTCCAGACGCTGTAGCCAGGACTTATCCGTAACATCGTACTTCGGCTCAACAGCCTGCCATAACTCAACAAGTCCTTCGCCGTCCGTGAAGACATGTACATAACACTCGCAGACAAACGAGTACTTCTCTTCCCCGCTTGCCCGAAGCTCAGAGAGCCACGAGTGAAACTTTTCAGAGTTCGTCCCGACTCTCGCCCCGTCGTCGGAGGCGCAGGGCTCAGCTCAGGATTCAGGAGTCCATCTCACTCGTTTCTCCTGTTCCCGTATCACTAGGTCGGCACAGCTAAGGTTGGCTATCACAATGGCGAAGCTCTCCCATGTTGACGCGTAGCACGAATCTGAGGCTTCCAGCTGTTTCCTCAACCACGATTGAAGCTCTGGAGCTCTGGGGTCTATCACGACCGAGATGGTATCAGCGAGAAAATCTTGGAGCTGTAACTCTTTTCCATCTGAAGAGAGCTGCACGACAGGCCTCGAGGATCCATTGGAGGCATATAGTGGACCGGAGAAATTCGGCAGGTGACTGAACGTTGCACCGTACTGAGAGCGACCTCACCAGTCAGGTATCCAGGTGGGAAGGTCGTTGGCCTTTTTAGAGCAAAGCACGCTTACTTGACCAAAGAACGACAAATTCCCGGAATTTCTGATGAGTTCGAGAGTCTTGTGAGCAAAGACAAGCTCAAAAGGCATTAAGTAGTCGGGCACAATTTGGGATTAATCGGACACTGAACCCAGGACCTAGTAAACGAGGTCGCTAGGGTACTTGCTGCCCAAACCACGACGCAAAGCCAGAAAGGACACAAGGGTGCTGAAGAAAACCCTCATTTGCGTCCAGAACTGTTGTCCCTTGATCGTCGACGGGGCTACCGTCATCATGTGGGCATCTTCGTACCAATCGTCGGCGGTGCAGGAGAACAGCGCTTGGAGACAAGCCCAGGAAGACATCATGTCGTTGCCACTTATCTCCCCATCGCCGCTCACGAACCACATGCTGTGAGCCAGATACAAATTCCCGGAATGTCAACGCCCTGGAAAACCATGGTCTCCGAAACAGTTTGACCAACTCCGAGAACTCTCTTGAGTTCGGGCCAGGAATGTCAAAATGCTTGCGGATCTCATCCGCGTTCCTCGTGTCATTGGCAGAGGGAGTGGGAGTTTTGACCTTGCCCATTAGTTGCCTAAGATAGGATAGCTTTGGAGAAACTTTCTCAAGAAGCAAACTCAGGGATTGGAAAGCCATATATGTGTCCTCTAACTCGTCTGCGTCGCCCAGCCGGATCAGGACGCTTTGCGCTTGCCGACGGACGTCAGCCATGCGACGAACTTGCTGGTTTCTCCCGGATATATCATGCTGGTTGATGCACACCGCATCTGCCCAGAGCATTCGGGCCTTGTCTGGCGTCCGGAACCGCTTCAATACCTGGACCAGGCTCGACGTGATGTTCAGCCCTCCACCGTTGCTCACAATGGATGACTGTTTCGTTTCGCCTTCCCACACGTAAGATATCGCCTCGTACGAGACGCTGCTATCTATCGTAGATTCAATGAGTCAACACTTAAGGAGCTCATCGCGTTTTCCGGATACAGCTGAATGAGGCGAATAGAAATGTCACTGCGGAGGCGCTCATACTTGAAAGTCCGTGCCGAGGCCATGGTCAGCCTGGACCAGGTACGATTGCCTCCCCAAGGTGCGGGAGGGACGCAACGGTTCTAAGTCGCCTAGAAGATTGATTTGCATGCCGAAGAAAAAAAAATTTCACCCCGCTGAGCAGAAAAGGACGAGAAGACTGTGTGGCCGTGCAGTACGGCGAGGGCAGCTCATGGTGGCCATGAACTGGCTTAGGCAAGATCCAGCAATCCGATCTGCGAACGCAGAGTCATGGGCGAAACATCCATAAAAAGCTTCGCTAAAGCCCTCCTTTCAACGACGATCGTTGGGGTTCTGACGAACCCGCAGATCGCATCTCTCACGCTCAAAAATCACCGTCTCAAAAATGCCGGACGCGAGAAGAGTTCGGGAGTGCGCTTCGATGTGGGGAGGCTGTGGTGGGGGGATCTGAAGGACAGCACAGATCTTGACTCCGCAATTCAGATCCAAGAATTTCTATCCTGTCCGGTTCGCGAAACATCCTAGCCGAAGTTGCTAAGCTTCTCAGATTTTTTTTTTTCTTTCTCTTCCTGTCCGCCGCGACTGCTGCGCAACCGCCCAGACTGTCTCTTTTATTTCGTGCGCAGCTGCTTGATCCAGCGAGAATGCTGAGCTCGCTGCTGCGCACGATCCCGAAGCGGACGTCGTTCGAGCCTGAGCCGGAGGACTACTTCCAGGCGTCTCTGGGCCTGATCTTCACGGACGATCTGCAGAACACGCACGGCGACGCCGACACTTTTGTGCGGTACCGGAGCAACGGGTACGGCGACTTGGACATTTCCGTCGCTGACCCGCAGGCCGCGTCGGAGAGATCCAAGTTCGCTCATCACCTGTGGAACGCAGGTGTGCTGATGGGAGAGCTCGTAGGTGGTAGGCGCAAGCAAGGTCAAAACCCACCGGCAGACGACGATGACGATTGGGGTCGGCGGAAGTTCTTGGACGGGGCCCTCTGGTGGCTCAGCGAGGAGGAGGAAAAGATGTGGAATGTGCAGGGCGAGACGGTCATCGAGCTGGGTGCAGGTGTGTAGAACGTAAATGGACGGCAAAGATAACAGGTTAAAGAGCTTGGCTGATAGGTCACGATACAGGCGCCGGCCTTGGAGGCATCATGAGTGCTTTGGCGGGCGCGAAAGAGGTGCGTTCTTTTTCTTTGTGTGTCCACGCGTGTTTTTTCTCTGACACGCAAAAAGCTCTCTGGGTCGTTTGTGAGGCGTTTCCTGACTCCAGAGCGCAACAGGTCGCCATCACGGACTACCCGGCCGAAAGCATTCTGAACACGCTACGGACCAACGTCTCGAAGGCGGTCCCAGAGAATGTAAGGGGAGCGGTCGTCGTCGCGGGCCACAAGTGGGGCGACGTCGCCTCTCCCTTTGCGGCTTCTCACCGCGGCCGGTTCACGCATGTGCTCGCCGCCGACACGCTTTGGCTCGCATCCGAGCACGACGCCCTCGTATGCTCGATGCTGCACTTTCTTGCGCCGCACCCAGCGGCCCGGATCCACGTCATCGCCGGTTTCCACACAGGCCGCGCGAAGCTGGCCGCCTTCTTCGAAGATGCAGTTCCTAACGCGGGCCTCGAGATCGAGCGTATCTTCGAGATGGATGCGGATGGCAGGCGACGCCCATGGCAGCCTGGCGCGCCGGACGAGCCTGTCGGTGAGAGAAAGAAATGGCTCGTCGTGGCCAGCCTCCGGCGAGGACCAGCAATGAATGGGAATGAGCGGTGAATAGAAGAAAAAACCGAGCCGGAGGGTTTGCCGCCGTTGTGTCTAGCCCAAGTGCCGGACCGTTTCTCCGTGCTATCCTACTTTGCGACCTGTATGTCAAATGGATCCCAGAATCGTCTTGCGAGCACAGCCTCTTCGCAAACGGTGCAGAAAATGGCGACTACTCTGCTCTTTTTGTTTGTTTTCTGTGATCCATCCAGTTGTGAGTACGGGCGCGAACCCGCTACCGTGGGCACGGGAAGATCGTCAAGCACAGGCAGTACCGGAAACGTGGGTGCGTCAAGCTTCTCCGCATCCGCAAAGAATTGTGGGAGTTTAGCAGATGCTGGGCATTTACTCCACGAACGCGGCTTCAGCGACATGCCCACTTTGCTGTCTCGAATGGTTTGATATCCCATGGTATACCAGACTTGCGCGGCAAGAATTCAAACGTGCCATAGCTGCGAAGGAAATAGATCGTATTTTCACATGGGAGACAGCAGTGCAAATCTTAGAATTTATTTCTCCTTCTTTGTTGTTGGAGAGGGAGTCATGCCTTGATCATCGTACTTGTAAGAGCTTCGACGTTCTGCGAAAAATCGTGGATGAACAGGGTGAAACTAGAAAGTACAAGCTAAAGATAAGTATGATTCTTGTTTTCTTTTATGATATTGCTATCATATTCATTCTACGACCGTCATTTTGCACCACCTGAAATCTGCGCTCGTTTATTTGTCTCTCCGTTGCAATCTCGTCGTACCCACTGAACTCTAAGAAGAAAATGAGAGAAAGATCCCATCCTATAGAATTATAATATCATTGCTGCCCGTTCCCTTCCCTTTCTTCTGATATAAAAGCATTTCTCACGAGCACCAATCGTCATAAAAGTTGCCCTCGTCATCCTTCGCAGGATGATATGGGATTCGCAAGGCCGTTGCGACATTGAAACTCCAAGCCGAAGCTGGTAAGAAAAAAGCGCAAGAGAATTCCCCTCGTTCAAACCCGTGACTCCGCGCCAAAGAAAAACAAAAGACTAACCGCTCATTATGAAGAGAATGAAAATGACAAGTAGTGGGTATGAACCATTTCAGAAATAAAAAAAAGGTTCACCGCAAGGAACGTGGAATCACCTCTTATGTTTCTGCCGGCTATCCTTTCCTTTTTTTTTTTTTTTTTGCAGTGTTTGTTCTCGCTGGAAAATGAAGAGGAACCTTGAGCATCGAATCTACAGGCTAACTGCGTAACTCTGGAGTTTGTTGTGAACCGCGACAATCTCGTACTGGCCTCAAGCCCATTGCTGCACCAGGTCAACATATCGATGGGCTTCTTGACGACATGGAGACAGGAGAAGGAGGCAGTTTCAGCGTCTCTGGTGGCGGTTTATAGTAGCACGTGAACATGGGCTCATTGTCTTGCTTGGGTGACGATGCCGGCGGCGTCAGTGACCTCAGCTTTGTGGCGAGCAGGTCGGACCCGCCGGTGAGGCTGTTCGAAAGCTCGAGCTGTGCCTGGATCTTGGCGATGAGTGCCTGCTCCCTGAGAAGCTCGAAGTGTTCGACCTGGGTGAAAGTCTCGCGCTCCTCTTCATCCAGCATCTTCTCGTCGGTGCGGCGATGTTTAGCGAAGCGCAACGGTGTCTGAACTGGCTTGACCTTGCGCACGAAGTTGAAGCGGCGGCTGTTATAACGGTCAGAGCGGGCGCTGTAAAAGTCTTTAGACATCTCGTGCAGCTCCATGGCGCGAGCTGCGGCCAAAGTAGCCGGGGTGATATCGATCCGTGTCTTCCAGATGCCTTTGCTTGGTTTTCCGGACTTGACGACCACTGCGACGTGCGATTTGATACGCTTCTCCAGGGCGCTTCCGGAACCGGGTAGGACGTGGTCCACAAGGCCGATCGCACGAGCATCAAAGGGGCTGATTGGGACCATGGCCTCGAGCAGATCCTTCGCCTTTGACGCACCGCAGCGACCTGGATAAGAAATTGAGTGGTACTCGGATCCGAAGAGCCCGATGGCACGATACGCCGGGTTGATAACCACCTCTGCACCACACAGGACAACATCGCATGCGGCAGCAAGGGCGACTCCACCTGCTGCAGCGTTGCCGCGGATACCAGCGATAGTCAGGATCTTCCGAGAGGGGAACTCATGCAGGATATAGTGAACGACGTCATCGATGCGGTTGATGTTGAGCCACGACTCTTCAGCTGAAGACTTGGCAGCTTCAATGACGTTAAGATGGATGCCGTTGCTGAAATACGACCCGCCCATGAGCACCACGGCGCGGATAGGGTCGGACGGTGTCGAGACAGAGAGGATGTAATCCATAGCCTCGATAAGCTGCGAGCATTGACGCGTAGACATGGCGCCGTTGTAGAAGTCGAAGTAGAGGTACGCGGATCGTCCAGCCTCGCCGTAGCTCTGAAAGTCGACCCAGACCTCCTGAAATGTCGAATGCGGACTGATGGTCCAGTCAATTGGCAGGTCCCATTGTAATCTGTGTATCTGAGCCGCATCCACGACGCCTGCATCCAACAGACCAGTCACTGCAGGCACCTTCGGTGGCAGTGGATTTCCGCTGCCGCGCTTGGCAAGGCGGCGAACGTGTGTGATCCAAACGCCCCTTCCGTCGCAGGTCTGAATGCAGACGGCTTCGTTACGGATGGCGACAATGGTGCCAGGAAGTGCACCTGGGATCGCACCAGGATTCGGGCCACCGACGTTGTCTTCGACCTGTCCACCGTAAACATAGAGGTTGGGACCAAAGATGTTCGTCTGGGCGCCTGGCTGCGAGTCTGAGCAGCGGATGCGACGTGATATCTGCTGGGCGGTATGGCGCCTGACGTCAAACGCGCGCTCGATGGGCTTGAGTATGGAACCGCGGTCATGCGTGTTACCACCTTTGAAGGGCAATCTCGTCGAGCACGACAGACTGGCGTACTCGGGCTCGGCCTTGAGGTGTGGATGGTATCGGGTAAGGAAGGCGGATGTCGGCGAACATATGCTCGCTGCGCTTGCAGCTTTATCTATGCGCTCAATCGAAGCAATGGCGGCCTTGATAGCGGCGCGGGTGACGGGTCCACGGTACAGCTCCGATTTTGTCAATCCAGGCTGGTCAATGTCGATGGGGAACTGCTCAAAGGCCCAGATGGGGCCAGCGTCGAACTGCTCGATGGCCTGAAGGCAAGTGACTCCCCAATGCGAACGTCCAGGCCCGCATTCGACGTCCAAGGCCTGTAATGCACGGTCACGCTCAGGTATGGAGCCATCGTCGCCCATAAGCACCCAATCGAGGGCGCTGGCACCCGCATCACCAGGAGGGCCGGGATGGATTATGAGAGTGAGGTAGTTGTTGTACACAGCTGCAGGGACCTTGATAGTGAGGAAGGGGCACAGAATGATATCTGGTTTAGCCAGCTCTGCGGCAGAGATCATGACATCATCATTGATCGCATACTCAATGGTAATATCATGGGATGGTGCTAGAGCAAGGTAGAGGCGCTGCGAGAGCGAGTTGTGCGCCGTACAGAGGAAAAGGATCTTCATGGCTGACGAAGGTTGGTCGCGTCGCTCTGCAAGTGGTGTGAGAGAAGTCGCAGCACAGTTTATAAACGCTATATAGAGTAGAGAAGAGGCGTGCGCAAGTATACTTGGCTACGCAGAGAGAGAGAGCGGGCTTCCCGCTGGTATATATCACGAACAGTGCATGAAGGAATGATGGAGGGAAGAGAGGAAACAAAGTGAGGTTTGAGGCATGAAAGCAGTTCAATAGAAGGGGGAGCAGGAAGTAGAGAAGGGTAGTCGTGTTTGACTTTGCCTAGGGAAAGACAAAGTAAGGGCGACGACGCAAACGTACCTTTTTTTAACAAGCGGGCAGCATCAATAGCGCGCCAATGTTGATGGGCTCTCAGGGTCCTGTCAACGCCGGAATGATAGGTCGAATCCTGGTTGGTCGGGCTGAGGTCTTTGAAATTGGAGTCAATAGACCCAATCTGCTCTTACGAGACGTTTTTTATCTTGTCCTTTGTTTTTTTCTCTTTTTTTTCTTTTCTTTTCTTTCTTTTTCGGTAGGCGTGCGGAGCAAGGTGTGCAATATGGAGTTTTATTTTGCTCGAGGGGGGATGAAGGAAGGAAAGGAAGAAGGAAGACAAGGAAGAGGGAGAAAGAAGAAAAAAGGACGGGGGACGGTGAAGTTGATGGTGACGATCAAAGTGGAAGGAGCAAAGTGAAAGGAAGCAGTGAGTGAATAGTGAAATCGGGTAGGCAAGGGCGAGAGAGGGCGAGAGGGTTGAACACGGAAGGCGCGACGGGTGACAGCCAGCCAGCCAGCCAGACGTGAAGCTAACTTTCTGGGCTGAAGAAGGGGAGGGGGAGGTGGAGAGGCAATGTGGTGGATTTGGACGGGATGGAGAGGGAGGAGGAGGCGGAGAGGAGAAGGAGGAGGACTGGTTGGTGTAGTTTACTGCAGCACTGTCGTAGCCGCTGTAGTCGTTGCCGTCGTGGATTAGGAACGACTGGTGTAGAGGTTGGCCAGTATTGACGCCGTCCGTAGAAACTGGGGAAGCAAGACGAACGAAAGGCGATCGAGATATATGGTGATTTCCCGCCGTGTTCGAGCGACGGTCGTGTTCGACGATCGACGTCGCTAGCTTGGTGCTTGACTAGGCGTAGGATATAGAAGACGCACACGCTTCCCAATCACTGTCACGAACAAGACACCAAGATCGGAGGACGTACGGGGCGGATACGTCTCGTATGCGTTGGTGTTGCATGTCCTGCTCGCCTGTCTGGCGCACTGCCGACGTGCAGCTCACACACATCCACACGCTACGACCAGCAGGTGCGGCAGAGTGTTGTCGTCGTCGCCGTTCGCCAGCGTCTACAGACACGACTGCTATCTTGTTGTCCCCCATCGCTCGCCCACCTCCCGTCCCGAGGCGGGCCAGGACTTCCCAGGACGGCGGGAAAGAAGGGGCGGCTGGCGTCAATAGCGCGGGCGAGCTGCAGGCCGCAGGTTCAGCTAACGCTTCTGCTGTGCGCGGACTTCTCCATCGTCAGGCCATAACGACGCGGAGAGAACGACGTTGTGTTTCGAGGCGCGTCCTATGCATGTGCCGTCTGCACGGCTGGAGCAGAGAAGCAGGGGGGCAGCGATGCCGCGAGTGGCCGATCTGCGCACAAACGATGCGCTGCCCCCTGAACTACCGATCTGGCACCAGACCAGACACCACCACACTTTCTCTGTGCGAAACGCAGTCGTGGCGTCGCCGAACAAGAAATGATGGGCGCCGTGATCCAGCAGCGTCCCGAGCCAGTAATGGAGCTGTGTCTTCTTTCGCGCTGACAAGCGGGGTGGCGTCCAATGCTATTACCACAGTGATGGCTGTCTTCCTGTCCTGCCGTACCGAGCACAATTGCAATCTTCACAGCGCCGCCCCATCGCTCGGACGCTAACAGATTGGCTTTTTTGCCTGGCGATGTGATGAAGGCACCGTTCCCGATGCGATTTCTCTCCGATGCTGGCGCACGACCCTCCTCCCCTCCCCTTCCCTCCTCCTCGTCGTCGTCGTCCTACTGACTCCAACGGCCCCATCCACATCCCTTTGCTTCAAGCATCCTGCAAGACATGCGTCCTACGGCAGCGCCAGCAAAGCGCTTTTGCTTCACGCACATACATGCACCCGGGACCCGGGGATCGAACCGTCCACCGCCGGTCATTGCAAAAGGTCTTCTGACTGCCATCTCCCGGCGTCCCCTTCTCTTCTCTGCGCATGTCCAGCGCCATTGTCGCCATTCGCTTAACCAAAGGCGAATAGAATTGAACGAGTGTCTCGTGCCGATCCAATTGATCGTTGCGCCGCAAGGACAATGCCAACCTTCCCCGTTCCCGTTCGGTTTACGCTCAATTTTTCGCGCGCTTGCTGGACGCCACCTTTAGTGTCTCGAAACAAAAGCTGCCGCTGAGAATCTCCGATCCTTTTCTGTGCTTTGGGGAGGAATAATGTGGGCCCTACAGCCAGTCTATCCCTCCCTTGCACAAGGTTAAAAAAAAAGTTTCCGCAGCTTAGCAACAAAAGTAGTAGCGGCAGAAGTTGAAGCCGTTAGGGTAAAGATGTGCCAGATGTACCGCTGGGAGGTGCTGTGCTGCAATAGTATACGTTTCGGTTATTCGTCCGTAGTCATGCCTTGTTACGTCTGCTCCTGCTCAACCGTACAATTCGTATGAAAACTACGTGCCCTCTGTGGACGATGAGCGGGAGCAGAGGCTTCGATCGGTGGCTGGCATGTTCATACAGAATTCCCTGATGGCTTGGATCTTCCCTCGCCTTCTTGTTGCTTCCTTGTGTAACCTGTCTGCTGCCCGTCGGTACAGCACCAACGCACACATACACACACGCGCAGTCTCAGCCAAACCGAAGAGTCTCATCCTCCTACGATTCCTTCGCGTGCTTCCCGGCCCGTTCGCAACACAACAGCGGCGCCTTTCTCGTCCCACGGCGACCGTGCTTCGGTCCTACACGTGGGAGTCAATTCGTTGTTCAAAAACGTGCAACGCAAGGCGAGCTCGCCGGCCCTGCGAACGTTCGTCGGGACTGTGCAACAGAAGCTAAAAAGCAACAACAGGAAAGCACTCCAGAATCCATCGGCGTGCATGTACACGAGTGCATGCTACTCGCAAGCCGTCCCGATTTCGACAGCGGGCTCGCGCTCCGTCCAAACGGTGCGTCATACTTGTAACCGATGCTCCACGTGGACTTGTCGTCTTGGACATCCACAACGTCCAGCCCCAACGGGACGCACGTCGAAAATGCGTTTTTTCCCTGACAATTGATCCGACAAAAGATGCTCTCTGATCAGGACCAGGCTCTGTAGCTCCATCTGTGGCCTTGCATCATCCGGAACCCTATGTGTATGTCTTTCACTTCATGGAGTGGCTGGTTGTCAGAACCAACCCCCGCCGCCTGTCTTTCGACCTTTCCACGCCCAAATCTAGCTGTCTTATCTGCAAACAGCCACCCGCGCCTGCGAGCGAGAAGCAGGCTCCATAATTCGGAACTTTGAGTCCACGCTGGAGCTCTGGCTGTCGCTACTCTTCTCGATGTATCGTATACAGCAAGTTCTCAGCCTTGCTAGCCCCGCACGCCCCACCGTAGCAGCAGCAGCAGCAGTAACTATGCACGATCGAACCCTTGTTCGGATCATTCTAGTTTCTATATGCATCCTACACCCTGGTTTACCGTCCTTATATCGACTTCTCTCTAGGACAATTTTTGTTCCGGGCCAGCTTGCCTCCCTAGATAAGACGGACATTACCCTTCGCGGCAATATATGATCTGTCGAAACCAGGTTTCGCAAGATCATAACCCTTGTGACCACATTCGGGCTGCTGACAGTGCGCTCTCGCTGCCGCGCTAGAACTCACCAATGCTGGGTCAGCGGAGATTTCGCTCCGGATCGTCTCGTTCGAGGCGTAAACGTGCCTTAGCAGCCTTTCCCCATCTTCCCACGAGGTTAGGTAGGGATTAGAACTAATCGGGTTACCGGGTACTCGCCAATGCCAGACCTGTGTGATCTACAATAGCAAAGTGAAGGCCTACAAGCTGGCCCGACCATCCGGAGTAGTAGCACAGCTCCAACCACCTCAATTGACTCATGTGACAGCGTGTAGTATACGGAGAGTGCTGCAAAGTACGGAAAGAGCCTTTGCCCTCTGTGAAAACAGCTTTTTCGATCTGTCCAACCAAGCACGCAAACCTGAAAAAGGACTCACTTCTCCTCTCGGCCATCGCCGCTGGCAGAACTTCCGACTTGCATCCGTTATGCAGCGGACCCGACACCACCCTCTCGTGTCATCTGCTGGTCAAAAGGCGACAGACTTGCCATCCTTCCTCTCGCACCAACCACATCGAAAGTTGAGATTTTCGCGCCATATGATTGACCTCATGGGAAAAAGCCATAGGCTGGTATAAGCTGGGCCCACCGACGCCAGCGCATGATAGAATCAAGAAAGCGTGTCCGAAGGACGACCTCAGCTTCACTAACGCACGCGTCTATATGACGTGCTGCGCAACTAGCGTAGCCCACCACCGAGCGAGCTTTTGTAAATCGCAGAGATCGCAGCCACGCGACAGTGGTTCCCGCCACCCGAACGTCGCGCAATTGCTACATCGACTACGAAGGCCAAACCTGCCATCACGTTTGACTCGAATCGTTGCCTAGACAATGCGCACCTCCATCTTCCTGTTGGCAAACGGGACGAGGTGGATCTTCCACCAAGTGTTTGAAACTTAAGCTGCACGGCTTTCTTGCTGACCTCAAAGAATTTTGACGAAGATGCAACATGATGATATCTCTGAATCTGTTTCCAATAATTACATGACTCTATCTCGGATACCTTTGTGCCATAGCTACAAGTGTTCTCTCGACCTGCCCGTGTCTTTGTGGGCACAATCCTAGCTGTGTCTCGCTTCTTGCAGAAGCGTCTTCGTTGCATGACCCGACGCCCACATAGTAGTGACCGTGTATTCGGCCCGTAGGCGGAAATCAGAGTCTCTTCGTTTTCCGTAAAGAAGCGGGGCTAAGGGAAGATGCATTCACCGCCTCTTTAGAGATCTCGATTACCTTCTCCGCTGGGCTTCTTATTGACGCTCGAGACACGAGCAGACGATGGATTCCGTACCGGGAAGTACACGATGCGTTCGAAAAGACAACGCAATCGTGGATTCCGAGTGGCGTCTTTGCGATCTGCACGTCCGCTGCCGAAAACAGGCTTCGAAGCCTTGTGATGGGGAGCAAATTGTTCAAAAAGGATCAATCGGGTCTTTTCTTCGTCTATGCAGACTCCACCATATTGTGCTTTCGCTTTAGCACTGCACGCAGCGCCTCTTTTGTCTAGAGGCCTCTAAGACGTGCATCGAACTCTCTCCATCTGTTCGAGCTGCGCCGACGGGGCGGTCAAGCGAAGGCTGGTTGTGCGAGAGACACGTCCGGCATGGTTGACACATGGGTTCGATGAGGCAGTCGGGAAGCTCTCTTCACCTTCCCACCCAGACGCCCTGCCCTCGTCCAAAGGCGCTGCCAATTCCCCCATCCGTGCCCGGCCGTTTCGCTACCCGTCCTTGCGCCCTCACTCCTTCAACGACTTTGTCTACGCCCGTCTCCACTACCACACCTCCGACTATCATCTCGCTCAGCGTCGCATGCAGCGTCTCGAAGTTGAAGATTAAGTCCAGCTCGCACACATTCTCAAACAATCTATCCAGCGCTTCGACGAAGACCTGGATCAGGTCAAGCAGTGCCAGAGGAGACTCAGTCGACGTGCTGATCACTATGAAGTAGAGCGTGGCGTAGTGCCGGTACGTAATTAGAGATGGCGTGTCATTATGCTGTGAGGTGGGTGACGTGTTTGACGACGAGCTCGCGGCAAGCAGCGGCGGAAGACTGTTACCTATCAGCCAAAATGCTCTCTCACGATATAAATATTTAGCTTCTTACGGAAGAAAATTGCAACTCGAGGCTGGTCGGTTTGAGACGAGCGTGAAAATTTCTGATATTAGACGTTGCTGGACTGCAGTGTCCTGCGCTCAGTCAGACCCGGATTATCCTGTGCTTGGGGTGCCGTCCTAGCATACGTACCAACTGCGTATAGAACTTAGTTAGACGTGGCTGTCCAGAGTTGTTGAACACGAGCACCGCGTTTATCATGGCTGGAGATTGAGAGTTAGCAGAGACAGTGTTTAGTGTCGTTTCCGACACCGAGCGAGTTCGCGGAGTCGCGGGGGTTTATTCCTTTGCAAAAGATGGTCAGAGCTTCTTCACTCCAGCTAGTGACATCAGCAAACGTTAGCAACAGAGGTACAAACGAGTCAATTGCCCGCCGCGGAACAAAAACGCTACTTTTTGAAGAGACTTTTTTCACATTATGGCTGCCCAATCATTGACTAAACAAGCACTTCGAACTGCCCTGCGGCGGTCTCAGCCGTACGTACACACGCGGCCCTACAGCAGGATACGGCCATGCCTTGGCCGCGACCACTTACGGATACCGTCTCTATACTTCACCCTCCCAGCGCCCCGGCTGTTCCAATCATCGGCTCAACATGCGTCAGTGAAGACTCCCGACGCGGGCAAAGCTCCAACGCCGGAGCGAACAGAAGCGCCACCCTCGCAGAAGACGGAGATCTCCATGCAAGAGTACCACGAGAAAGCGGACGAGTTTCTTGATGCACTGGTGGCAACGCTGGAGAAGAGGCAAGAGAGCAAGGGCGATCTGGATGTCGAATACAGTGTAAGATCGGTTCACCCCATGCACGATCATGGCAGAAGGCTAACATGGACGCATCATGCAGGCTGGCGTCTTGAGTATTGACATGGGCGAGAAGGGGACGTATGTCATCAACAAACAGCCTCCGAACAAGCAGATCTGGCTGTCTTCACCCATCTCAGGCCCGAAGCGTTATGACTGGGTCCTTTACTCAGAGGGACAGGACCAGAAGGAGGGCAGCGGCGTCGGCGACTGGGTGTACCTCCGGGACGGGACAAGCTTGACGCAGCTTCTTAAGAAGGAGATTGGCGTAGATCCCACTCTCGATGCCGACACAGAAATTTGACGTTCAGTAGCTTTGTAGGGCGCGCATTGGGAATCTCTTTGTTCATACTGTATTAATTTCGAACTGCTCGCGTGCCAGCGAAAATCTGACCGGAAAGGTCATGCGCGACCCGCGATTTGGGGTGCCGCAACTGTGCAAATAGTATCTTATACCAAATGACAAATCTCGACGGATGGGTAAAAAAATGAAGTCAACCTCGTAGCTACCGGTCTCTTCTGCTGCCACTCCTTGATAAAAATTTTCCCCCGTCCACCTTTCGTGTAAAATCGAGGTGTTTCGAGCCTTCGCTAGCATCGACGAGCTGCTCTCCTCCGCCAACCCGTGGAGGTTTGACATCGCTTCTAGAACGTTCGCGTGACATCAGTCCCGTACACTTCAATACTCGACCAAGATAAAATACAGGAAACACGCAAGCCCAAAACGTTCCCCCGAAAGACCCAATGAGCCATTTGAGACTGAAACTAGGCCGAATTCTTTCACCGCGAGCACATCCACACGCCAGACCACAAGTTTGGGTTCACTCCGTCCGCCCATCATCGACCGCAAGCTCCGCAATGTCGGAACCAAGCAACCAACAAACATCGCAAGAGCCGACACAAGCGGGGACGGACACGCCTGTCCTGGCGCTGCCGGCCGTCGAAGACGCCCAGGCGACGAAGCTGGACGCGTCCTCGGGCTACGGGACGGCCAGGTTCGACGCGCTCGGTCCGGTCGTCGTCAACGTGGACGGGACGCTTTCGCGCATCACCAACTGGGACAAGATGGCTGACATCGAGCGCAAGAACACACTGCGCATCCTGGCCAAGAGGAACAAGGAGCGGCTTGACAGCCTGAAAGCTCAGCAGAAGGACGGCGCGAGCTGAGCACGGGTTTTGGTTCCTGCAAAACAAGAACAAGAGAAGAGGATGAATAATGAATCCGTGTGTTATTAAATAAAAGAGAGAGAGAAAGAGACAAGAACATTGGACGGGCTTCCATCATTTCTGCGGCTATTTTTTGCCGGGATGGGACATTTCTCTTGGAGCGAAGAGCAAAGACCGTGATAGACGATGCTTCTTTTCGTTTTGCTGGGCCGATACGTCGAAAGCCTATGACTCTTCTTTTCCACTGACGAGAGCATAAAAGAATCTCATGCATGTTCTCTGTGGTAACATACAAACGCCCCTTTTTGTTCGTGGTTCCTCTTCATTCTTTCTGCGTGCTATGTACTCGTGAAAGTCGTCGCTACTTGGTCTCGCGTGACAAAACTCAAAACTTCCCGCCCTCCTTCTCTTTCGCTTCATTTTATGGGCTCATTCTCCAGCCACGCGCTCTTTCCTGGTTTTCCACATGATGCGCTATTCCCCAAGGAGCTTGCACAAATTCTGAAGAGCTCGTCCACAGATCTCTCAGCAGTCAATTTGTTTATTTGCTGCGGTATGGCTTGTCACAACCACGGGCACGGCGGCGGCGTTTGCACATTCTGTCTTCGCATACGCTCAGATCGCGTAGTTGCAGTGGTGATTCACGCAGCCACGGTCACGGCCTTCGCGGGCTCGTCTGGCTTCTTCTCTGGCGGCAGATCTTTCTGCTCCGATGCTCAGCACATGAAAGAGGAGTGACACCCACTTCGGACTTGACTTACGGCCTCGAAGATGACCAGAATCTCCAGGCTGCAACTTGGGCACCTCGCGATATCTTCGCCGTCTCTCATGTCCGCGACGCTGATCTCAAAGCGGTCGCCGCATGGGCACGGATAGTGGTAGATCTCAAGGACAGGGTCGTAGACCATTTCCTCGATTTCGACTTCTTCGTAGACACCCATGGCGAAAAAGCTTCGTTCAGATGTAGCTAGTTTTGACGGACTATTATGTTTGAGCTTTGTATCACAAAAATTATCCTTTGCCACATGAAATCTGCAGGCGGCCTCTCTCCGCATTGTGCATCCTTCTAATTCTGTTACGCTAAACCAATTCGGGTTCGCACGACATGCTTGACTTTGATCTTTTCTCATGTTTCCGCAGCACCTTTCGCTCTCTACTTTGTGACTGTGGCTTCATATTTGATGCGATACTCAGCTTTTATCTACTAGTCCACCTCATAGGCTTGTTCTAATATAAATTATTTTTCTAGCGCATTGAGCATATCAAGTACACATCAAACATGTGCCTTCAAACTCTCCCTGCTAGCGGCATCTCAGTGGGCAAGAACAACAAACGATTGCTACGTGCGAAAGAATGGTTGTAATAACATAATGAATTCCCGATTTGCAGCCAGGCCAACGTCCGAATTTGGTCAGAGGACAGAGCAAGATCCAAACTCCTGACACATCCGATGCCTGAGGTTCGTAAGCCTCTGACAGCCCCACCACCACTGGAACAGTGTTTTGCCTCGAGTTTTGACCGGATCTGCCCTTTGGCATCCCGATCTATAGATGCTTGCGAGATGTTTACGACCGTAGACCAGTATCATCGTTCGCCTCAGCCACATTAGTCTTCTCGGATGTTCTAAGATCTTGCCATCTGGGGATTCATCCGCGTTTGGAAATGCCTCAAGAAGCATCATGGTCTTCAAGCAGCGCAGAAAGAGTGGACCAAACAGACGTCTCTAAGAATCCTTGTCATGCAATCCGGCTTCTTCAATACAGTATTGACACTGGCGTTTATGGAATTCGCAGCGAAGCGTAATTTCTGTTCATAACTACTGAACATTCCCTTAGCTCCCTTGGCTCCCAAGACTTGTTCCGCGTATTCTCTTTCTTGACCTTTCGTGCTGTGCACCTTTTTTCATTCTTATCTCGAGCTGTGCTCCTCCTTATACCTATTCTAATATTCACAATGAGATACGTCATTCCTCTCGCCATCAGCTTTGCAGCCATCGCGGTCGCTGCTCCAGTGCCGCAGGACGACATTGCATCCATCCTGGCCGCACTGCAATCTACTAGCCCGGAAGACGCCGCAGCAGCCAGTAGCCTCGAGAAGCGTCAAAACGATATTTCTTCGATCATTGCTGCACTCCAAGCAACCAGCCCAGACGATGCAGCAGCAGCAAGCAGTCTTGAGAAGCGCCAGAGCGACATCGCCTCCATCATTGCTGCACTCCAGGCAACCAGCCCAGATGATGCAGCAGCAGCAAGCAGTCTCGAGAAGCGCCA